CGACGAAAGCAGCCGAAAAGATTAATGAAAACACCACAAAAACGCCTCAATTGAAAGGCAAAACTTCCTAACCTGAAAACTATGATAACAACGATGAAACCAGGCTGAAAGGTATCGAAAAATATGTAAAACAAAGGCGAAAAACGGCATATAACTCGGCGAATAGCTTTGTACTGCAAAAAATACAAATATTGTTTTTTGCATAATAAGCCTCGTTTCCGTGTTGAGCGAAGGCGCGGTTACTAAGTTTCGCAATTGGTCTATAGTATACTACTTTTCAATGAGAAAATATGAACGAGCTTTATTTTCCGAAGAGTTATTTCGTTACACTACCTCGAAGGATTTTGACTTTTCGTTTCAACAAGTCTTTCGAACAGGTTGTCAACAGGTTTAAGGTTAATGTTAAACTTTCCTTTTGACGCATTGGCAAGACATCTAAAATAGCTTGTGTGAGACGAGCAAAATCCCACTTGTCGGTTTTATCGTTGCTAATGAGGAAAATATTTTCTTCTTTGGATTCCAATTCTTTCAAATTTTGCAAACAATTTTCCTTTATTTTCTTCAAAAGCACCTTTTCATTGAACGATCGCTTTTTACTTTCGTTCCAGACGTCAATATCGATCTTCGTGCGGACAAAAAAGAAAGATTTTTCGATGGTTTGCACAAATCGAGCTAACTTGAGGTTGTTCTCAGTGAATCGTGTTGCTGCTAAGATGAGGAATATATCGTAATTCTTTAAACCGACTTTTTCGCAGTATGTTTCAGCGGGATAGTTTGGAGTGCCTGAAATTTTAGTTGTCTCATTTTAATTTAATATCCTCAACTAATCCTGATTCCACAATAAAGAAAAAGATGCATATTTTATTAGAAATCATTGCTGTCAGGAGTTTTTTGATAGTGAATTGTAAAAGTGATATGAAAAAGCTGCGGGCACGCGGGCACTACTCTTAATGAAGTAAGGACGTTAAAAATATCAAAAGTTCTATTGACAATTAAAGGCTACTTTCTGTCGTGGAAACTATGGTGGGCACATGAAACACTGAAATATATCCAAAGAGAAATGTGACGTAATTATGTTCTCGCCAGGTCAAAAACTTTTGCTTAACTTTTTAAATATTTGCTATGAACCAGACAACATATACGAAATAAAGATGAATTAATCCTTATGTCACATACCGACACCAGGCAGATCCCAAAATTTAATTTTGTCGTTTGTCGGATAAGCATACTGTGTCGGATCAAGTGTTGTCTCCGTGGGCCCAGTTCCCGCCGCACCCTCGTCATCGTCCCTTAGCCTGGGTAATTCAAAATATAAAATGAACATGTGGGATAAAAACGTTTTTGAAAACTAAATAAGCATCGTTAAAAATTAATGCCGTTCAAAATTTGAATAAGTTAATGTTTGAAATCACCGATGGATTACTGTAATGATACCAGAATATATCTGCCCATCAAAGCCATTTCAGTTTTTCAAAGCAACAAAAATGAATTATTCTTTGCGTTTACAACCAAGTCATCTTATTTGGAAAACGAAAAAATACACATGTGCGTGAAATGTTCCTAAACATGGACCTAAAACCTTAGTTTTAAGTTAGGGTATTAATTCCATGACTAGTTTATCGTGTCTTATGTATATGTTGTGTATTCCTAATGATTTTGTTTGAACCCTCAATGCTGTTTAAAACATAGGCGGCCCAGAACTGATCTCGCTGGCCTCGCGCGACGCTCATGTTGTCTGAACAGTCTTATATTATGACAAGGTAGGCAACTCTCACGCCAAATAAGCTAAAAACGCACGCCAGTTAACTCAAACACCTTCACAAAACCGCAAATATTTCACAAAAATATGGCGAATAAGGAAAAAAAGTACAACACATTAAACTTGAATAATTTTACTATACATTTATACTATATTTTTAGCATTCAAATGTATTCCTATGCATGTAAAAAACGTGAATGTTTTTTGGGTTTGTGGCAAAATACATTTCAAAATCTATGCTGGGGACACCTTGCTTATACCTTCGTCATATTTTTAAATTGAAAATAGAAAGCTTATTGGCTGTCGTTTAAAAAGAGCTAGTCAGCTTTCTATTTTCAATTCAAAAATATGACGAAGGTATAGGCAAGGTGTCCCCAGCATAGGTTTTGAAATATTTTTGCTACAAACCTAAAAAACATTCACGTTTTTTACATGCATAGGAATAAATTTGAATGCCAAAAATATCGTATAAATGTAGCAAAATTTTTCAAGTTTAATGTGTTTTACTTTTTTTTTCTTATTCGCCATATTTTTATGAAATATTTGCGGTTTTGTGAAAGTGTTAACGACCGTGCGTTTTTAGCTTATTTGGCGTGAGAGTTGCCAACCTTGTCATAATATAAGACTGTTCAGACAACATGAGCGTCGCGCGAGGTCAGTGACATCAGTTCTGGGCCGCCAATGTTTAAAAGAAATATCTTACAACTTTATAGAATTTGAAAAAAAAACAAAAAATGTGAAACGTTTGTTCGAATTTGTCGTTCCTCGATGCCCGTATTACCAGGTGGTATTATTAGGTGGTACGTATTATTATTATTATTACTAGGCTTGAATCACGCCATGCTAAAGCTGCTGCTTCTTCACTTTCGATATCTGCGAGCAAAACGTGTGATTAGCGATGTTGGGCAGAAGAAGAAAAATGGCTTTTTTCTCACTGTTTTGTACCTCCTGCCCCGCAAATCACCCATAATCATGACAGAAGGGGAAAATATAAAATTCAAACATTGAAAAGACAAAAGGAGTACAAATCATTGAGTAAAAATGAAATAGAAATATATGATGATATAGTTTATATCACATTTCCAAGAGCATCGTTTGGCGATATTTATCCCTTTTTTTCATTCGATGATATAGTGGAGTATTTATTTATATATTCGGAATTTCAATTTGCTAACGAAGTAAACAAACTGCATTCTCTTTGTTTAAGTTCACTACAACAGTTTAAATTCGCTTTGCCTAAAAGATTTAGATACACATCATACCTACCCTCTTATGGCGTTGATAAAGCTGGATTTTCCAGTCCCTGAATCACCTGTTACGCCGATGTTTATCTCTACATCTCTCCACTTTTCTAGTTTTCGTGTCAAAAATTCTTCGATTCCTTCCAAGCCATATTCCTGAATGTGCTGTAGCACACCTGCCGTTTGCATATGCTCAATGCTGTCTTCTCCGTCTGCACCAAGGTCAACCAGTCGGTAGTGTTGATAACTAGATGACTCTCCCATATTTTAGCTGATTTTTTCAAATAATTACAAAGTTCAAAGTTATAAATTCTTATTGAGGTTTTACAGTAATTTTAACATGCAATTGAATGAACCGAATTTGTCTCCAAGTGTGATAATAAACACACTTGATGCTTGTGTAAACATAGTTCATTCAGCCAATCATGGCGTATTTAACATAAAAAATAGCATCCAATTATATTATCTTTTATACATCAATATATTGTTATGGCCACAGCACAAGCAGATATAGTTGCCGTAAACTAAAATAACAAATAATGAAAAACTATTGGTATATACGTTAAAGTTTGAAACCATATAACTTCACAAATCATTAAGTGGGCGCCGACTATCTTCATGTGGGGCTAGACAAATACGAAGTGTGTTTTAAATTTTCCAAAAATTCTTCATTAAATTCCCCTAATCTTCCAATTTTTTTGCTGAGATATCAAATGTAGGGTCTCAACTTTAAAGCTGATTTTTCTTACTATATTTGCATCTAACTGGATTTGCAAGGGCCACCATCGCCTGTCAGGCTGTCACATGCATAATTATTCTTTCATTAAGCATTTTGGCTACGCGTTTAGCGATCTCGACGCCATTATCTCTGAAAAATTCCCGCTTCTCTTACGTGAGGATCGTCGCTTTCAAGCGGGAAAAAGCTCATATTTTTTAATTTCTTTCAACACTCCTCGTTTTCCATTATTTATATTTCTTTGGGTAAATATGCTCAATTTGGGCAAAAACCTGCTGATGATTTTGGCAGTAATTTTATATGGTGGCATCTCCGTTCTTGGTCAACAACCACAACACTCTCAAAGGGCATCTTCTGTTGTGCTATGTCGATGGGTGAACTAAAAAGCGTCCATCCAATTAACTTATGAATAATGAATTCCCTATGTCATACGAAGGCGTCTACATGGACGAAAGGAGAAAGAAGAAGCAGTCATGATGCTTGTTTAATGTCAACAACATAAAGCTTTTCATTAAGGCTTAGAGCAGTTTCAAGAATTTCATAAATTTAATAGTTCTTCTGTACTTCAGAAAAAGGAAAATCGGCGGCTATATATTCGGCTATTCCTTACCTGTTTTTTTCATGTTGTACAGTTGCAAAGAAACCAAATTTTGTTAAGACACATCATTTGAATAACACATCAGGGGCCGGTTGTATCAAGCCCGTTTAGCTTAAACGGATGATAAGTTCAAAATTATAAATTGAACTCTTCCGCCAGTTGGCCTGAATAACCTTTAATTAATAAGCTTAAGAACTCGAAACAGTGGTTACCCATACATACATACATACATACATAAACTGAATTATGCTTGGTCTTAAGCGTAATTAATAACACGTATACCTAAAATGCAAGAAATGTCGTTCAAATGCCAAAATCATCAGCAGAGTTTTGCCCAAATTGTCTCACAAAAAACTAGGTGCGCTAAGTACGTACATGAATTTAATTTTTGCTAAAATTTGTGAATTTAAATTACTGTTAAACGAACCAACAACACTGGTAAAGAAATGCACCAACTATACAAAAGCAACAAACGACAAAATAAACATGAAATATGTATTTCGTACAGTATTATAATTATTCTAATAAAGGATTAATGTGCGAACAAATGAAAGTGAGTTTACTTAACACGATATCTACGTAACTATATCTACGTAAAGTATTAGGGATAGCTTTCTTTATTTTTATTTGTAAGAGAGTCAAGTTAAAGTTCTTGTTCAAGTGATGCTACTCTACATCGTCCACCAGACTTTCGTTCAAACACTCCAGAATGTCCAACGCAGTTTCTTCCATTTCCTTGAGACAACCATGAAGGAAATAATAGGTGGATGAGAATGAAATTCCTCCCGCAATGATAGAACCAACGAACGGTATGAATCGTGTGAATTCTTCCACCGCGGAACTTGCGGTGTAAGCTGCCATAAGATTTCCTAGTTGCACTGCACTTGTCAAACAAAACTTTCGAACCTTTTCCTTGATCTCTGGAGTCATATTGTTGAACTCGTAGGAGTTTTCATCAGGTAGACCAAGCTGGCTTTTGTAAAAATTCACTTCCTTTATTAAAAGTGCGACGTCAAGTGCGACTGACAACCCAGGCACTGGAATCACGGCACCGGCTCCTGAAGCGGTTGCGACCTTCCAAATTCGACCTAAAACAAATAGATTATTTTGCTGCTATAGAATAATAATAATAGTATATAATTAGATAATATTAGATTAATAATGTATGCATGTGGGCGATTTCTACCGTTATGTTCTAAACCTAATTTATGAGAGAAACGTAGCTACATATTCTGCAGGTACTGAAGAGCAATTCCACCTGTTATGTAGGTTTAGGCACACGAAATAACTGATTTTTAACAAAGTGGAACACATAAACAGCTGTTGTAATTTCTCCTGTGTATTAGATAATCGTACTAACGTCTGTACAGTCTGTACACACGCTTAATTCAATTTCTTTTACTATCTTTAACAATAGTATAGAAACTGAATGATCGAGAAAGTCGTACAGATAGCTTGTGGCCATGAGGAAATATTACAAGTGTTTATGTTTTGCAAAATGAAACGTTATTCTAGCTGTTAGACGTACATCGAAGGATTTCAACTTTCCGTTTCAAGATACCCTTTGAACGAGTTGTCAACAAGTTTATGGCCAGTGTTAAACTTTCCCTCTGACGCATTGGCAAGACATCTAAAATAGCCTGTGTGAGACGAGCAAAATCCCACTTGTCTGCTTCATCGTTGCTAATGAGGAACACATCTTCTTCTTTGGATTCGAATTCTTTCAAATTTTTCACACAATTTTCCTTAATTTTCTTCAAAAGCGCCTTTTCATTGAACGATCGCTTTTTACTTTCGTTCCAGACGTCAATATCGATCTTGGTGCGGACAAAAAAGAACGATTTCTTGATGGTTTGCACAATTCTGGCTAACTTGAGGTCGTTTTCAGTGAATCGTGTTGCTGCTAGGATGAGGAATGTATCGTAATTCTTCAAACCGACTTTTTCGCAGTATGTTTCAGCGGGATAGTTTGGAGTACCTGAAATTTTAGTTTCTCATTTTAAGGAATTTAACATCATGAACTAACCATGATTCTTCAATTTGCATATTTTGCATATACAATTTGTATATACAATTGCACATTCTTTACCAGAATTTATACTTTACCAGTATTTATTGAACTCAAAATCGTATAAAAAGACAAACATTGTAAATAAATGTTTTCAATCTACTAGACCTACATACCGACGCCAGGCAGATCCCAAAATTTTATTTTGCTGTTTGTCGGATGAGGATACTTTGTCGGGTCTGTTGTTGTCTCCGTGGGGCCAGTTTCTGCCGCACCCTCGTCATCGTTTCCTAGTCTGGATAAAAAACGTAGAAGTGGGATATAGAGCAGCTAGGCTAATAACTATACCTGAGTATTTTCGGATGAAAATAATTTATCAATACTTATCCCCGAGCCGGTGTGCGAGGGTACTAATTCCGCCCGGAGATTAGGAATTACACCCGGGACCCGGGAGAACATAGCGGAATCCAAAGTTGCCCAAATGTCATGGACGTTCAATGGTCATGGTACTTGTGCGCATGCGCGAAATGCGAACGAGTGTAGACTGGTAATTAGCAACTTCCTGATTGGCTAAGACGAAACGTTTGTGTCTCAGTGAAAACGTCAGCAATTTAACTGTCATTTTGCAAACTATTTTTTAAAAAAATGTTTCGAAAACAAAATATGAAATGTGGAATCAATGTGGAAAACACTGGGAAGAGTTTAAAATATTATCAGAACTGGAGGAATTAGCGGTGAAAAGGAACAACTCGATTATAATCCTTGAAATGGTAGGAGTCTATTTTGTTTATTTCGAGGTTTATTTCGTGTTTGCTGTACGAATAAATTTTATGACCTTGATACAGTATGTCGTATTGTCGTTTTGCTCGGTTTTGCGAAGACGTGACCGACTATTTAAGGCTTTACATCATCGTTTTAACTTCCAAAAGAGTCCTTAAAAGTGTAATTCGGAGTTTTAATATAACAAATATCACTTTAAAGGTTTATATATAGTCGACGGCAATCACTGCATGAATTTATTAATCAAAAAACAACATTCGACGTTCACTGCTTGGTTATTTATATTATTTGGGCTGTTTTGATGTTTTGAAGGTTTAGCTATAATGAAGTATCACTTAAACTGTGAAAGTCTCATATAAACTGTGAAAGTCTATAACCTAACGCAACGGAAAGCAGCAGGAAAACGCGTGATTTCACTTCACCTTTACGACTGTGTTTGTTTCCGAAATATTTGAAACATCAGCTATCGGCACAGGCAGCCCGGTCACTGCTGTTACGTCATGCTATTATATATTTATATAATTACAATAAGGCTGGCAACTCTCTCGCAAAAAATATAATACATACATTAATACCATCGCTTAAAATAAAAATACTGCGCTAGTTTCTTAAAAAAAAACCAGATACAAAACACCTTGGATATATTGACTATATTTATCTGTCGTTTTTAGACTTGAAAAAAACTCTAAAATGCTCAAATTTTGCGAATTAAAAGTGTATTTTCGTTGAATTTTTGCGAAACAGAGGCGGGATATAGTTTACTCGAAAAACGTCATCATCGGAGAATTCGTCGGCAAATTTCTGATTGGCTGTGGCAAGTTCGGAAAATTACGAAGGTCAACTCAATGGAGAAGAAAGATCTTCGTTTTTTTCCGAACTTGCCACAGCCAATCAGAAATTTGCCGACGAATTCTCCGATGATGACGTTTGTCGAGTAAACTATATCCCGCCTCTGTTTCGCAAAATCTCAACGAAAATACACTTTTAATTCGCAAAATTTGAGCATTTTAGAGTTTTTTTCAAGTCTAAAAACGACAGATAAATATAGTCAATATATCCAAGGTGTTTTGTATGTAGTTTTTTTTAAATAAACTAGCGTAGTATTTTTGTTTTAAGCGATGGTATTAATGTATGTATTATATTTTTTGCGAGAGAGTTGCCAGCCTTATTGTAATTATATACATATATAATAGCATGACGTAACAGCAGTGACCGGGCTGCCTGTGCTATCGGCTGTACATTTAGGACATTTCATAATATTGAAGGTTAGGTCTGGCTAGCTCAGGAAATATTTTGCTTCGTTTGAAATGGCGAGGGGTTGCTGCATGCATGTATTTCTAGTAAGATTATGATTCAGATTAGGAGATTCGTCATTTTTGGCTGTATTTGCATGGAATCAAACAAATTTATATGTTGGAAAATGTACTTATTTTGGAAGACTATATACATAATATATACAAAACTAAAATCACTTACCCTCGTATGGCGTTGATAAAGCTGGATTTTCCAGCTCCTGAATTACCTGTTATGGCGATATTTATCACTACATCTTTCCAATCTTCTAGTTTTTTTGTGAAAAATTCTTCTATTCCTTCCAGGCCATATTGGTTAATGTGTTGTGGCACATCTTCCATGTTTATAAGCTCATAGTTGTGATCTTCGTCTACACCATGGTCAACCAGCCGTTGGTCTTGATTTGCAGCGTTATTTGATGGCTCGCTCATGTTTTAGCTGATTATTTCAACTCACCAAATTGTTACAAAGTTCACTGAAGTTACAAAATTTTGAGTGAGGTGTTTCAGTAATTTTAACATGCAATTGTATGGACGGAATTTGTCCAGCCGTGGTCTAGCCTCCTTGATGCGTCAACAATAGTACTCAGCCAATCACAGCGTGATTAACATCTGAGATCTATATAAAGTTATGATAGTCGGAAAAAACAAAATACATTAAAAACTTATGTATACCTTTACTTGTGGATATATCCACGATCCGCTACTATGCCTATAGTTGTGAAGTCGAAATTTCAATGTGAGTATGTGTGACGTGCAAGAAACAGCTGAGTCTTTTTTATGAATGCCACCTGCTGTCGGTCTATTGACAACAACCACATATTATAGATTGATACAGGTAGGAGAACTTTCCGCTCCTCAATTTTGCATTCATTTTTGTCAACGTAACATTTAAAATTATGCTGGCACAGTGCTACGAGTGCTCCGAACGTCTAAAACTTGCGTTTTGAAATTTTTTTGCTGGACGCTGTTTATATGGCGTTGTTTATTTCCCAAAGTATTCAAATTTCAAACAAAGCTTTTAGTCCCAGCATTTGTAACCGCCGTCTAAGCGATGCATGTACAACCAGTTTACAACTGCACCGCAAGCTGCTAAACGATATTTTCAGATATAGTTTCTGTTCGATCATCAGCGGATTTGGTGAGCTTTCAAGTGTAAACAATTAAAAGGATTTTTTGGAAATAATCTTGTTATGAATTAATATAATAATAATATAACTTACATCATGCAATTGCATGACGTGGGTGTATTGCTGGTCTTCGCGCTCCCATTTCCAACTAAGCTAGAATTGGCAAATCGACGCATAGACTATAGATTCTTAAATAACGTTTTAATATTTCCTTGCTACCGTATAGAGTTAAAATTATCGTACGGTAATCAAAACTATCGAGTGTAGAGTTCAATTTCATTGTTTTCTATACAGAAAAGGTAATATTAAATACTATAGTTCTCTGTCTCACATGATACTAGTCTAGTAAGTCTACATCTTAATATCGTTCGCAACATTTTCATTTAAGATATCCAGGAATTCTAACGCAGCCTCTTGCATCTTCCAATACAGTGAGTACTAAGTATCAACATTGATGGAAGATTATAAGCTAGGTAGTAACGGTCTTCTATAAGGGTAGTAAGGGTCTTCATCAAAAGGTTTATTTTACTCTGCTAAAATATTTCAGGCGGTAGCTGAGCAGCATTTGCGTGAACAGCATTAAATCTTAATTTTTAAGCTTTTATAGTTATATAATTATATTCATTTATTTAGAAATTGATTGTTTTCGAAGTCAAAGAATACCAAAATATCAGCATAGCAGTACTAAATCGTCAGGCTGACTACGCTATTGAAAGCGAGTAGTTAACTTGCAAGCGATCTTCGGTCTTCCCAATTCTTTTTAATCGGTTTGAAACGGGTATTACTTGTATATTCTTCACACGCTGAAATTTGCATGCGTAATTGCTGAAAAAATTCTCATTTATTCTTGCATGAATACCACCGTTGTCGCTCTTTAATAATTGCAATAACGAAAGAGAAAGTTAGCGTCGTTTGCGTTTCATCTTTTATTCGTACCTGTATACTTCGTGAAAACCATGGCTTTGGAACAACAACACGCTCTAGCGATTCAAACACATATACAGGAACATGGATTAACTGGATTGAGGGAATTGATCATGACCTTACTTCAACAATCGCAAAATGTTGAAATCAAAATCGGAATAACAGGTCCTGCTGGTGCTGGAAAATCGAGTTTCATAAATGCGATAAGAGAGTAAGAGAGTTTAATTGCTTGCCTCGCATATAAACGAAATTGATCCATGCCAATATGTATATAATGATATATTTATTCAGTAGATGCCGGCGGGAAAATAGAGCATGCACTCACCCAAACCTGCCGGTTACTGCATGTCTTTACACTTTAGAATTCACTTAATCCCGTCAGATCAGGTGACTTTAAATGAAATGTTCCTTGTGCTTGTCGTAAATTACGATTTGGCGGCACTATATACATGCACACGAGGATAATGTTTAAAGGGTTAATGGGTGTTAATTTCGAGCAGAAATCATACAATCAAATTCAAGCCTTGGTCCTCAGACAGGAAATGTACTTATTCCTTTAATATGTATACCCACATTGGCATCTGCATATATATGAATACCCGACGAAGTCGGGTGAAAACAAGATTCAAGAAAACAAGGAAAAATAATTCCATTAAGTATTTCTGCTAAAAGAAGCGATTGCAGAATACCCGTCGAGTCGTTTACAATAAAATTGCGTATAATTATAAGTATAGGTAGTGGGTAAAGATCGAGACATTTCTATAATGACATAATTACTGAGGAAGGTATATTTTAGCGCCTACACGGCTATACGGAGTGAGTTTTAAATGACGCCATCGAGACCTCTTGATATAATGACAAATCCTGTAAAGAAGATGTATCAATTACAAATATCGTCGCTTCATTTTAAACGTGTTGCGACCTAGTTGTGCCTTATTTATATCTTACAAGAATTGCTTGCATTTATATATAGTATACTAAATTTAACAAACATAGCATTCTGATAAAGTTACTCAAAATGTAAACAAATTTGCTGATTGGTCTAAAACGAAATTCCTCCTTTAAGGCTTTATGACAAAACGCATCAACTGATCAACATGAAACACATGCAGTGCATTACCTAAATTACAACAAGACGCCTGTTCTGGTTAACTCCGTCTCCGGCGTGCTTTTAATATGTATACCCACATTGGCATCTGCATATATGAATACCCGACGATCGTCGGGTGAAAACAAGATTCAAGAAAACAAGAAAACATAATTCCATTAACAAGTATTTCTGCTAAAAGAAGCGATTGCAGAATACCCGTCGAGTCGTTTACAATAAAATTGCGTATAATTATAAGTAGGTAGTACGTAGTGGGTAAAGATGTAGGTACTATGTAGTGGGTAAACCTCTGCATAGAAACATTGATACAATGATAATTACTAAGCCTATAATATATAATATAATATATATACAAAGTGAGTTTTTAAAGGACGATTTCTAAACTGTCTCTAGACGTTGATATACTGACGACAAATCCTATAAAGAAGACGCTTCATATTAAACGTGTTGCAACCTAGTTGTGCCTTATTGGTGTCCTATAAGAATTGCTTGCAAGGGTAGTAACGGTCTTCTATAAGGGTAGTAAAGGTCTTCATCGGAAGGGTTATTTTACTCTTCTAGAATATTTCAGGCGGTAGCTGAGAAGCATTTGCGTGAACAGCATTAAACAACACGCCTGTTGTGGCGTTAACTCCGGCTTCTGAACATAAACAATACAGTTCAGACTCATTTGGATGCCTTGCGAACCTAAATGTTGTTCGATCGCGACATTCAGAAGCACATCGTACTTTAAAAAGTATAATTGTTTAAAAATGTAAATAAACTGCATGATACGTTCACTTTGTCTTTGTTGAGTTTGCGCTTGATGCCATTTCATTTACGCGAAGTAAACCACTTTAGAGGTTGAGACAACAACAAAATAATACCAAGTTATCAAGTGAAGAATACAAGAAAGATCTTTTTACATGAATTGTGACTGTTCCCTGATTGGTCAAATTATTGTGTCCGGTTTTACTATTTTTGGTTACAAGTTACAACATCCGCAACGGTACATGACATGACATGACAGTAAACAGAACATCACAACAATGGAACATTATACTTACACGAGAACATTCGTGCTTATATTAAATCTTCAATCCTGTGCAAATTAACTGCGACGTGTCAACGCGCCTATACACGACTACATCATCTTGTTAAACGCTGAAATAGCAGCGATATTATTAAAATAAGACCAGAATCTACATGTATTAAAAATATTCTTACCCCAATTCAATCTAAACTTAATCGAACAGCATCAAAAGAATGGTTTATTTGTTCCTCTTGGAGGAATTGCCGTATCATGCGAGCGAAATCGCATCGCGCATCGGAAAATTAGCCAAAGCTGTGCACCACAACTCTTGGGAGATAAGACTGGGACGTAGATAAATACGGTCACATACACAATTCAAGTACTAGTATATTTCGCGCCATTACACACTTGCGACCACGAAAAATAATAAAAAAAACCGATGCGAATTTTCAACTCCGTCACTGGCGCGGAGTAATTAATTCATGGGGCAGGTCTGCCTCCTGTGACACACGCCCTTTCTTCATTTTTGTATCTTTCCTATGACACAGTCTAGCTGATGATGATGAAGGTGCTGCAGAGACCGGTCCCACGCAAACGACATTGGAGGCGACTGGATACCCCCATCCTACAAATAACAAGATCACTTTCTGGGACTTACCAGGTTTTGGTAAGTGTATATATGCTAGCTATGTGCATTGAGTCTTTCGAAACTTTACTCGGGCTATGCCTGTTTTAACAAAACATTTTATTACTTGAGGTTTTACCCTGAGCAAACGGGTATTAGGATTGCATCTTTAGACAAACATATTTAAAGCGAAGAAAAAGCAATTCCATCGGTACAGAGTTAAAATTTCGTTAGTTATCTTTTTTAAGAAATTTGCATGCATTGCGTGCACCATTTGCAACCATTGTGTTCGTAGCAAAGGCAACTGCACATTTATACAACTCTCTTTTTTCTGAAAATAACTTGCCCATGAAGTAATATGAACTCAATAGATCTTTGATGATTTTGAGTGTACCCGCTTAGAATGCTTAAAAAACCTGTTTTTCCAGATTTAAACACTTAGTTAGACAAGCGTTTGTATTGCAATCAGAATTATCAATATATTAAATGGTGTAACTTTGATTATAAGCTAGAGTACTACAGTGAAAGCTATCAGTCTGATAAACAGTCGAACAGGAAAGCGATATCTTTACCAGCTTGCACCCGGGAACTTCAAACTATATGATTAAAATGTAATAAGTAATCATATTACAGTATCATATACCAATATCCCTTTCGCACCCTGTTTGTATATCCCCCCGTTTTTCGCTCTTTCAACCGAACTCTATATAATACTATGATTACTAAGTCTTATTACATTTTAGTATATAGTTTGAAGCGCCTGGGTACGAGGATATATCTTTACCGCAACGTAAGCGGCCTTCCAGTCCTTCAAATTTCATAACTACACTAATTTTAATCTTCCACATTTTAATTTGTTTTTCTTGTCGTATAACATTTTACAATACTGTATTTCTAGTTTTGCGCTTTTGAATGAACAAATAATGTTTGGTTATTTATTTTGAGGGAAACCCCGACTAAACGCAGTTGTGCGTTATGAAAACCTAAAAACTATGGTTTAACTAGGCGATGCGATTGCTTAATATCCTAATCTATATATACGAGAGTTTTATGTAGTTATTTGCAATAAATTCTCACCGTTTGATACTCAAGGATTGCTGGTTTTAAAGTAAATTCAAATCACAACAACAATTCAAATTTTTCCTTAAGGTACCCGAAGCTACCCCGATGTTGCAAAATATTTCGAGATGTTTGAATTAAGGAAATACGACGTATTTCTTGTTTTGACTGCGAATCGTTTCACCCAAAACGATTTCTTGCTTGCCGAAAAGATTAGAGAAAAGGGAAAGTTTTTCTTCTTTATTCGCACTCACGTCGATGTCGACATTGCTTTCGAACAGGGAAAGAGATCATTTAACGAAAGAGCAGTGCTAAAGCGCATCAGGGATGATTGCCTCGAAAATTTGAATGATTTAGAAGATCGTGCCTATCATCAGGAAGTTGTTTACCTCATTAGTAATCATCATCCGAAGAAGTGGGATTTTCCTGGCCTCACTGAAGCAATCATTACTTCTCTGCCGGACCATCAAAAGGAATCTCTTGCGATAACCTTGAAAAATCGCACCAGAGCAATGCTGGAAATGAAAGTTAAATATCTTGAGGGTATAAACATAGCATATACTAGCTGTACCGATTTATGGTTTTAAATTAATAACCTTTGCCATGAATCTACCGACTGCATTATATTTTTTTGCATTTGTTAGCACCGAAAAAAGCCGATAGAAAATATCTAAGGCACAATTTGTCATTATCTTTTATTCTAAACTTGTATAATGAGTACCAAAAGTCCTTGGCTTGATATTATTACTATAAAAACCTCGAAATCAGTTGTAAATAGTTTATTTCGTATTTATTTCAGGTCGAATTTGGAAGGTGGCAACTGCTTCGGCGGCTGGTGCAGTAGCTCCCGTGCCTGGGTTATCTTTTCTGACAGATATGGCCATGATTTATGAAGAGTTGAGTTTTTACAAATCACAGTTTGATTTTCCGGAAGTGGGATCCATAGAATTCCAAGCTATGACCCGTGAGAATCAGGAAACGGTTCAAAGGTTTTGTTTTTCAAATAAGAAAGACATTATATCTTCTCTTGCACTCTACGCTGCCAGGAGCGTAGCAGAAGAAATTGTTCGATATATTCCATATGTAGGTTCTTATATTGCTAAAAGTATTTCGTTTGGCGCTACCTATGCTTTCCTTGATGAAGTCCTTGTGACTTGAAAATGACAGCGTTTGACATTTTGCAAGAAATGCATAATGAGCCAGAATGTTGTAATAAATAAGTGGCAGTCGTGATTAAAATCGCACTAAAGTGTGAAACTGTATACTATGGTTCTATATATAGGGCGTGTGCACTTCCTTTAATTATATAATCTCGGAAGCAAGTGCAATGATGTATCCGCGGCAACTTACTTTTCCTTATTCTATTAGTTTTAGTCTGTATCTACAGTTAATCCATTATCTGATATCCGATATATATATAATTATATATATATATATATATATATATATATATATATATATATATATATATAGCTGTATAGTTTATGTATATTGCATGCTTATCATGTATAAAAATGTATGTTACGTATGCATATTTTTAGAGAGGGTCACAGGTTTGTCATTGACTGTTATATGCGTTATGTGTTACCCTCGTTAAATAAAATGGTTCAGTGAAATTTGTATTCGTACCGTATGTAAGAAAGGGCGGTGAAACTTCAATACATTGCCGTGAAACATGTGTGATGCACATTAGGACTGGGGCGAATAAGGGAAGGCGACAAATCATGTTTTCAAATGGAAATTTTTACGTAAACCCCAAAGAGACGGTGAGATGTGTTATTTTGCCGAAAATCTGGAAGGCGATTGCTGGTATTTATATTCATATTTTTATACTCTTTATATTTTATTAACTCTTTTTGTCGTTTATATATTATTTTCGATGCAGGGCTCCTTTTAAACCAGCATTATTTTGCTGAAGAGGACATCAACCCAAAATTTCGACATCGACGACGAACAACAAAATTGACTCCCTTATGCGTTTTGTATAAGAATGTGTGATAAAATTACCGTTTTTTAATAACTTAGATAAAAGTAAATGAGAATTCTCCTCAAATATATATTCACGGCCGTCGCCACCAAAACGCTCACTTCTTTTGGCTGTTCGTTAATATGTTAAATATTATACCATGCATGAAAAAAGTGATTAATAGGCTTCAAGAATCTAAAGTCTATAGCGGTATATCGTTCGCTAGTATTTAGAGTTCCGATCCGAGGTACTCCAGTGAAGTCTCTTCCATGGCGTTAACACAGCTATGAAGAAAAGAATAAGTATAGATGAGAATGTGAAGGAGACACTTCCCGCAATAGCAACGCCAACTAACGCGCGGTAACCATGTATCGAGCAACGTCGATTTCGGGATTCGTATATAAGCAGCAATAAGATTTGTACTAGGAATCCGCTGGTCAAACAAAACCTCCGAATCTTTTCGTGCATGGTACTCCGAGAACTCGTTTGAATTTATTGTTGTCTCGTTGACGCCAGTTTGCGCAGCATCTTCGTCATCATCTGCCAGTTTGAATAAATTTTTGAAAGTAAGAGATCTAAAACATAGGCTATTGATTTAAAAGATTTGAAAGTATCTTCTTGCTGAACCTATATTGTGATAATCTTTTTGCACTCGATCAATCGATGGCATGCCTTTCTTTTCGTCACATTTGATTTTCCGTTCTAGTATTTTAGGCTTCGAAACAACTAGCGCTTTGAAAAACTCTAAGTTTTTTTTTTGTTGTAACACTTATGAATATACCTTTTCGGTAATTGCGTCACAACATTACCGTTTTAAATTTCGAACCACCTTAATTAAATAAGATGGATTTTAAACAATTATTGGATGAGGTTTTTGACCGAGACCTTGATAATTCTGCATATCACAAAAACCGAATTCAATAATTGTTTTATTATACATTTGAAGAATAGTAAACATAGTATTAACGAATGAAAAACCTTATTTAATAGCAACATCCAAAAATAGATCAATTATTAATACATAAATACATTCAAATGAACACCGCTTGTTAACCACCGCAGGCTCACTTGCAGATAACCCTGAATTTTGCGTGATTGCGCGATTTATCTGTCAACTATTAGCCAATCAAATTGCTTTTACTACTATAATGTATAATAACAAGTTTTACTCTCACAAGCTAGGTGGAAAGATAAAAAACATCCTTCTTCGATACATTCACGAAAAATAATTTTTCATTTACACAAACAAGTGTGAAAATAAGCCATAACACAAGAACGAGGCTGTCGGTCGTGGCCTGGTAGCCTCGTTTTAGTGTTACGACTTATTTCCACATTTATTGGTCAAAATGAATTTTTTATGCATGTGTTGAAGAAGGATGTTTTGCATCTTTGCACGTGGCTCGTGAGAGTAAAACTTGAAATCCATCTAATTTAAGGTGGTTGTAAATTTAAAACGGGACTTCCGTCGACTATTTCAAACTTCTTTCTTTTGATTTTCAATTTCAGTACGCGAACTTCCTAGATCTTGCTTCCATTTAAAAAATTTGAAGAGAAAACGAAATAAACCATTTGTATTCTATTGGTATAACAGACATAAAATAAACAGTATAATATTACGAAATAGCTACGGTTGATTAGCGACTAAATGCCCTTCAAGCGAAGGGACTTTTATTGAATCTTTCCGGCTTTTGGGGACGTTTAATGAATGATTGACCTGAATGCCACGCTTTTTCTTATACAGGCTTTATGTCCCAAAAAAGTAGACAATCTTCAAATGACTCAATTGTTCAAATCGAAAATATTGTTTTATCTCGAAGAGCATTAACATGAAGCAGACGTTTCCCAATTTGTTGGCATGTTGTCAGCAACTTGTTTTGTTGTCCTGTTGTTATGCGGCATTCCGCATCCAGTCAAAATTATTTAATTACGAGTATGATTTTGCCATTAATTGCACGACTTAATTCGTTCTATTACTTATTAATTACATGCTTTCTGTAATCAACTTGTTTAAAAGAAATGTCCTAAAACACAATATGTTGAAGTTCAGTATATTGAATTTTGCTCACGACAATTCTTATTGAATACAATAATTTGAAAACTGGCACTCAGGTTAATTAAATACAATTTTGAATCAAATTTAAAAATTTATCATAATGAATAAAACATATTATTAACATAAAAGGGTGCGATTAATGATTAATCGCATATAGGGTATATAATTAGCCGGGTAATATTGTTATCTCAATCCTAAACCAAAACTAACAAATCACCTATATAAATAAGAAATGTAGTTATCAATCAAATATTTAGGCCAAATGAAAAATATCATTGGTTAGCACGAAATATTGTTGCAATTGCAGTAGCCAATCATAAAGGTTTTGTCTTCGATGAGGGGAATAAATTTCCCAGTGGGGACAAGCCTTGACATTCGCAATTTGCACTGGTACATCGTCTACTGGACTTTAGGCTCAATGGAGCAATTAGACCAAAAGGACATTCGAGATATACAATGTCACATAAACGAGCACGGAGTGTCTGGAGTAGGAGAATTGTTGAAATCGAAACTCAACCAATGGAAGGATGTTGAAATCAACATTGGATTAACAGGTGCTTCTGGCGCCGGAAAATCGAGCTTCATAAATGCCATAAGAGGGTAAGCTAGTTTAATCGTTTGCCTTGAATAAAGTACACTCATTTTTAATCCAAGTGCATGATGAAGAAAATTCGTAATCAAAATGATCTTGTGAATTATCTGCGAGAAACTACCAAATGCGAATGCATGTATGTCTCTTTTAGTTCATATATCTGGCTTCATCACACTAGGAAAACATCGCATAATTTGTTTCTTTAATAAATCAATATACAATACAATTTCAGTGCAAAACTATCGAGACGTTAGCCACCGCGGACAATTTTCGTCTGTTGATTAAGCCCCGTATTTACGCGGATATATTACGTATTTTTCGACAGAATTCACGCGTCAAATATAGTTTGCTCGTGTACGTTTCAGAGAAAAATTTTTCAGCGAGTCAGTGTATTGCGACAAAATGTCGAATGCTAATTTGAACGATCGGCTACCTCTCATGTATAAAAATGCTACTGTGCTGCATACAAGTGCGGTTGTGCTTCATAGAAATGCTACTGTGCTGCAAACAAGTGCGGTTGTGCTTCATAGAAATGCTACTGTGCTGCAAACAAGTGCGGTTATGCTTCATAGAAATTCGACTGTGCTGCAAACAAGTGCGGTTGTGCTTCATAGAAATGCTACTGTGCTGCATACAAGTGCGGTTGTGCTTCATAGAAATACTTACTAAAATACTTTTTAAAATAAAATAATTTTTAGAAAAAAATTTCCCGCTCTTTTGCAATTTACGCGAATTTCTCCTCAGAAGTACGCAGGCACCTACAACACGGGGATTATAGCACAGAGATTATAAGTAACACTATTGGAGGCATTGGTATCAGAAACATCAGTCGAAAAAGGGAATGCGTTCATCAAAGGCAAACTCAACTGAGTCCTGGATGCTAAGCCAAGCACCTATTGGCTACATCAATGCCTTTCCTTAACAACCACGTTAGCAAGAACTAAAATTAAACAGTGTTTTTAATCTGATTTTACTACCTAATTAGCCATCCTGAAATGATATTTTAGGAAAAAAAACATTTGGAAATAGAAAAAACTCGTTAAAAACGGCATATTTTGGCCTCGGATATCGTGAGTGAATATCCGGGACATGGATTTTCCCCACATTAACGCGCTCCCCAATTTCCCCTCGATGCCCCTTCTAGTGTTATTTATAAGCTCTATGGTTTTAGCAGTGACTACGAGTAGTTGTTTGGCGACTACGAGTTTTGACTGATGGCGTAAGCAAACAACGTGCGAGAATGACAAATCTCGTACTCGTAGTCACTGCTAAAGCCCCTAATTGATCAACGGTTACGGTAACTGAATTAATTGAGCTTTTATAACCCTTGATAATTACACAGCCTTGGTGATGATGATGAAGGAGCAGCGAAGACTGGTGTCACAGAAACAACAAAAGTGCCGACTAAATACCCTCATCCTACCAACAAGAAGATCAAATTCTGGGATTTGCCAGGTGTTGGTATGTACAAGTTAATCATTTGTTCAATTCACTGGACTGATGTTCTGTCTATCTATCTGTGTCCAGCCTAGTGCCTAGCTCTCACGCGCGTTGTAGCGTTGCCAAGCCGGGTTTTCAGCTGTACGTGTTGTGGGAGAAGGTATTCAAGGTAAGCTGTTGGGGGTCGATGTCACACCTACGCCAGTTCAGTTGGAACTAGTGCCAGGTACAAGCTCCAGAACCGCTTAAAACTTGGCCGTGTCCATGCATCCGTCCCATCAGTCCGTCCATCTAAATAATCTGTAAATCTGTAATTCATGAGACAGAGAACAGTTGTCTCAGACGGGATTTTCTTTCCAAACCGAAACTATTTCGATTCACAAAAATAGTCCGTGCACGGTGCACTTATATCACATAAAATGTTTTATTCCCAGTTGGCTCCATCTAACTCGTATAGCGGCGCCCAGTGGACTGACCAGAAAATGGAAAATTAGTTTTTCTGCATCAGTGATAAATCTTTTTTCTTCAGGAACACCAACACATGACGATGTTGCGGAATATTTTAAAGAATTTCGATTCGCAAATTTCGACACCTTTCTGATCTTTGCCGTGAAACGTTTTACTATTAACGATTACTTGTTTGCCGAAGAAATTAAAAAGAACAAAAAGTTGTTCTTCTTTATTCGCACTCACATCGATGTCGACATTGCTTCCGAAAAGCGAAAGAGATCATTTAATGAAGAGAAAACCCTAAAGCGCATCAAGGAAGATTGTTGGAAAAATTTGAAAGATGAAAGATATCGTCGTGATAAGCAGGAAGTTGTGTACCTCATTAGTAATCATCACCCAGACAAATGGGACTTTTCCCTTCTCACTAAAGCAATCATTGATTCGTTGCCGACCTGTCAGAAAGAATCTCTTACGTTCACCTTGACAAATTTCTCCAAGGATTTGCTAGAAAGGAAGGCTCAATTCCTTCAAGGTAAACTTGGGATATTAGCTCCGATTTACAGCTTTTGGAAATGTTCGGTGACATTAATATCACAGATGATCACGTTGACTCGTTTTACACTACGCGCAATTTCAGTTAGGTTTGGTACGGATGAAATTAGGACCATCTATTTAGGCAGTCAAAATTTCATCATTCATTTCACCATATAATATGATATGATAGGTGTATAAAGTGATAAATGTAGTGGTAGAAACTAACCCATACAAAATCGTCCGGACAGAGTGCTCAATGCTTGCGCAGAGCGATATAGCACAGGATGAGAAACACGAGTTACTTCATCGAATTTTATTTACTACAGAACTGTTTCGTATGACAAGCATTAAGCTTGCCACACTCATCAGGTAAATTCTTAACGCTTGTCATACGAATCAGTTCTGTAGTAAGTAAAATTCGATGAAGTAACTCGTGTTTCTCATCCTGTGTTGGATAACAAATCTATATATATATTATGGATTTGTTCGTAGTTAATCAGAATGCTCAATACAAATTAAATAGCATAGCAAATAAACCGAAACGAAGCAATAAATCAACAAATTACGATCTTAATTTTTTATTTCGCTACAAATTTATTTATGATATAATATTGTCATGTGATTGTAAAGAGGGCTGAATTTGATGTTACGTCGTAAAAGCATCACGCTCAGTTACTCATTATGTATTTTAGATCGAATTTGGAAGGTAGCAGCTGCTTCAGCCACCGGTGCATTAGCTCCTGTGCCTGGGTTATCTATTCTGATAGATATGGCCATGATTTATAAAGAGTTGAGTCTCTACAAATCACAGTTTGGTTTGCCAGAAAAGGAATCCAAAGAATTCCAAATGATGACCCGTGAAAATCAGGAGAAAATTCAAATGTTTTCCGGGTCAAATCATAAGGGAATTGCGAAAGCTCTTGCCTCGTACACTGCCAAGAGTGCAGTAGAAGAACTTGTTCGATTTATTCCCGTTGTAGGCCCTTCTATTGCAGGGAGCATTTCGTTTGCCGCTACTTATAGTTTCCTGAATGAAGTCATTAAAAAATTTAAAAAAACAGCACTTGATGTTCTGGACGAAATGCGGGATAGAGTCATGGATGAAGCGCGTTGAATGCGTGAGGATTGCTTGTGACGAACATTGCATGATTTTTTCATCTTTTGGCTTAAAATTGTAATGACTGTATAAATGTTAGTATCTTTAACACGCTCCCTAACCCTGGTTATTTTGGATTGTTAAACTTTAAATATATTATAAATATAATAAATAAACTATAAATAAACTATAAACATATTATGTATAATATGCCATATATTATATATATAATAACAAGTCTATACTATATTAAAAAAGAAAACAGGGATTAAGATGACAAATATTTACACAGAATAATAATGACGTTTCCGGCTTTGGTTCCGGGCAACTATGACGTTTCTTCTTCGCGGGCATGTTTGAATTCGCCCAAAATCAAATCATTGCCATTGGTAAATAAAGTAAAAATATAAAATGGCGGGTAAGGTAAGTGAATTCAGCTAATCGTTCGCAATTCTTGCTAGATTTCATGCTTTTAATCTATTTTTCGTTACGATCCCTGTTTGCCAAGTGTATATAAAATTGGATTCTTGTTCATGCGTGTCTGAAAGTAACCGATCGTTTGTTTTCGTCCGATTTCTAGACGTTCCTTGCACTCATCTTGGATGTTGGCCCAGCGATGTGCCAGGCACCAGCTGGCCATGAAACTGCACTGGAAACGTCGGTTAAAGCGATAAAGATGATTCTTACGAGAAAAGTATGAGATAAATTTGTATATTTTGTGTGGAAAGTTTGTTTAAGCTATGCGTGGGCAGTTTTCATTGTGCACGTACAGTAGACTTTTAATACTACAAGTGTATTGCAATTATCGTAAACACGTGTACTCAGATTTGTAGCAAATTCATGCATTGAGCAGTTTCTCTAATGAATTTTTATTTGAATGTAAGTTTGTAAATCGATGCACCGAATTTATTTTTTCATAAAAAAAATGTGATACGGAGCAGAATCGCATCGCAAAATTCAACGTTTGCAGCGCCAGTGAATTGAATGGTGGTTCATCTTTTTTTTAGATGTTTACCTCGCCTAAGGATGAAATAGCTCTGGTTCTCTTCGGAGCTGAGGGTAATCTAATTGTTGTATCTTATCTCTACCATGTATTTCTTTATGTGATAATTTATGTGATCGTTTGTGGTTGATATAAACGGTTTCATGAACATTGCATGTATTGCTGAATGTAAATCTAGCTGTCACCATGAAGGAAACTTGCACAATGCAGAAATCAAACCTGCTTTTATATATAGTAAAAAGCAGGACTGATACTCAATACCTATTAATCATCGATATATTGTTTTGATTTACTAAATGCAGAAACCGAGAATGAGTTGGCAGATGGTTCTGGTGGGTATGAGAATATCAAAGTTGCAAGAAAGTTTGCTTGCCCTGATCAGGATTTTCTTCAGTATGTTCATGATGGAATCGTTCCAGGTATATTGCTTTCGATTATTACGATTTTAAATCTTACTTCTAGAATACCAATAAGCAAGTTTTTGCCAAACGAATTCTCTGATAACCAGCAAGTTTCAACACACACGATTTTTTGCTGTTATGAACAAAATATTTGTGTGTCATTTTAGGGAATGAGGAAGCAGACTGTATCCTTTCAGTCCATTCGTATTTGCAGAAATAATCCCGATAAAATAATTTCAATTGCATCCTGCCCTGCAATATTGATTGAACTCTTCATGTCAATTGCTTTCTTAACAAAAAGTCAGTTGTTGATGCAATTGTGGTTGCTACACATCTTCTAAACCAAGCCACAATGTAAGTATATACCAACCCATTTACACAACGAAGTTTGTCACACAAGTTAAACTTTTTTCTGCTGTCGTTTGTGCTGTTTGTACCGAGGTTTAGATGCTGTTATATGAAAAACGAGCATTAACATGTTGGTAGTGTTGTTATGACTATCAAGATGTGTTTGCATTTTCTTCTCAAAGTTTGGTGACATGCTGTCAACGACTGGTTCTTGTTTGACACATAGTCATAATTCGTTTCGACTTCTTTAACTTAACAACCGAGTTTAACGCATTGTAAGGTGGAATCATGGACTGTCTATACATTGATAAAGTGCTGCAAATGCAAAATATACTACTGTACCAGGTCATTATTCAGGGGGTGAGGGTCGGACATGTCCACCCACATTTACGAGTTTTATAGCATAACCATCAGTACAATCATCTCATAACAGGCTTCGCCCTATTTTCTCTCTTGTCTTTATTAATTTTTTTGGAGGAAAATTAATACCCTTGCAGATTATTTCATGGGTCCCATCTCAGAATTCGTTTTGTTGTAGGGGTAAAAAGTGTGGTGAAAAAAACATGATGATGTTCTCGAATTTTGGATCCCCTTTTGGAGATGATGGCTTGGAGGCCATTATCGATGGCATAAAAAATTTGGAAACTAATTTTACAGTTGTGTATGTGTGTGGATATCTTTTTGCACGATTATATAACGATATTTACGAACACGATAAAGATTTTGCGAGAGGATAATTCACGTCTCTCGTTCTAACGGATCTTAGATGAACCTAAATTTCTTTCAGTGGACCAAACTTACATGATGATGATGACGAGGATGATGGTGATAATGACAGCACGAATACTCAAGTGCCAACCAATGCTGGACGAGCTCACAGAAAACCAAAGACGGCACAACAGGTCAACATTTTTGTATTATTTACTGCATAGTGCGTCGCGCATGGGACCCGAGATAAAAAGGAACCTGGGTGTGGCCAGGGCGCCAATGAAATAAGAAGATATGTGGGCTACGAACTGTCAGAAAATTTTGCAACGATTTAGAGACTTCAAATTAAAAAAAAAATATTCGTGCCCCTTGGGCGTGTCCCCTCTCTCTATATATAGGTGTTTTCACGACCATATCACACCGAATGTGCCGGGACCGAATTTTAGCCGAGGTCCTACGATTGAGTAATAATATCGTTTTACCTCGGTCTGGATTATTATAACTTTGATAATTTTCTAATAGAAACTTGGTGAAGAATGCATAAAACAAATCCTAGGCGAAGTGGAAGGACAGACATTTACTTTAAGGTTAGATTTTACTCGACTTTTATGTTAGAAACACACCCGTTCCTGAAAAAGTACCAGGTAATGTGTTTTGTTGATTCTATTTGTAGCGATGTATTGCCAATGTTGGCCTTCGTTGAAAAGAAAGCAATCAAGCAAACTACAACGTTTCGTGGACCTCTTCAAATTGGATCGAACATCAAGATAAATGTCTACGGTTATATTAGGGTAAATAAACTTGATTCCTCACGTGAAATTTGGGTCAATAGTAGTTTTCAGCACAGTAAACTGTCGTGGTTTGTGTCTGAACTACCTAAAAAAGATATCTCAAACGTGGTGGTCTAGTGTAGTTAGTATTCTGCAAAAATTAAGCTGTCGTGGTTTGTATCTGAACTACCTGAAAAAGATATTTCAAACGTGGTGGTCCAGTGTAGGTAGTGTTCTACAGTAAGCTGTCTTGGTTTGTGTCTGAACTACCTGAGAAAGATATCCCAAACGTGCTGGTCCAGTGTAGGTAGTATTCTACAATAAACTGTCTGAACTAAATTAAACATGGTGGTCCAGTGAAGTTATGGTACTGTGCAAGGTAAAGCTGTACCAGTCAAACAGCGTTCAATGATTACTCACTACAATATATTTCAGGTGAAAGAACAGAAGCCAGACTCATGGAAAAAGCTCTCAGCTCCAGCTGAAGCTTCGCCAGAACCGGGCGACATGGGTGTTGCAATACAGAGAACCTATCATCGAGATGACGAGGATGAAACTGAGGTTGAAAAAGAGGATTTGGCAAAAGGTTGGCGAAAACTGGGCTTCAATCGCCTCAACAAAAAACTTTTTTTTTTCATTTCAATTCCTGTTGACTACGTATGGTGATCTAATTGATTCTCGTTTAGGTTTTCGTTATGGTAAAACTTTGGTTCCATTTTTGAACGTCGACCAACAGAGCATAAAATTGGAAGCAGAGAAATGTTTAAAAGTGCTTTGTTTTACGCCTTCGTCTTGTGTGAGTTAAAAATGTAGTCTTTGAAATAGAACTTGTTGGTGCAGTGGTTCGTTTGTGCGTACCTTTGTTTATTCTGGTAATGACAAGGAGTGACATGCATAGTTCTTTGGGAAATAGTTTATAATGGTCTAGAAATATTCTTTCTGGATAGTATAAAAATGGTAAAACTTTGGTTCCAAGGCATGACTGTAAATAATTTATTAATTTTTAACCAATTCAGGTGAAACGACATCAGTATATGGGTGACAGTGTTGTAGCTTTTGTCCCTGAACCTGATGACCAGGTGAGTGTATCAGTCGGCGAACGTGATTGGTCAACGTATTATTGACGGTAATGGTGGTGTTATGGTCATATTATCAATTGCGATGGTTATGTTAACTTGGTAAAATAGTCGCGTTGGTGATGGTAATTTTGGATGTTTATAAGTGGATGGATTTTATAGATAACGTTGACTGTAATGACAGTAAACATGAATCATTTCAGGCTGCAGCTGTCGGTCTATCAGCCATCATTCGTGCTCTATACGAGTCGGACAAAGTCGCTATCGTGAGATACGTGTTCAGAAACAATGCTACACCAAAGATTGGCTTTCTTAGTCCACACATCAAAGAAAACTACGAGGTAGATTCTAATCCTATTCCTTATGTTTTTCCTTCAAAGAATATCGAAAAATATCGATTATTTAGACTCTGCGACGAATTATTTTCCTATTTAGTGTTTGTTGTTTACGGCTTTGCCATTTGCTGAAGATATCAGACAGTTTACATTCGCCTCTCTACCGTCAACTTCGAAACAAGAACCCACAGGTTTAAAATTGATTGAACTTTTTTAGTAAATTACGATTTCCTTGTATACTGAGATTCCCTGTGATGCAAAGTTTTATGGTCCGGCCTCAATTGACCTCTGAGCCTAAGGAGTACGATTGAGTTTTAGCTTGTCTAAATTCGGTGGAAATATAGCGAATTTGAATATCAATTAATGTTAGTGAACATATCAATCCTTCCTAATATAGATGAACAAATGGAAGCTGTTGATGATTTTATTAACAGCTTGATTCTTGGCAAAGAAAAAAGGTCTGCTATTTATTCATAATACCTCAGTCTTTAAAAGTATTGCATTGAATACAAATACTGTGATGGTCCAACAAGTGATGGCCCAGTCAAGGCCTTTCAACAACCGCCAAAACAACTCCTTTCCTTCCCTAGCGATGCTGACGAAGGCACAGAAGACGCTTTGAAACCGAAAGAGATATTCAATCCGTACAGACAGCGACTTTTTCAGGTATCCTAAGAAAAAACTAAATTTAGTCAACTATTCGTTTGTTAAATAAATTAGCTTGTAGGTATACCTCACTTAAGTATTTTATACTGTCCGTTAACCCGAACCTGTACGTGGTGTACCTACAAACTAATGTACTTACTGATGTCGCCATGAAAACATACAAGAATATTGTCCATTTGTTGGTCAACTATTCCTTTGTACACTGTGAACGATTTTTATGTTGAAAATCCATCGATGTTTAGTGTATCGTACATCGGACATTAAACCCCGGAGAACCTCTCCCGGACATTGATCCAGTGATTGAAAGGTAAGAATGGATGAGGAGCCTTTTGAATACAACTTGATCAATTTAATCTGCCTGCTTTATTTATCCTTATTTTGACGAAGTCCAATACTCTAGTTCAGCAACACCTGATATTTTCATGTTTCCAATTTCACGAAATTTATTTCCTCATGGATATAGTTCCGTTCAGCAACCTCACGATATTCAGGTTCAGTCAGCCGCTCATCTCGAAAAATTAAAGGTTTGTACCATAGAGTTTAGAATGATAATTCATAATGTTTAATTAAGTTGGCGTAATATGGGATGATGAGTGCAAGGACAAAAATCTTATTTGTGTAGGAACTGTTCCCACTGGAGGTTGTCGAGAAAAAGAAATCAATGAAAGATGAAGAAAACGTGTTCAAGACGAGGTGAGACCATAAAAGTTTGAAATAGCAATTGAAATAGGATTGAAGAAATAGGATGCCGTAGCAACAATTTCTCTTAAGAGAAATCGATCGGCGATTACACGAATATATCAATATACACGCCCTGCCCCCCCCCTCAATAAAGCTCCTAGGTTACGTCCCTGGTGCTCACCAAAGACGTTGATGACCTCTGGTGGGGGGGGGGAAGTGAGGTGGATATTTCTGTGATATTTGTGGATATTTCTGTAATACCTGTTTCAAATTTCAGCATGGATCTTGGTTTAAGTGACGATGGTCGTGAAGCGAAACGGCCGAAACTCGCTGGCGATTCTGTTATCAGCATGGACGACTTAACGAAATCTGAAGTTACTGAGGTGACTGGAATTAGTGTATTTTTCGATCATTTGGAGCACGGACTCTCGTTTGATTGAGAAATCATGGAAGGTTCTGACGGTTCGAAATTGTAACTAGATCTATTTTCATTTTTGTTTAGGTTGGAACTGTTGATCCTGTTGGCGATTTCACATATCTTGTGAATCTCAAAGATGTTGACCGCTTCAGCGAAGGTAAAATGTAATCATTGTCACCTACTACATTGTCATCTCGTATACTTATTGAAAAGAAAACTGTGAGATTCTCATTACATATGAACGGAGGGTGATAAGAGCTCTCTTGCAGGGGGAGCGATTCTTGCACCATTCTTCTCCACAATACTATGTTCCTATGTCATTTTTTCAGCGTCAAAACAAATGAAGGATCGCATTCTTCAGCTTGTTTTGGATTCATTCAGAGACGAGTTTTATGACAAGGCAATGCTGTGCATACATGCATTGCGTAAAGAATCCATCAAGGTTTGTTATATCTCCATGTTTATCTTCAGAAAGAAACCTAAACTACACCGAATTTCACACACGACAACTCGTAGATCAATTTCTTAGATCCTTTCTGCTGAATTCCCTTGAATGGTTTGATATTTAAAAGTGAATTGCACAATCAGCCATTGATACCTCGATATCAATTTCGTTAAGGCAGTGGAGGGGCAAATGTTCAACACCTTTCTTGAAGATTTGAAAGAGCAACTTTGTAACAAGGCATCGTTCTGGGCTCGAATTAAAGAAGGTAAACTATAGGGGGCCATATTTCTTTCGACGAAATGATGATTTGCGAATCTCGTTGTATTTTTATATAATCGATATTTTCAGAAAAGGTAACTCTGATCAATAAAAACGAATGTGGCGATGTAAATATCACAGAGGAAGCTGCAAAATCGGTAATATTTTTTATTTAATTTTTATCTTATTTAAACTTGGGTATTTCTTTTTGAAAAACGTCAAGACGTTGTTGAATTGGTGTGATATTATGGTCTTGTATTTATGCTGAAAACATGTGTTTAGTTTTTGGAAGATGTCACCAGCACACCGGAAGAAACCCCAGAAGAACCAGTGGAAGACATCGACGATTTGGTAATTCCCTTTATTTTCACACCAATTCATTTTTGCTGTGACACATTCATGAGAATGTGTTTTTGCCTCTTGTCTAGTCTAGGTGTTTGTAAATATTTTACATGGTACTTAGACTTTTCTATATTTTCTCGTTTTTCAGCTTGAAATGATGGGTTGAACTGTACTGTTTTATGTCTACACTACAGTAAGTCCACCCGCAAATTTATTGGTATAAGCTCAGTTTATTGATGACAGCCATTTCCATTTCACCTTTCCGAACATTTCCGTACTTCTTTTAAGTTTTGTTCCTTCATGCGTTGATGAACGATTGGCGGCAAAAAAACGATGAACGTTTGCCCCGACGCTAATTTATAGTTAACGTTTATTTGTTGATTGTAGATATAAAGAAGATATCCTAGAAATGTACAGTTTTTATACATTTACACTTAGCATTCTCAGGGTTTTTGTACTTTGTATTACGGACTGCAGTTTAAGTTATGATCTTTTTGGATTACAAAACAAAACATTTGAGTTTTTGAGGCAAGAAACTATAGAGTTTTGAAGACTTTTAAAGCTGTTTTTTTTTTCACTTTTAAAAACAGAAACCATTCTGATGATCCTAACATGAAGTATTTCTCGTAGGTAAACAAAAACACTTAACAAAAACTATCCCCGCCGCGGGTGTATTAAATTTATTGTAATATATTTATTATTCTATATTATGAAGTGGTATACTTAAAAGTACGACTTAAAGGCACGCAAAGGATATAATGTCTGTTAGCTAAACCGAGTATGAAGTTCTCGTTTCAAGCTCTTCAACTTTGTGTTGAATGTGTTCTAATTGCTACTTCCTCGGTCGCCGAATTTCCACCGAAATTCGTGGAGGATCCTTCATCTGTTTTGCCGTCTGGTCATTTGAAACAGTTTGGCTACCATCGTCTTCCTGAGGGACCTGTCGCGGAGGAAAGTGGTTTCTTACATCCAAACATCTTCTGGCAGAAATATGTCAGCATTCATAAACCGATGGTGTTTAGACAAGCGGTTGCAGACAGCCCAGCAATTGTGAAATGGAATGATGCTTATCTGGCTTCGGTGTATGGCGACTTAGACTTGCTTTTGGAAGTGAAAAGAGAGAATCGAACGAAAGCGCCCGGTAGGACAAACGTAAAGTCGTTCTTGGAGAGGTACAAGGAAGAAGATATATACGCAGTGACCTTATTGCCCGATCCGATGAGATCTGAAGTTCAGGTAAATATCAATTATATCATACAGCTAGAGTATTAATTATTAGAGTATTTATCATAGAGGGTAAATATCGCAGGGTAATTAATCATAGAGGGTACGTGTACATCAATATGACAATATCATAGAGGGTACGTGTATCAAAAGCACAGCAAACTCTTTCATCCTGTTTATGAAATTTGCATAATGTATCACTAATTGATGAAAATTATATGAGTCAGTTGCACTACCATTTAAATGTGTTTTGCAGTTCAGCTACTTTAGGTAGGAAGTAACTTCTGCAAATTAAAGTGTTTCCACTTTTTAGTACACTGTTTTCACAGTGTTTTGTAAACCTGTAAGTATGGTATATACAGAAGTACGGATCTAGAATAACAGTCCACGTTCGGTTTTTCAAAGGTTCCAACCTGCCTGCTCTGCGGGACATTCAGAGATTTCATGCACGAGACAAACTTCTGGATGAGCTCAGGAGGAACTAGGTCTGTCATCCATTATGATGCTGATGAGAATCTTCATTGCATTATAAATGGGAGTAAAGATTTCATGATGATGGAAAACAAGTTTAAGAAGTTCTTACCAATGTTTCGAAAGGTATTGTTACAAATGTGTGTTTGTTAATATAACACCAATGCCAATAGTATTAACATGTATATTTCACAATCCTGAATGTTCTAATCAATTTGATTTTTTAGAAACAATTCACTGGATCAGGCTTCTCGTCCTTGGACCCAGATTCTGTGGACTTAGTGAAGTATCCTGATGTTGTTAAAGTTCAGTGGACCTATGCTACACTTTATCCAGGCGATTGCATTTACATACCATCAGGTAGGACTTGTACATACCATTATTTGTTGTCTTCAACACTCCCTTTGTGAAAGATTGCTGGTTGTATTGCAATATAGATCTGGCATATTTGCACTTCATTTTCATTATTATAACAACAGCCTGTAACAGTGAAGAACCAAGGCATGTGGTGATTAGCTAGCTGAAGGTTGCATCCAAGTTCTATGTAGAGATCAGTGGCTAATAGTGAGCACACCTTATAGTGCTTAGGGAAAGTGCGAAAGACAGGAAACTCTCTTCGTCAAGATTACCCAAGCACCCCCGGGCGCCCAGCTCTTTTAGACGTTGATCTCAAAATAACAGCTGAATTCACTCCTTATGTTTTTCACCAAAAAAGTCAACTTGAATATCCTTCTAGTTGTGAATGTCGCATTTTCGTTTCAGAATATTTACACCAAGTACGTTCATACAATCGAACTATCTCCGCTACGATGCTGTTTACAGCAGACACAGAAAAATCTTTTCATGACACGGGGTGTGAAGACACAACTTTTGACTATACGCCCCTGAGTGATATAGACGTTCACTGGACTTATCAGAAAGGAGACAGGACCATTGACATGGGTTACATTAATTTGGAAATCGTAAGGAAAAATTTGATGGACATTATTGACGAAACGGACAAGGGGCAATTTACAGCTGATGATTTTGCGTATTTTTATGACATGGTGGTTGAGGGAAGAAAGAAAAAGGTAAGCGGTTTCTAAGAATCCCACTGAAAAGAGGTTTAAATTCAGGTTCACAATTATGCAATCGGTGAATTTATCTGCCTTTTCTCTGTTGACGATGTCTGTTTTTTGAAGATTACCTTTTTGTTTATAGTCTGTATTTATACTTGTAGCTTTCACTCGTTTAATTTAATTTTATTTCATTTCAGTCGGGTTTGGAATTATCGCATCTTTTTTTCTAGGTATCTGATGAGGCAAAAGAATTGTTTAGCAGAGTATTCGAAGTGGATGGGAACACCGCGATAAACGAAGAGGTAATTCGGCAACTTCCAAGGGAAAATTTGAAGATTCTCGCTCGAAGCATAGACAAACCACATGGGCCTGTACTCAAAGAGAATGGAAGCAGTGAAGATGAGGAGGATGATGAAGAGGATGATGAAGAGGATGAAGAAGAGGATGAACAGGATGAAGAGGATGAGGATGATGATTTCAACGCCAATATAAGTCATGATAAAGACGAATTATAATACATCTTGCTGATCAAAATTGGTTCCATTTTGGATTTTTCATTGAATTGAATTATTAGTTTTTGTAGTTCGTCTGAGCAGACGATCCTTTCTTAGGAAGCTTGCTGATATAGATCGAGAAATTTAACTAGTTTTGTATCGATATTTTTTTTACGATAGTCAATCTGTACGCTTTTGCTTATTTAATGTCTTGATATTTATCTCAAAAATATATTTTTCTGCCGCAAACGGACGGACTTATTAAAGTTCAACTATATTGTATCTAACATGACGTACGGTTGGGCCTTAAGTGAGTGACTCTAAGAAAATCAAAATGGCGGATTCGAAAGAGTTGATAAAACCTCGTCGTAAACGTCGGCGGTTCACGAGGCCAGAATACCCCTTTCCAGTACCAGAACAATGCAGTAAGGTTGAGGATAAATGGTACTATTATCAGGGGTTTCTACGAGATAATTGTGTTACTGTTGAAAACATTGGTGATCTTACATTGCTTTACAAAATGGTAGGTATAAGGTATTTAGTAAACAACTTTCTTTTTAAAATATTGTGTACTCCGTTGCCATATGTGTTTGAAAACGATTGACATTCTATTTGTTTTTTTACAGGGCTTCTTTGGCAAAGGTATTCTATCAAGAAGTAAACCAGAGCATGAGAAGATTTCAAATGTTTCTCAACTTGCATTTTCAAATTCCGACAGACTTCGACGACGTAAGAACGATATGTGTGTACAATGCATTAGTTGTATAATTTATGGTACGCTAGCCTACATGTGTGAGTTTTGATCTTTTCTGGTCATTTCTAGTTCCACCAAATGAAAGACGAATTCGTCAGTCAAAGTTTCGCAAGTGTAGAAAAGAAAGGTATGCTACACAACCACTGATCTGTAAATAATCCTGGATAAAAATTAAATACCTAACAAGACTTAGAAAACGTTTTGCCAGATTTTTACAGCATATGAAATGGAGCAAAATGTGTCATTCATCTGACGAGAAGGAAGTCTTGGATTCGAAATTAGAGAACCAGTCTTCTGACGAAGATACAGAACAGGGGATTGAGGAGGATAGCAGTGAACGTCAGGGAGCAGGAATAGATAACGATGATTATGTTAGAATAGATGATGTTCTTCAAGAGTTGGTTAACAAAGACGTAAAGCAGCCCAAGGTAGTAGTTTGATATCTTGTTTCTCAAACCTTTCAAGTAATTCGATAAAATTAGTATGTGAAATTAGTATCTTCCTAGGATTCCGAAAATCCGGGAAAACCGGATAAGCCTGATCCTTACAAGATTTACGAGTTTCTTCAGCTCACGTTTGAAGAAGCATTCTTTCTAAGCTTTGGTCTGGGTTGTCTTTCTGTTATCACAACTGCTGAAGAGGTAAACCGCTGAGCTACTTTTTTGCCCATTCATATTTGCAATTTCTGCTGCGAACTCATTTCACGAATGCTTTTTAGAAACTGTCGCTTTCAACAATGTGGTCGGAGTTCAGTAGAAGAAACGTTGATTTTGTCAGAAACTACATCGCGTATCATTACTACCGCAGCAAAGGCTGGGTTCCACAGGCCGGCCTGAAATATGGAACGGATCTTGGTAAATCGATTTGTATATTAAATATACGTGTGGTCTGATTTCAGGCAAATAAGTAATAAAGTTTCAAAGCAACAAACGGATTTCCCTAATGCCAGGGGCGGTTAATTTAACGGTCTCGTGCAACTCTTGGGGTCGGTTGTATCAAGCCCATTTAGCTTAAACGGTGGTTAAGTTCAAAATGGAAAACAAGTTTATCGTTTTATTCAAGAAGCAAGCTAAATGTTTTTAACCTTAATACAAAGATAATAATTGTTTACAACTACATATTCAGTACATAATAATTATTCGAGAGAGATGTAAGGGTTTTATTTAAATTTGACTTATCCACCGTTTAAGCTTAACGGGCTTGATACAACCGGCCCCTGATCTCTTTTGACCAGGGCTTGAGGGTTGATTTAACTCTCATGCAAACTCTTGCTTGTCAACTCTCATATAACTTCTGTTAATTTTCCTTCAAATTGAGATTTAATGAAACTACATTATAAACTTCTATTCTCACTTCTTAATTGTTATTTTTCTTGCAGTTCTGTACAAGAAAGGGATGCCGTTCTTCCACTCCAGGTAATTGCCATAAGTTTTTTAAGGAGAATAAAGATTTCTAACTCGATTTATGAGGTGCTTCTCTGAATTTTTCTGAGTTTAGCTACGCGGTGGTAACAACGATGGTGAACGAAAAAGGCGATCACCTTGAATCTGAGATGAATATTTCCAGTGGCGGGAAATGGACTTGGAAGAATTTGATATCTTTGAACCGTTTAAATGAGCATGTTGCTAAGGTTTGAGGGGATCTTATTTTTCTAAAACACTTCCTGGGATATTACTGACAAAGATCTAAAGATTGGTTTTAAGTTCTACATTGTATTATAAGATATCTTACGTTATCCTTTAGAACCTAATGTTGAAACTTATAGATTCCTTTGATGTCTCTCAAAAGACTCCTTTTATCTTTTAGGAAGTGTTGCTGTTCTCCGTGACCATTCCCACAGGTATCTGGTTTTAATATGTCATTGAAACATTCATCAATATTCAAAGATTTGACAGTTTTACTTGTACAATTTCAGGAACAACGGCCAAAGAATTGGAGCACCCAAGCATTGTTAAGAACTGCAAAGTACAGGTATATTTTAAAGTGAATAGACCCTTCCTGAATCTGCTTGAGCGCACACAAAACAATAGCTTGAAAACGAGGCGGGCAATGAAATCGTTGTTTCTGGGATGGTTTTCATTGCCCGAGAACAAATTCAGGAAGTGTCTATTTCAAGCCACAGAGCAATCTTTGATTATTTGCCTCTCGCAGTTTATACGTGAATCCTGAGCTTAAGTCGGGTTAAAATTTGTGTTTCGAAGGAGCTGGTAATGCGACGTTGGATCCCGAAGCGTGAACGAGAAAGGTCCTCGGCTGTTGGTCGTGGCTGGACGGTGTAACTTGAGGATTATGGTTGATAAAAGAGGACAGGTTGAAATTGTGTTGGATTAATCCTGCATTACTAAAATCCTTGCTTTAGGAGAGAACACTATGACCGTTTTCTCCGTATCCCTTCCCAAAGGGGGAATGAGAAATACAATGTAGCTACATCCCCTGAAATGTACCTTTGCATCCTGCCATTGAATCAAGATGTTGAGACAATATGAAGTTTTGACGCGACAATTTTTCTCTGGGTCAATTCACTGCGGGCGCAGAAAATTGTAACACATAAAAAACGTAAATAAACAAACCGAAAAAGCGCGTTTTTAACATTTTTAAAAGATTTTTACACGTGTTTTAGGACGATTTAGTTTTTTTTAACCGTTTAGCAATTTTTGACTGCGTGATTTTCCCAAATACGGACAATGTCATTGTAGAAGCTTCTTTAGTGTTTGTCTTTTGAAAATATTTGTCCCGGATCGATGATCAAGCTCGCAAGATTAATAGTCTTTGTTCAATTGAGCGTTCTGATCGAGGTTTCAAAGTCGCTTGGATAATTTGATTCTTGCTTGTTTCTCGACCATATGCCGCACGAAGCCGTTGTTCATGGCTAACCCTAACGTAGAAACCTCACATAGGCTTGAAAAGGCATTCAAGGTATGTAAAAACATCTGGAAAATACGACAATCACAGCATCATGCTGGACTTGTTTACAAACTTAATTATTGCTGCCTCCTCCGTTCTGCTGCCTGCATATTTACATTAAGCTTAAACCAATTTCTGCCTTATATTTTCCCAGATTTTCACGTTTGTGTTTAGAGTAAAAGCTTAAAGTAATTTATATTATATTTGATTAAACAATCATGTATATACTTGTCGATAAGATCTTTGCTTTTATTTGGAAAACGCTTGACTAGTCACCAAATACGGGCTAATTATTTTTATCTCGATTTTTTATGGCATTTGTTGAGTGGAGAATGTGCTAGTCGCGCCTGTTCTCCTTTCACTTGTAATGTGTATGCAGCCTTATGGATTGTAAAACTGCATGATAGAAAAACTATATTCATCCAACATTTTATCAGGAAAAATGTAAAAATTTCAGCATTTCTTGTGTACATTGCTTTAATTATTATTAATGATGGGTACTATAGGGGTCTTGAGGCTAGATTTATGCACTCAAATTTGTTTCTTATTTGTTAAAAATATTAGAAAGGATCCCTGTAATTTACAATTTGGTCCTATCTCTAAAACTAGATTCCAGCATTCCACATGCAAACAAGCATGGTTGCCCTGTAGTATATAGGCACAGCTGTTTCTAGGCATTGTGTAACCAGTTATTGTTATTAATCAATAAAGTTTTCAATCTGGGTTCAATGCTAGTTCATCATCCTGTATTTACAAATTTCATTATAAGTTTGAAGTGTGCATGGCTGTAGCTTAATATACACCAGTGTTGTATTGTAACTCCACAAATATTACTTGTCAATGGTATAGTGCCCTCTGATGTGTACCCTGTGGTTTCTCTAAAGTAACATCATTTCGCTAATGATTTTAGGTGATTTCTGTGGCCACAGCAAGAGGAGATGGCTCAAGGAATGAAGCTTTATCACCCATCACTTCACCAACTCAAATACAGAAAGTTTCCTTGGTAAAGTTGACACCATTGGAGGCAACTAATGCAACTCGGACATCAGGTAAGTTGAGATAAAATACTCAACATTCTCTTAACTGCTACGTAGACAAAACATTTCATTTGCATAAGACATGAATTTGGGAGTCTCGGAAAGTTCCAAACTGGTAACTTAATACTTTCCTAAAATACAAAAAAGTTCTTGTATGCAGCTTAATAGCTTAGAGCAGTTTTTAACTCCTGAAAGGAAGTTATTAAAAAGTCAAAACTAAAGTAGGCTACACACGTAAAAATCATCATGTTGATGCAAATTGTTAAAAACAGGGTTAAACAATGTTGTGCTGCACCCTGTGAACATTATTGTTAACAATGTTGTTGAACCTTGTTGAATCATCAATGTTGTTGCAATATGTTACAACAACATTGCATCGTGATTACATCAACATTGATGATTCAACAAGCTTTAACAACATTGTTTACAATACTTTTCCCAGGGTGCAGCACAACATTGTTCACCCCTGATGCGACAACCTGATCAATTTTTGGCCATGTAAATTAATTTAATCCCGCAGGATTCATGACAATCTTCAAATCTCTGTTCATACACATGATGAACTGTTGGCTAAATTGCAGAATACCCGTCCACCACTCATGCAAATAACATACCCATTATTTCACTGGATACGCGGATACGCAGTCGAAAATTGTAATGCAATGAATAGGTCAGCGGTAATTAGGTTTTTATTACATAGCCTTAATGTTAGTAATATTTACCTGAGTTTATATTGCTTGTTGTCGCTAACAACGCTGTACAATGCTTGTTGTCGTTTCTTATTGTTTGATTATTTTTAAACATCCGAACAACTTCGATTGTGTTTTCATGAGACCAGTCGAATTTCGGTCGTGCTCAATTCTGTCTGGTTCATCTGTTCACACAGAAATATTTATACATGCTGAACTGTTTAGACATCCATTTAAACCTGAATATGTGAATCGCAAACATGAACTATCCATTATCCAATGAAAAAGAAGAACGCTGAAAAGCGAAAAATTCGAATTCACACAAACACTGAAACTTTAAAATGAGCCCGTAGTGCTATGCAAAAGAATGTCAGCGGCTTGCGCAGTTCGAAACGGTCAGTTACGGTCTCTTTTTTCCGTTTTTCTCCGTTTAGTCATTTTCGGTTGCGCTTTTAACAGTCTTTTATATGAAGCGGAATTAAAGTCCATCTGAATTAAATATCTGACCGGGCATGATAGCCCACAATCCACTTCATCAGATATGATCAGACATCACACAAAATATCATTCCGGCAACATTAGTAATATTGACTTCACGCGGACACCGTCATACCGTGTCGGAACAATCAACCGCTTTTCATACCATGAGTATCGCAAATTGAGATTGAGTGCTTTTTCACACCTTTCCAACAAAGTACACATTAGCCACCTGCAGCTGAAAATTGAAAAAAATCTCAGCAAATTTCCAATCAAGGATTAGAGCCATCGGTATAGTACCTGCAGTTCATGTAACTATGATTGGAAACTAGAAAAGGTGTTTATATTTTCTCGATTCTCGACGTGAATACTAAATTTTTTGCAAAAGGCGGGAATTTGATAGCCTGTTGTTGTTGAATGAGTTAATTCTTCAAATGGTTCTCCTCTTTGCACGCAAGCGCTCTAAATCTCTTCAGTTTTGTTTTTGATAACTTGATAAGTTCCATAAGGACGTATACCCATTATTTTCCATCGAAACGACACAATTTCCTGGGTTAATAGAGCAGAAAAAAGCGATTTCTGGTCGATTCTACACGATACTGGCAGCCTTCAGAAAGCTCTTTATTACATGTTTTGATCTGTGGGAAAACAATACCGTTTTTTATTGCAAGACAAAACCACGACCGGGTTTGCGTGGGTTAATACAGGCGCTAATTTTCAAACTTTGTAAAGTTATGCAAATCGGCTCAGTGTGACGTTTGTGAAATCAGCAAGAGTTGCTTCAATTCTAAAGAAAGAAGCCGATTTGGCAGCACTCTCTCTCGCGACGTGCTTCCAGAATATTCAAGTTTGTTTTGTTTTAAAGTGAGGATTCTAACAGTATTTTCAGGCGATTTTGAGAAGCATTTATGACAGTTATTGTTGAAGTTTTTTGGTAAGCATTTAACAACTCGCTTTTCGTTTATTTCTGAATGATTAAAGACACGATACTCAGTCGTTTTCCCGCTACAAGGATACAAATTACATCGATATGTAACGACTAACGTTTGTCGCTTGTGGGGGATGTGAATGTGGCCAATGGATTGCTAGAAATATATTTTATAGTTGCTTTTATAATTTGAGAGTTATTGAACTTATTACGCGATGCTCAAAATGTTATGCCACAAAGCAGATTAGCTTACTGCTGGCAATGTTGCCTATATAATAGACTTCGTGACCTACGTTATAACTTGACCAATAACCATGCAAAATCATCGCTGGATGTGCAATATTTCTTTCGACCACAGCCACTTGTATATCGCTTTTAAGCTTAGTAAATTTCTACCTTTTGATAAACTTAAAAATTCCGAAACGAATTATGATTTTGTTATAATTTTTAGTAAAATCGGAAAAGCATATATCTTTCTTGCTATATAAAGAGATATATATAATGACTTGTCTTTCTAGAAAAGGATTTCCGTTTTCGTATAACCATGTATATGTACCGGTATTTTGAAATTCGCTCGATTTCTCAGGAGAACTTTAATCATAGGAATTTAGGTGGAAATTTCCTACCGTTACTCTGCATGTTGTGATCAGTTCGAAAGCTTCCTGATCGGTATACATGCAGATTGATACTGAATTTTTTATATGATTTTGTTTGGGATTATTCTAATTATTACAGGAACCAATTAATCCGAGTTTAAGTTGTGTTCATTTGAGAAATATTGTTGTGATATTCAACATAATATTGAATCACACAAAAAAAATGCATAATTATTATACATATTAAAAAAGTTTTCTACCTGGTGGTCTGTGTTTAATTGTTGATATAAATCGCTGCATTAAGGTCTATTTACAAGATGCAATTTTGCTAATGGACGCTTAATAGACAGTTGACTTGCAATGTATATGGCCAGCAAATCAACTAAATCCATCGGAGTACACATTTATCAATTCATACGTCAGAAGTAACCTCGATCCAACAAAATTGGGTTGTGTGAAGAGACATTTAGGTTACTCTAGCCACGTTTGTCAAGTCAAGATTACAACATTGTGCAAATGTCTAAGGCCGTTCTATAAACATTTGGTTAACTTTTAACTGTGGTTATTGGCAGAATCGTGTATTTTGAAGATAACTACGATTTAACCATCCTTGATGTAGTTAAAGAGTTTTATACAACTTTATCTTGACGGTTAAATTTGAAATACCTACTATCATTGACTTTCGTTTTACTGAATTCACTTTCTCTTGCTCATCTAGCTCTCTCCCCGAATACGTTGAATAGACTCGTTGAAGAACAGGCAAAATCCCACGAAGCCATTGAGGTATGTTAAAACTGGTGTCAAGGGGGGCAGAGGAGGGGTTGGCATATCTATTATATAATATTATTTGGTCCTTGCATAACTGTCATTTTGTTCCACCTTTAGGCCTTGCAGCAACGTGTGCAGGCAGCTACGCCAAGTAATTTTTTATCCGATGCACGCAAGGTAATTTTTTACACTTATTCACATAATCCGGGCTTATTTACACACAATTCAGCGATGAATTGTCCTTCATTAGCTTAAAACGTGGTTTGTTAAGGTCTTAATCGTCTCAATCGTCGTAAAGTTGATAAATTTATAGACTTAATTTACTTGCTCCTAATTTGTGTTCCTACCGTCCTAGGAATTAGAGCAAAGTGCCGTAAAACAAAGGAACGTTTTGAACCAAATACTTGGCACACCTGTGCCGTCCTCGCCGGCGACGCTATCGAAGACTAGAAAAGGCATTCAATCCGCCATGTTGGATATTTCAAGTGACGCCATGCATTCAACACCGCTTGCCCAAAAACTTTTCCCCGCTGGCTCAGATTTTGGTGATGACATTGAACATGAGATCCTCAACAGGAAGGACTCGAACAGAAGGAATAAGAAATCCGATACGGATAACGATACCGGGGTCGAATCCGATACGGGTTCTGATCCCTGTGGTGAAGATGACGGTATCAAAAAGCCTAGAGTGGAAATGACTGGAGTATTACCTACGAAAGATCCTGACCGGGCCAGACATTTTTCCCCGATGGGAAAAACGGCCTTCTCGCGTGAATCGAATTCAACGCGTGGAAAGCACAAAGACGAATTGCTGGTGTATCTTGAAATAATTGAACAAAAAGCATTAGCTGTTGAAAGTTTGATAGAGCAAGCTAAATTAGATACGGTGCTTCACATACGGAAGCAAATTGAAGCTGAATTCAATGGTGTGCCTTTGCAAGAAATCCCCGCAAAGTGCCATCAGAAAATCGACCGCGCTATACAGAGATATCTGGAGCGAGAATTGGAAAAGATCCGAGCGAATTATGAAAACAAGGAGGCTGGGAGCGAGCCACATGGCGAAGTCGAGAGAATTGATAGAGAGAGCAAACAGAGTGGCATGGGGAGAGGGAGACCGAGCGATGAAATTCAGGACCTGGAGCGGGAAAACGATGATCTGCGAGATAGAATAGGGGGTCTGGAAGTGAGTGTCGACCGGGTCGACAGGTTGTACTTGATGCAGAAAAAGGAAAACGAATACTTGACCGAGAAGGTCACGAAGTTGGAACGACAGTTGGCGAATGAGAAACTGAGGTATGAAAATGATCTGAACAATGTCAAAAACGACTTTGAGGAAACGAGAAAGGATAGGAATTTTTCGAAGGAGAAAACCATCGCGAGTAAAATTGACTTTGGAAACGATTCTGAGACGATGGTTTCGCTTTATCGTAAGTTGGAACAAGAGGAAAAGCAGAACAAAGCCTTGAGAGTTGCCGGAGAGGCAGACCAGACGACCATACGATGTCTTGAAGGGAAAGCAAGCGAACTTGAGCGAGAATTGCAAAATTCAAGGCGAGAAGTGAGCGACTTGTTGCAGGAAATCCGCGAACTGCAAGGCCACGCAGAAAGACGGGACAGGAAGTTGCAGGAATGCGAGGCTCATTTGAAAGAGGTCTTGGACGAGAGACGAGTGCTTCGGGAGACCTTGGTGATGTCTGAACACGAAATATCGCTTTTGGAAAATAAACTAGGAGACGACAACAGCGGTGCTTGGAAGGACAGCAAGAAGGAGATCTTAGGAGAACTACGAAAGCTTGAAAAACACATCAAGGTTATACATAAAGAGAAACGAAAGCTCGAAAATAAATATCTTGCTTTTAAGATCGAGAACGAGCATTTGAGTGATTCACTGCATTCGTTCAGTAAGACCAAGGATATCTTGACTCCAATGAGCAGTTGCAATGTTAGTCGAAATCAGAGCACGTTATCGTCGCACTCCAGTTCGAGGTCTTCGTCGCTCGCGGGCTCAGATCTGGAAGACGAGGAGGCCGAGGATAGTCGTCATGTAAGCCGAGGGAGAATTGCGCATGGAACTGGGCGGAGGCGAAAACGGAGCGTACAGGATCAGAAAGACAAGTAAGTTGCTAAATTAACTTTTTTAAAAACTACAAAGCTTTATCAGTTCTAAACTGTTCTTCCTAGAGGTCCAGTAAGGATCATCTCTTATTGATCCAGTGTTCCTCAGGAGGAAACCTAAACTAAACTAACTTTATTTATACTGGATAGCTCTATCAGTTCTAAACTGTTCTTCCTGGAGGTTCAAAAAGGATCATCTCGTATTGATCCAGTGTTATACTACAGAGGAAAACCTAAATACTGGATAGATCTAACAGTTTTAAACTGTTCTTCCTATAGTGGTCCAATAAACTTATAAATTTATCATTTGATTTTTAAGAAAATTTGCAGAAGCTGTGGCAAGAAAGCTGATGTTTGCACAACAAGTTCTCAAGGATCAAAATTGTAATTTTTCTAGTTTCGAAAATTCCGGGGATGATCTTATCAATGAAGTAAGTGTCTCTCAAGATGGAACTGAAAAATCTCCTGAAGATGTCTTTTTTATCCATATCTTATTCGCTTTTGTAGGCAGACCAGCTGGTTAAAAAAGTGGACAGTTTGCAAGCTGAGAAGCTTGCGATAAAGATGGAGCTTGAATCTGTACGATCAGCCCAACCGGTTTCCTAACCACCGAACCATGCAGTGTCTCTCAACTCGTGTTTCATGCACTCGTGGCTAGTGTATATGGTGGAAAATGTCGAAGAAATCTCTTAATCTTCATTTAGTAAACTTGCGAGGTTTTGTGAAATGTGAAAATTATAGCCCAGTGCCAGTGGAGTACTTTAGTGCATTTAGAAATTCTCCATGCAAATGAAATTCTTAATAAAAATGTATATTCAGAATTCGCCAACTTTAAAAGGCTGTATTTTATTATCTAAATCTGCTATTTTGTCAAATGAAAACTTTTTATACAATTGGTTCACAAGCTATTTACATTCATTTTTTTCACAAATATTTTTACGAGACCTATTGTGAAATTTTATACATGAAATCGTTGTGTGATGCTATTGTTAAATGTAAATACTAGATGTTGTTACTGCTAGTGCAAGTCGCTTACAAATTATTCATAGAACAATACATATGTTACTTTGAATAGACGAGGTATTGCACATTTAATTTGTGAAATTAAAGTGAGGTAACACATGATCATGATAATTATCATCATGGTTACCATGGCAACCGTCATTGATTATGCTAATATTGATCATGATCATCATAAGGATCATTATGGTTGCCATAGCAACCATTATTTTTTAAGATTATTATGCTAATTATGATCATGAAATCATGATGATCATCATGATCGACACGTTGGTTCTGCGCAAAACGTCCCTTCTGATGTAAAGATTCAAATGTTTTGAATTATTCGGAATATAATCTCCAATTCGTATTCATTTAGAAGAATGAGGAATAGGAATAATAATGAAGAATAGGAACCTATAGTAATTTAAATATTTAGACACAGCATCCCAACAGCACGTACAAACTTACAACGAAAATTCGCGGATAGGTTTTACTGAAATAAACTGAAACAAAATGTCACACAAAACTCCCACCTACTTCACACAATAAAACAGCAATTTTAACAAGATATTTCATATATGGGACATGCCGCAGTGCTCGGAAGCTTTCGTGCAATTGGATAATGCTTTTATATGCTATGCTATTGGTTGAAACAGAAATGTATTGTAAAGTTCAGCCAATGAAAATCATTCTTGCGAGGAGCTGCGACACTAACCAAATTTTTAAACACGTTTACGGCACACATTCTACGCCAACATCGTCAACGTGAGTACAGCCTGATCTCCACATCGAAAGTTTGGAACAGCTTTTAAGGGACGTTTCCGTTCCCCTGCATGCTGGATGCATATCCGTGACTCTCAAGCCGTCGCCTCGGCCAAAATAAGCGTTGTGCCGGACAGCACTCGCGTCGGCGAAACCAAGCTCTCGACAAACCACCTTGGCATCACTGAGGCCCCAATAATGATCACAGGCCGTGTACCAGCCGTAACTTGATGAACGGAACAACTCTACCCTCCCGCGGTCACTGCGCCCACCTCCCCTTAATCGTATGTATGATGACACACCTGTAAAATTATCAGTAAAATGAAAGTGGTTTGTTTAATGGTTAACAACAGCAAAGCCTGCACACTCTTGCGGACTCATAATGTCAGCGGTGATCTTCAGTAGTTTTCGCGAGACATATTGGTCCCCTCCCCCCCCCCCTCCTTTCCCTATTTATCAGACATCAGGACTGCAACGGTAATTGTGGATTATTTCCGGCTGATCTGAGATCATATGAAATGAAGGAAATCATAATTCAGTTTTGTCGAGCATCTGGTTCCTGATTGGTTGATTTTTATACTCAGATCAGCTGGTTGGCCGAAATTTTTAAATGCCAATTCAAACGGTAATTGAGGACCGGTACTATTAAATGTTATTATTGTCAGACGCGATTGTCAAGCATTGCGACAAAAAGACTAGAATGGAAATGGTCCTTGAACTGATCGGCTTCAAAAGTTTAACTAGATTTTATTGAACAGTGGTTTGAGGTGCTTACATTTTGGTGCTGGACTGCTCCACGTAGAGTTAGCCAAGCACGTGGCAGACGAGGCCCCTTGAATCACATCATTACTGCTGTCGCAATGAAATGTCACCATTAATCCAACTGAGTAACGGTGTGGCGTATGTAAATCTTTGGTGTAGCCTCGTGTTGGCGTTCCAGGGTCGCCGCAAGCTGCTACAAAAAGGAATTGTATGAAAAGTTAGCATCAAATGTGGTATAACAACTGCCTGAGATAGGCAAAACACTTCGACGTTTCGACCTGAGGGCCTTCGTCAGGAGAGTTATTATGTAAAATCCTGCTGGGGCAAGAAATCCTCGCACTTACTGAGAACGCCACGTACGGACACTTTAAATTCATGTGACGCACGCGCATTCTGTACAACCCTGTTATAGCACTATTATTATACAATTACTTAATGGTTTCCGTGTTTGGATGGCCTGATCCAAACACGCGGGAATGTTGCGAGAGAATGTTTAAATTTGTTTTTAAATTCCCGCGAAATTTCCGTGTTTGGATGGCCTGATCCAAACACGGGCTTCAACCAATCAGAACACGCGTTATATACATGTTATTTTATAAAAGCACTTACCAACTATATTTCCAACTTCGGCGCCAGTTACCTGAAAAGATTGTAATAGAATCAAGTTAGCGCATGTTTCTTTTTATTAAACCTCTCCGCTATCAGAGTATCGGTACAGACAAATCACATTGCCAAGATCAATGAGTGGAAATTATAGACTCAAAAAGATGATTCTACATCGTTGAATATGCCTTAATACCCGCAAACTTTAAAAGCAAATAAGGCCAAAACATTCGTTTATTAAAAAATGCATATCAGAAGAAACAATGAATGGTCTTAACGTAGAAGACGTTTGGGTTCAGAGTGATTTCGATTCTAAATTCTTCGGTTTAGTGATGTGTATCTACCTTGATATTTTGATAGGATGTCCAATGTCCCCAGCCATTCAGCAGATTTATCGTTTTATTGCTGAGTTGGCAGTTTTCCTCACTATTTTCTCTTGTTTTATGATTGAAACTAACGCAGCTCGCTTCTTTGGAACAAAGGTCAAAGCATTCAGTCATTACACTCACACTATGGTTTGATATGATTTCATTCCAATGCAACGATGGTCCTGTAGAGCAATCACAGACCAGTTTGAGATTGATAGAGCTATCCAGTATAAATAAAGTCAGTTTAGTTTAGGAGAGATGATTCTTACTGGACCTCTAGGAAGAAAAGTTTAGAACTGATAGAGCTATCCATGCAGTATAAATCAAGTTAGTTTAGTTTGTTTAACTGTGGTCTATGTTTCCTCCTTTAGTAAAGCTTGATCAATAAGAGATTATCCTTACTGGACCTCTAGGAAGAACAGTTTAGAACTGATAAAGCTATCCAGTGTAAATAAAGTAATTTATATTAGTTTACCATGGACCAGTAAAAGAAAGAGTTCATAACTGACGAGTTTGCTTTAGTGCATGTGCACAGCTGATACAGAAAGCCGCTTATTAATAAATTATGACCTTACAAAGATTAGCTTAAATTAAATGTCGTATATTGCTAAAATTAGCTGCTTGTTTTTCTTTTGCTTTTTGATTCAATTATTAATCTGTTTATCCTTTTTTATTCATCGCAGTCATTTCAATTGCCACACGTTGTTGTATTTTAAGTAGGTATCTTGCTGTCATTCACTATAATCTTCTACATTAATCTCTTTTTTTATGCATGCAAGGTCTTTGATTGCAACGTGACTTTGCAACGCGAAATCTTTAGGTATCTTATTGTAGAATACTATATATATACTTTACCACTGGACTGTCTATCTTAAGATATTTTTTTCAGATATCAACCAATGAATCATGACAGGTTCATATAGAACACATGTGACCACCTATATACTGGACCACCACGTTTGAGAACACTTTCTCAAGCAGTTTTGACCCAAACCACGACAGCTTATTGTAGAATACTATAAATTATATGCACTGGATTTCTGAGAATCCGATTCGTGTTTCGCCTGATCATTACGCCTTCTTGAAGTTACTTCTTCACTACTTTTGATGTAGACGTGATTTTATAGCCTTACAGTCTTACTCCCCCCCAAAAAAACATTTCTTTCACTTCCAATTACTTAACTGGGCACCGCTCTGCAAACTGCGTTCACACGGCAGCGCACGTGGGGCAATCGCGTGCATGTGATGTATTTAATGAGCAACACAGGGGAAATTGCACCTAATGAGATGTTGTGCGAACTTTTTAGCGTTGTAAACAACATTATTAGTCGCAAAATCAACTGAAGTTAACCGTTTCAGCATTTAGTTCGCGCGAACAATTTCTAAACTCGAATTAGGGTACTAAAAAAATTCCTTGAAGGACATGCAGAGAGCGGAATTTCCATACATGCAGCACACATTAGAAGTATCGAAATCTCCTTCATTCTTCGCCGTAAAAATGTTCATGAAAGTGCGAAAATTTTAAAGCGCTTTTGAGCTACTTTGAGCAACTGTATGCAGACTATGCATATGTGACGTGAAAACCAAGAGAGCTTCCCAGTCTCAAAACCTCGTCGGTTATAATATACTTCATTATCTGAGGAAAATCGTGCACAAAATTAAACTCTACACATCCCATTCATGCGGTCGTTTCAACTTTCACCCGAGTGTGTTGTTTCACAGGAGCTTAAAGTCTTGAACAAATATACTGTACTTAAAAAACCAAACAATTGAAGATCTGCTCCAAAACATGTGTCTAAACAGTTTTTATCGCGATTGCGATGCGCTGCTGTAATTCGTGTTCCCCAAGTTTCTAGTTAAAGCGACCAAATAAATTTTATCATTTAACGTACCGTTTTTTACCCGTTTAAAACGTTTTTCAGAGCAGGTGTCTGCCTCGATTCTTGGAACAACTACGAGTAGTATACTAGCCGTAGCCATTAATGTAAGCATTCTGTTCGCTTTTGATTGAAAAATGTCGATCAACATCGTTCGTCCGTCCGCGCTCAAATAAGCGTATTCGGTATAGTTCCCAATCAATATATGCGCGGGGTGCTTCTCTGACTGTTAATAAGTTAATGGCAGGTGTTTCAACTTCCAAATCGGGATGAAATTGGCAGACCCGCTAATTTCTAAGAGAACATATCATTCCAATTCAGTTAACAATCTTGACATGCCAATTCGTTGCGTTCGGCGGTATATCTATAAGTAATAGCATGGTTCAACATTTGACTCCCTGTGGTCACACTGGTGGCACCTTCTCTAAAGCAAAGAATTTTTATCAACTTTGCGACATTCTGTTACAGCTTGTTGGTTTTATTTGAAGTATCCACAATAAGTATCGCATATTCAGAAATTTGAACCTTGCGCTTTTGTTTTGATTCGAACGTCAAGGTATTAAAAAGCAAAATAGCAGTGAGAAAGCTTTTTCAATCTTTTTATCTTTTAATATTGCTATGAATGTACCCAAGTCTAAGGTATGTACTTTGCAATATCCACGCGATCGTATGCCTAAGTAATCAGAAAATTATCGTTTGCCTTGTACCGTCAGGATGCCGGTATATGGTGTTTAAGTAATCTATTAAGACTATTTTAGATGACGATCGACGTTTTATCAAATCCTTATTAAAACCTGTGTGTTTATTGATGTTTTTATAGGTTGAATTGCATGTCCATTTGGATGGATCGCCTCGGATAGAAACGATCATAGAATTAGCAAAGTAGGATTTATTTCTGTTGTTAAACGTGCTGCCCTTGAGGGCCCTTTCACTTTCATGAAGTTGATCCTTTAATACTTGACCAGTCTGGACGTCCTGGAAGATCAGTTTAGGACTGCTAGAGTTATCTAGTTGGGTGTATGATAAAGTTAGTTTTGTTTAGGTTTTTGCAGTAACACTGGATCAATAAAAGATGATCCTTACTGGACCTTTTAGATAGAAAGAACAGTTTAGAACTGATAGAACTATCCAGTATTAAAAAAGTTGGTTTAGTTTCGGTTTCCCAAGAGATGATACTTACTGGACTCTAGGAATAACAGCTTAGAACTCACAAAGCTAATTCTAGTATGAATGAAGTTAGTTTAGTTTAGGTTTCCACCGGTTGTAACACTGGATCATCCTTACTGGAGCACTTTAGAACTGAATAGTTTACCACGATAACCTAGCTCTGGTTTCGTTTCCATATAAAGTAACCCCTTTGCTCACTACATTAAGCAAGGATTTTGGTTTCCAATTTAGAAAGAAGAATGTTTATTTACCTGCATATGATGTCAAGGGCCTGGAAGATTATGTCAGCTTAAAAAAACCAGAATCTTTGAAATCTTTTTTACATTGTTTTAGTACTTTTATGCCAGTTTTACAGTAAGTAATAACTAATGTTGTTCTTATAGTAATTAAATTTAATACATGGATCTGTTGGAAAAAAACCTAGTTATTAATTTTGCTATCTTTATTGTTTCTTTTATCTATGTGTTAAGAGGTGATCCTGAAGCCCTGGAAAGAATAGCTTATGAATTTTGCGAGGATAAAGCGAAGAATGGCGTTCTTTATTGTGAAACACGTTACTCACCCCATCTTCTTGCTAATTGTGAAGTGGATGGGATTTCATGTAATGGCAGCAATGAACAGCATTGTTCTCCAAGAAAAGTTGTTGAATCCGTTTGCATTGGCTTAGAACGGGGGTCAAAAGATTTTGATGTTAAAGTAAAAAGTATTCTTTGCTGTATGAGACATAAACCGGGTAAAGTGATGTTTATAATGCACTAATCAATCAATTGTTCAGTTGAAAATTAGATAATAGATAATTCATAATCAATAAGAGAAGCTCCACGGACCCCACCATCATGGTTCAATCAATCAATTGATCATTTTTTGATTAAAGTTTAACAATAGCAAAAATCTATATCAACCAACCATCATTTAGGGAATCAATAAAGTTTTTCCCTTTTCTCTCAAAAAGACTGGTCTCTAGAGGTAGTTGGTCTTTGTGAAGAATTCAGGAATCGTAATGTAGTTGGGTTGGACATTGCTGGGGACGAGAGTTTGGGTGAAATCCCAGCCATAAAGCAACACATCATGGCTTTTCAGGTGAGATGTGAGATAAATATCAAATGTGAAACCGATTCTCAAATGATATTCTAGTTTGACAAGTAAGACAGAGTTTTAAACTCTTAAAGAAACCAGTGATCGCAGTAGAAATTTTTAAAGTTTATATATATTCACTTGAAGATTTCCACTTCAAGATGATCTATTGAAATGAGGGAATGTCTATTGATTTGCAGAGAGCTCAAGAGCTTGGCATTCCGAGAACTGTTCACGCAGGCGAGGCTGGTCCGGCGGCTAGCGTACACGAGGTAAGTTCCAGTTGGACTTGAATTATATATATCATCATTCTGTACCGTAACTACATGGTTACAGAAGTTACAGTAATCAATGGTCTTGTCTGTAGGCAATCTTTCTGTTACATGCGGATCGAATTGGCCATGGTTACCATGTTTTAGAAAACCCTGAATTGTATCAACTAGTGATTGACAGACAAATTCATTTGGAGGTATAATACGTGATCGTATATGTAGGCTAGCTAGTTCACAATTTTTTGAACTGCAATTTCCGTGCAATTTTCGTCCTTTTGAAAGATACAAACAAGCGAATTATTATTATAAAGCTTTGATGTATTAGCTGTGTGCTTTCGTATGAACAACCATAATCGCTCATTTGCATCTGTCAAGAGAAGAAAATCGCAGCAATGTAAACGGGCCTTGTGATATTTAAAACTCTGATGAACTGCTGATTGTTTGCTTAAAATTGACAAGAATAAACGTTTGGTTTTTTATAGTTGTGTCCTACATCGAGTATTTTAACCGCAGCAGTCCCTGAGCCAATAGAAGAACATCCAGCTATAAAGTAAGAGTCAAATATAAAAGCAAAACTAGCAGATGTAGGAAATAGGAATATTTAAAAAGCCGTATTTGAAAACGGCTCTTATTATTAGCAACAGTCAACACTCAGTCAGACTAGCAGTACTGCAGTCATCAACTGACATTGAGGAAGGTTGAAAGAGAAACACTGAATAAAACATTGAAACTTAGCTGGAAGTACCAGAATAGTCAGGCTTGTATTAGTAGCAACAGTCATCACTTAGTCAGACTAGCAGTGACGGTAATGATCAAAGTGATAATGGGGGAGGTTGCATGAAAGAGAAACACTGAATAGGTAAAACACTGATGGACACCTACAATACCTGCCTTGTATAGATTCGCAGAAGATGGCGTAAATTTTTCATTAAACACAGACGACATGCTGGTTTGTCGGACCGATATGACGCATGAATTCGATGTCGCTTTCAACAAAATGGGATTCAGCGCCGCGTTATTGACAAAAGCAGTGAGTACATACTATCAGTCTAACCCTATCAGTTTAAAATCGCTCTCAAAACACGCCGAAAAACAACACCACATCCTTCAATCAGGAACCTGCAGTCTATGTTTTTCATCTTTTGTAGACATTTAATGCTGCAAAGTCGTGTTTTTTACCGCGTAAAGAAAAACAAGAATTGATCGAAAAACTAAAAGTTATTTACGGGGTGACGGAGGACTCTAAATGTTTTGTAAACGATATAAATCTAAGTCCTACCGTTTGAAAAACAAGATATTTTTACCTGAAGTGGGGGAGCGATTGTGCCCAAGAAGAAAGTCTAGAAGTATCCCTCCCAATCGTTTTTAAAACGAAATGAATTTTTGCAAATGAAATAAGCCGAATGATTTTTAATGAAACATTTCGAAATTGTAATTTCTCTATTTTTAATATGTGCAAAATGTTTTATATGTAATGCGGCAAACATGAAGAAGGGAAATTAAATTAATTTCTGGCTATTTAAAATGTCTACGTTTCGTGTTATTTACAGAATGTATGAACGAAACCTTCAGGAAAGGCGGTTCAGAAAAGCGCGCAGCTGCCTTTAAGTATAAATACAGCGAGTTTAAAAAATACTAGGCTTAAAATAGTCTATTTGCAGAGATGATATTTATCTATATTTATAGCGTGTACCATGTGTCACCTTAAGTAAACAAATGAGCATTTGATGCGCGCGTTTCCATGGCGACCAAACATTGCGACGCATCCAAGAGTCTTTGCGACTACCATCGTCCGACTTCAAAACAAGGACGATGGAGAGATTAAACTAAAGTTTTCGTAGAAAAATGCGACGTTTTTGTACTTAAACAAGCGCGATCTTCAAACCTGAGATCTGTAGGTAGTTTGCAGGTATCCCACGGCCGTTCTGCGGTCCAAACATGACCACGAAAAGTGTAAAAATGTGCCGAAATGGAGACGGCTTTTTCCCACCGGTTAATGTTGTTGTGAATCCAAGAGATATCCGAAGCATGGATGCTTTTCTTGATCGTGTCACTCAAGCCACACGGATGGGAAATGCCGCAAGGAAAGTGTGTACGCCGAGGAAAGGACACAAGATTGAAGACCTGACGAAGCTAATTTCTGGGGAGACTTACGTAGCAGTCGGTCGAGAGGCGTTCAAAAATTTAGAGTGAGTGCGCTCTGATTTTCAAATGTTATATTCACCTATGATCGTTGTTTCAGATACGGATATCTGCTGTGGTTAATCTAGAAGACGTTGTTCATATTTTGTACAGAAATTCACAAATTAGAGTTCCCTCTCATGTAATAGACTAGATTTAAAAAACAAGCATGTCAAATTAGTAATACTTTGGAGTTCAGCACAGCGATTAAGCGACAATATTGCTTGCAATTACTGATATTGAAAGCGTTTCTTTTGCGCGTAATTGCTTTATAATATTTTAGCGCCTATCTTTTGTTTTATAGATACGGGAATATTCGTATACGAAGACCCGTCGTTCAACATCGCGAGATCAAGGTTTGTGTAAAATATTTCGACAGCCAATAAATCTTTTCAAAGTTTGTTTACATTTCTCATCAACGATGCATACAAGTTAAATTATTTCGCATTATGTTACCGCGCACTAATCTGAAATTAAATATTATTTTTAATCATTTTGCGTTTCTTTCAATATCCCCGTTTCTGAAGTTCCGTTGAAAATCCGTAACTTAACTCCGTTTAGCTTCTCTCGAAAGGAAGGAAAATGCCCTTGCTTTTTGATAAAGCAAAAAATATCACGCAAAATTTGTATTGTTTAATTTTTAACTATTTAATTAGTATATCTATTAGCTATTGTACAGCTGGTTTAATATTGAAGCTGACAGCTCAGAAGGGGCTATTTTTGAGAAATTTGAAATTCAAATGTGCTTCATAAAATTTCATTGGTTCTAGATAACAATCTCCATTTTTGAGTTATCACTAATGTTTGTAAATAAGGTTATTTTGACCAATTTGATCTTTCTAGCATGATCTCAAATGCATGTTCCTCTGATGATAAATATAATTTATCTCTAATTTCTGTCTTTTATTTAATACCTCTTTTGGTGGTGTGTATGACTGAGAGTTGAGCTATGGGATAATCTGTTCCTCTCCTATACCAATTCCATTCTTTTTTATGAAATTAAAAAATTCTTTCACCATAATACTCGGACACATGCGTACTTTCAGTGGTGTAAAAATCGCATTTTGTGTCAAGGGCACTTTAAGTAATTAGAGAAATTCAATTAGACCTAATGACGCAATAATATACAATCTCAAGATCTTTTGAAAACACAGAAAATTGGAGCCATTTTCTCATTAAGGGTCTGCTTGTAACAATGCCATAATATATAATAGACTCAGAACAATGGTACAAAGTTTTGGACTATAGTTCCATAAAAGATGTTTAGGGACACAAGTGATAGAGTAAAGCAGGATATACTTCTATGCTGCTGCTAATGCCAATTCCATTGATTAGCTACCATTGATAAACATCAATTTTTAATCCCATGCACTTGATCATCATGACTCATTGTACTATTCCACAATTGAGCAAAATAATATATGTATAGGACACATTTTGCCTCTTCTACAGTAGCTAATATTTGTCCATAGGCCAAACTAATAGATATCCCAGCTTCAATTCAAATTTCTCTATGCACTTTCCTGTTGCAGATTGAACCTGTGAAACACAGTAGAATTTTGATGTCTGCAAGATGTCGTAAAGTTGCACTTTGGGAATCGTCTGGACTGAAAACCATTTAGTAAGTAATGTCGCCTCAGTTTTTTTAATTATGGGTTGTCTCAATCTATAGTAGTTATCTCAAATCCACTCATTTTATCTAGTAACTTAGTATGTGGTAATATTGTATTCTTGCTTGTTTTGAATAATTTCTTCTCACTTAATTGGCATCATTCTGCTTTAATTACTTTTCAGCTTGCCTTGATATTGACGTACATTATTGCCCTTATATCAATTTCCAGTGAACCACTCTAAACATATACATAACAGCACTGCACTAACTGCTCCAAAAAAAAATTCTGATCTAAAAAAAATTGTAGATGCATGCTTAGCGAAAGGACATATTAAAAGTTTTGCATACCAGGTTTGAGATTGAAGAGCAATTTTTTCAGTAACTTTTAATTGATTTGAAAAACAAAGGAGAGATTGAACTAATACTCCTCAAGTGTACGAAAAAATAATTCAAATCGTGTTCATCTTCTTCAGCGTATATCGGAACGGTGATGATAAACAACCCTCGCATAAAATCCTCTTGGATCGCAGGACTCTGTTAAACATGGACAAGGTTTGCGTTGTTCCTACACTCTGCAAGCAGCTAAATTACCACCGTATGACTTATCAAATTTTGCGATTTGTTGAGCCGATTTACTGACGCATGTTAGCTAGTGACATATATTGAAATAGAGACTTCAGTGCATACATATAATCATAACAATTAAATGTCATCATCAACCACGCGTCCACCAATAACAAAAATCTGCTTTTAAAATAATTACGAGTCGCTTACGTGACATTGACTCTAGCAAATGTTTTTCTCGTACTTAAGTATTTTTTTAAAAACATCTGCCCACAATGACAGACGAGCACTTTATGAAAATCTATTCATCACATTCTTGACTCAAGATGTCTTGTTTATATTCTGAATTTTCTTAAATATTTTAGTATTTTGTACCGCCTTTCAATATGATTTTAATGTGTGTTTATACAGTCGAATATAACGTAGAAAATATTAACGTACATATTGATATAGCTATACTACATCCTAAATATAAAGCATGTTTCTAACGCGAAATACATGATACTACCTGTATGCATGTTTGGTGAATAGTTGAATCTCTGGCTCTACATTTAGGTGTTGGAGCTTGTTACGGAGCGAGTTAAGTTGGAAAGTGGAGCTGTTTTTGCGTAAGTATATATAGGTATTATATAGCTGAGCATTTTACAGCGGAAAAACCCCACAAATTAATCTCTTGTGGTTTGTTTTTCAGTGGCGTTTAACATGCACCTATACTAGCTATAGATAGAACTATAGAAAACACAACAATGTTTCTCGCGTGGCCATAATATCTTTCCTACTTTAATACAATTTTTCTTACTTCGCTCGACATTCATGACAGGCATATGGCCGAATTACATGTTGTTGAATTCAGTTTATTCAAGTCTGGCCTGTATTTGCCGTTCACCGGCGTTTGATTTTGAGCCCAATGCATGCATGTCAGTTTGTTGCATGGTATATTATAAAGTGAGATTGACCAGAACTCGTATGTGTATGTATTTGAATATTTTTTATATAGCCTCTGCACGATGCTTGGAAAAGAGGTGAACACTACGTCCGAACTCGTCAACGGAGAAAAATATGTTGCTGTGGGGCATGGAAAAAGGTATGTATACTAGCTCCAAATATCTTTTTAATTTTTCACTGCATATGTATGCAGAGCCAGCTATAGGTGGTCTTAGCCATGCAATCAGCACTTTAAAGCGTTGTCGAAATAGAAATCCATTCTCCAGTAATTCAATCGATTAAATATCTTTTGTTATTCTCTATAATGAAACTACTCGAAATGGGCTACAAGGCTGGCAAACTTTATGCCTATACTTTTGTATTATAAGCGCGCGAAAATTGAGCTGAAAGTGCATGCATGCATGGGTATTTTTATCGCCGCGAAATAAAGACGTATACAAAATTCATCAACTTTCAAGTGCTTATATATTTTTCACATTCTACAAAAGTTTCGCAATTAATATTTGCAACTTTAGCTGAGATTTTTTCTGCACAAATGAGCCTTTTATATTCGCGTGTATTGCGGGCATCATGCATGCATGTGTTGTAAGTTTTTGCAGTAGCTATCATGAAAGTAATTTTGATATGTGAATTAAGTTCACTGGCATGAACAGATGGTTGTTTGCCGGACACGTCTCAAGTCTCAAGACGTGTTGTGTATAATATAATTGTTTACATTCTCAAAGTGGCAAGCTTTGACAAGTATAGTGTTGTGACAGAGCAGAGAGACGTCTGCGTGCATTTTTTTCTGATACAAATTCGTGCTGTGTGCATTTTATTTTACCATCGCGGAAGCTTTGATATTTGAAATGTTTGCAAGAACACGAAGAAGGTTTTCATTGTTTGTATATAATCGTTTATATATAACAAATATATATAGACAAGTTCACATTGTGCTTCAAAGGCGAATATGTTGAGTGAATTAAGTTGTATGTATATGAATTGTAAATGTGTTTTAGGTTCAAAAGAACTGGTTACAACGATAAGCACAAAACGTCTCCCAACAACTCACCTCGAAGGTACGTGTACTGGAATATATATGCTTGAAATCTCTCAGTAGAATTCTGTCTAAATTTATACGAAAAGTCAAGAATTTCTGCCTCGGCATAATTGTCATGGCGACCTCGTATATACTTTTCACCTGCAGAGTTTTGTTTAAGAAATCGAGTGTTTAGTTTCGTTAGTATAAACAACAGACAGTCGGGCATTCGTCTGTCTTAAACATAAACATGTTATTCTGTCTGCATGTGCTAGCATCGCTTGTTTTTCGTTCGTCAGGGCAAAAGGAAAGCCAAGAGATAACGCTCTCGAAAAGAAGTTATTGTCATCTTCAAAAGCGGAAGAAAAGGTATACTTTAAAACAAGTCTATATTTGTGGATTTCAACGATCTTTTGTTCTCTAAAATCCTTTTAAATTCATATATAAAAAGCTAAGAGATGTCATGTATTTTCACGTCGTTCACTTCTTCAGCAAAAAGAGAAAGCAGCCAGCGTGGAAAACAAAACTAAAAATGTCGAAGTCAAAGGAAAATCTTTGAACACTCACAATTCATCCAACAAAATTCAAACATCACAGCCCGTGGAAAGCGACAGCATCAACACGTATGAAGAAACATCCGAACAACTGCCTGAGACCTCGACGGACGCAACACACGATGCTAATGGTAATTCTATGTCCAAATTCGTATTTTCCCATACATTCATTCTTGTAGATACAGAATATACAGAAATGTACATATGTATATACATGTTTAAACACAAAATAGTTTTCCATCATTTTCATTACAGAAACACACGGCATTATATAATGTTAATTCTCTATGTCCAAATACGTATTCACATACGACACTATATAACAGAAATAAACAAACACATATTTTTATACATTCATTTATACACATGCAGTACAGTATAAACCTAAATATACGCGTGTTCAGCGTTGGAATTTGCAAACTCTACGTTTACAAAATGGTTTTCCATAATTTTCAGTGGAAAGATCACATGAAAATGTTTTTAAAGCAAGCGGTGCAAAAAGCGAGAAAGCAAAACAAGTTGAAGATGACAAAGGTGAAGATTTATTATTTCATTTGAAATCGGCTATTTCCCTTTCTGTACTATTCACAACACGTATAATGATATGCAAAGTTAAAATTTACCATAACAATGCCCTGCTTGTGATTGGAAGGAAATAGCCACGTGTGTTAGACATGCGGAACATAAAAGAAGGGCGTGTAACACAGATTACGCCATTCATGCTCAGTTTATACGCGGAGTGCTTGACGGAGAAACGACCCACCCACCCACCCCAAAATTTGCGTGGGTCATACCCGCCTAGCACACACTAGCCAAGCTCCATCGGCTTGGCTAGTGCCGCACCTATCGAAAATTATTCCCAATCTTAAATTTAACTGAGCTTGAGTGATGCGTGTTATGAAATAGATTACTTTCTAAACCCCGTTTTCCACTAGGCGAATTTATTCGCGCGATGCGAAGCGTTATATTAAATCCGTGATGTGATTGGTTTGCAAAAAAATTAGCCGCGAATAAGTAGAAACGCTTCCTACTTTTTATGTGTTCGCGCGAATGAATTCCCCTCGTAGAAAACGGGTTTAAACATGGCCTCAGCTTTAAATGAATCTTTTCCTCGTTTCACAGAAGTCAAAATAGAGAAGCCAATCGATCAGGTACCAGCTGAGGAAGTCCTTGAGGACATTGTTGATCAAAATCCATCGCAAGACGAACAGCAGAATGAAGAACCGCAGGAACAGGTCGGTTCCCACCTACTACAACCCGGAGGGCTGTGGTGAGATGAGTTCTGCATGAAAGCGCGGAGACAATGAAAAATTCCGCTCTGCGGGCAAAATTCCGCCTAGTGGAAAACCGCCTTTAACTTCACCTATATTTTCTACAGGTGAGGCTATCTTCTGAGGAGAATGTGAATGGTGAAGAAAATGCAACCGCCGTAGACAAAGAATGATTATTATATATTGAATGATGTCATCATTACTCTTCCACATAAAGCGTTTCCATGACAACATGTACAGAGAGATTGTCAAGTTGTATATAATCTAAAACTCATCATTTAGCCAGTGACCATGCACCGTGATGTAGAAGGGAAATAAATCGATGTTTATATATTTAAAGCCATATTTAGGCTGCATAAATGTTATAAGTCTCCAAGCTTCGCTGTGTGGTATAACATATGTATAGTTCAGTACGGCTTGGCCCGAATATTAAAGTTTGGTATGGTCAAAGTTTTTCTTCATAATGCGGTTATTTGACTGGAAAATTTTTTTCGTCAACTTTTTTCAACCATTTTTCTGTTTTAAAGCCTCTCCTTCCAGAGGTTCAACGAGATTAGCTTTCCTATATTCAGTTCTATCTATTGTATGCTCCTACATCAAGTAGCAGGAGGACAAGTGGAGAACGTCCGCTGGTTACAAAGAGGTTTTAGTTCAGCGCCTGCAAAACAAAGTACGGGGTAAAGGTTATAACATTTCCCACGTGTATGGAAAGTTTTTATGCTAATCCTATGATTAATTTTTTCATCTTCAAATCTGCTTTCTGTAGTTAAACCTCTAGCTAGAACCTTCCAATGCAATGCTAATAAAGTCTGTTTAGTCTGTGAGTTTTCATCCAGAACATAGCTATGGTTAACTGAAAATAAAGGCTTTGGAAACTACAGTGTTCCCCTCCCCGAGAACGCATATTGTACCACATTTGAGGATCTGAGTGCAACGCTATTACGCTACAACCATCCTTCTATTTTAATAACTGCTGAGCGCGTGAATGCAGATTAACCGAGGCGCCAGCTACTGTCATTAGCGCACGAAGAAAACAAAAGTCAGAAATGAAAACAAAGGAACATTTGTAAATGAAGCTTCTTGATAATCTCGTGGCTCAATATGCTAAATCGTGCGTGCAATAGCATGAGAGGTTCATCAAGTTGTGAGATCTTAGTAAAGTTGAAAAGCAACTGATGAAATCGCAGTTGTACAACGAAATTTAGCGGATATAGGTTATTTCCAAATGCCGAAGGGTACTTGGTTAACCGGTATTTGTAAATGTGATACAAAACTGCGCTTATTGTGAGGGTGAAATTGTTGAAAATACAACAGAATTCCTAACGCAGAGTTGCATAAACACATGTTCTTGACTTGTGTACTGCTTCACGTCATTGTTTTGGCCGATAAAATTCTCGCTGTGGCACGATTGATAGCTGAAGGATTGAGCAGTGTCTTCAAGTGGAAGGTAAGGTCCTAGTAAACTAACTCCTAGCGCGGCGACCAGCGATAAAATATGAAATGAATGAAAATTTCGAACTTCGAGGAATGGTTCGTCCGCTAAATTATATATATATGCTTGTCTTCTTCTAAAGTTAATCCCATAAATAGATTAGTTGAACTTGACTTCTCTTGCCGGCCGCCAGTATTTACACCGGTGTAATGAAACAGTAAACATTTCTGTCAAACAACCATAATTAAACTTTTGCATGCTAGCTCCCGTTTTGGTAATGCTGAGAATATACTAAGTCTAAGGGAACTCGATCGTGTGTTCTTTTTGTAACAAAGAGCACAAGCGTAGAAGCTTGCCTACGACACCGACAGTCGGCTATGTATCGGGAATAATACCAGACTCTTCAGCTACTCAAATTCATCGTTTATTGATGGGAAAACACATCGTGCAGTTTAATTGTGAACAAATAGTTACCAACTACAATTAGTTGCCAACTACACAACAATCGAGCAAAGTGCGTGCGGCAAATTCAATGTTGCATGCATGGACACCAATAATGCAAAACCAATGGCAATGTTTGCTGTAACTTGCATTCAATTTAAATTTCTCACGCTCCTCTCCGCCTAATTGGAAAACTTGCAAAACTGTGTGCATTATACAGCTATATCAGTTGAGCTCTTTATGTTTTACCGTCATTGTATCGAAGACTCTGAAACGAAACGTTATTCTGAATACACTCGGCTCGTAAATTTACAGACTTGTAATTGCAAAAGAAAATATTTGTGAAGGGCTTCAGGAATATGCGTTCCGAACTTATATTTGCCGTCTTTCTCGTTCAATCATTCGGCTTCGTCGTTGCAGATTTTGAAGGTATAATTTATTTTTGTTTCCTAAAGTTACTTCGTCTTATCCTGTGATAAACTGAACTAATGTGAATTGTAGGATTTATCATGCATGCAAGAAGAAAATGTTTTGTTTTTCTATACATATCTATCGCTTTTGTAGGAATTAATACAAAGCGTTAACGTAACTAATATAGGGATTGATGTTCGTTCAGTAGACATTTCAAGTATAAAAGACCACAGCACGAGAAATCACTGCATCCAAATGTTTTTCTAAAAGCTGGATATAACCTTGCTGTGCATGTTACAGATTATAGAAGTCGAAATAGTATCAGATTAAGATGAAGATTCGTTTCACAGAAAAACTATATTTGCCAATGTTTATCAAAGTAAACGTCTTGTATTCGAGGACACAGCACCATTATTCTTACAGTAAACTTTACTGTCATGCTGGTATACTACCATATTATTATATTTTATTATCGTATAATTGAAAATCAATTTCTGAAAATAGCTACCATCGTCTTTGCTAGATTTAGTGTGCTATAAACTAACCAGACTCGTTTGGATTTTTGGCATTTCATTCAATTCATAATTTCAATTTTCTCTTCCGTGAGAGCAAACACCTGCCAATTAAATAAATTGACCAGGGCCATGTCAGAACCTCGAAAATAATTAAAATCAAATGCGTTAGTCATTATAGTTAATTGAATGCAAACATTTGTTCTCTAATTACAATAAACAATCTTAAAAACCCTGATCACTGCTTCACAATTCTGCATTCTGTATCGCAATCAAAGAGAAAACTATTGAATAACTTTAAAAAGTTCTGACAACGTATTCTGCGATCTTTTCACACACAAGGTTAATAGGTTATTGATTCAGACGATTCGTTTTTGCCGTTTGCAAGCTTTAAATCTTTTGTGCAAGTCATATTTCGTCACAGTATTTATAAATCTTCTTTCTCACCAAGTTTGAAGCTTTATTGAGAATTGCGGCTAATTTTTGCCAATTTTCTCGGTGTTTCTTCAACCCCATCGTCGTTTGATGTATAAATTGACTGTTGTGTCTCCTTTTACGACAGATTCCGAAGATTGGCGTCGTATGGTTGCCACACCGGTGACCCCGGGTAATAATCTACATTCAATTTTTCCACTTTCTTTATCAAATCTTCAAAAACCTATTTTGACGTTCAACCTTTATTTTTTTTCCTCTTTTACGACAGATGTTTGTAAGAAGGACATTTTGTTGGTTGTGGACACATCAAACTCCGTTGGCCAACACCATTTTGAAAACGACGTGAAACCCTTTTTGATATAATTGATAGGAAGCTTAAAGCTGAATGTCTCTCCTGACGGAACACGATTGGCGCTGCTTACGTTTAGCAACCAGCAAAATACGAAGATGAGGTTTTATTTCGCGGCAAGAACTGTCAAAGAGTATGAAATCCTCGTAAATGATTTGAAATGGAACGACGTTGCAGGCGACAGAACATTGACAGGCGATGGATTAAACATTGCTGACACGCAGGTACAAACAGGGAAAAAACGATTTGGTCAGATCACCTCACAATGCCTTTAATTGCACAAAATAAACGTTTATGGTCATACATCACACCCCTATCCCCCCAAACGATGTTGATGTTGCTCAACTTGGCAGAATTAAGAGATGTACATTAGGAACCAACATTGACGGGGGGGGGGGAGTGAGGAAGTGAGGGAGTGGGGGATCTGCATAACAACCTCAGATTTTCAGGATTTACCTGAAATATTGCTAATAAATTGTCCTGTCCACATCAATTATGTCTAGGATTGTAGTCGAAAGTTTTGGAATATGTATAGCTGTAAGAACTAATGCTATGACATAAATTGGACACCTAAATCTAGTATGTTTCAAGAGATATTAAGTTGCTTTAAATAACCAAGAATTGGATTTTTATTTGAGAACTAATCTCCGATCACCTGGAAACTGCATGGAATAGCGGAGGCGACATAATATAAATAATAGGAGATTTTGAATGCAATGTCTTATAAACCTTCAGGTGCACTCAGTTTAACCATAGACAATCCAGAAGACATTCATGTCTTCTGGATTGTCTATGGTTTAACAGAGAACTGAATTTTTATTTGGCGACTAGTCCCAGTTTTTTTCGCACTTTTTGATCATTCGGTGGGAGGGAGGGGAGGAGATGGTCTGAGGTGTAATTTCAAATCTTTATCTTTACGTCGACTTCTTTTACCAAGGTGTTTCCACTACACAGTCCGCTGAATGTAAGGCCAAACGTCCCAGATGTCGTGGTGATTTTGACAGATGGTGAACCTCGTGGAAGGAAAAGAGGAAGACAACTTCAAATGGCACTCCATCACTCAAGGTTGGGGGAAATGTATAATACGGGGAATACCCAGCCAACTAGCATGCTCTAGTGAACGTAATGCAACTGGAACGATAATTCTAGGGGGAGAGAAGGGGGCAAAAACGACGTATGTTGTGGGGAAATATATACACAGCCAACTAGCATGCTCCATGGTGAACTAAACTACAACTGAAACGATAATTCAAGGGGGAGGGAAGGGGGTAAAAACGACGTATATTGTGGGGAATATATACAGAGACAATAACTAGCATGCTCTAGTGAACTTAAATGCAACTGAAACGATAATTCAAGGGGAAAGGGGGGAGGAAGAAACGACGTATATTGTAAGAACACACAGCCAACTAGCATGCTCTAGTGAACTAAAACACAACTGCGACGATAATTCAGGGGCGTCGTTCAGCTCTTGAGTACGAGTTTGTTAGTAAATTACGTACTCGAAAGCCCAAAGAATACGAGTTTCGACAGATAACGTAAGCGAAAGCACCGAGTTTGGCGCGAAAATGACGAATGTTGTACTCGTAGTCTCTGCTAAAGTTTCCTATTATTGTCTCTATTGTTGGCATATTATGTTATAGCTCGATGAAAAACAGAAGCATTTTAATTATTGGTATCGCTGTTGGTCAACCGGCGATAAGGAAGAAGTTTTCTCATATATTATTGCAATTGGTTACCTCGAATAAGACAAAGTTCGACACTGATTTCATCGATCTCGATAAAATACTGGACCAGTTGGTTGACGTGTCGTGCACACCTTTTAAACCAGGTAATTCAAATAGATCTTTCTCGTAGTGACGTCAAACGTCAATCTGACGTGTAACTTCAGGTCATTCGCGTTCGACGTGGTTCTGGGTGAAAGGTCTATTATTTCCAGTCCAAGTGAATTAGTTCCCAGGGTCTTTTGTGTTCATCGCGCGCGGTATGTTGCACGAACACAGACGTCCCTGAAGACGAGGTTGGATTTTGTAACTGCATCGTGTTGTGATAATGTGATCTGTAAGGGGCTGTTCACATGAGCCCGGTTACCCGAGATTCAACGAAGCGTGAGAGGACTTTGAGGTATTGAAATAAGTCTTTGTGACACCAAACAAGCACCTGCTACTGTTGTGGTGATTATACGACTGCCAGGATCATGTTATCTGATCATTCTAATACCTCAAAATCATCTCACGCTTCGTTGAATTTCGGTTAACCGGGCTCATGTGAACAGCCTTTAAGTCAATCGATGATTTTTTCAAATTATTAATTTCATTCAATGAAATTCCCTAATATATTCCCGAAGTAAACCTTTCACAGGTGATTGTGTCTGCCCAACCATCCAGTCAGTGGACTTGTATATCAAGCCCTCAAAAACTACGAGAGAAGTTAGTTGGGTACAGCCTAACCTTAAGTGCAAAAATGGCAGGATTCCAAAGTTCGTCAACACGACTGTCAGTCCAAATATCGTGTCCCCGCATAACTTCCCAGCTGGAAATCACGACATTGTCTATACCTACACGTTCAAGGGAGGATTTGCTCTAAAATGTTTTGTCAAAATCTCTGTGAAATGTGAGTAAATGGTAGTTGTTATTTAGGTAATTTATCTCGTGTTTTCCGGTTGGTGAGATCACTTTTCGACGAGCTAAATAGGTTGGTTGTTTTTTCATCAGAATTTAAAACGTTGTTCCGCTTAGCAGTTTTTGGCAGAGGCACTCGTTAAAATGTTGTTAAAACGACAGAAGATTCAGTTACTTTACTTCAGTTAAGAGGTCTTTTTGGAAGGCTGATCGGAAAATATTGACTTTTATAATGTCCAGGCGCAAACCCATCTTCACTGTTCAATGTCTATATTTTCCTAAGTAATCATTACATACATAGAAATGGTAAAGGCAGTTAAAGCCGTCTCCGTTTGAGCCCCGTTTTATCTAAAGCGATACTATGATCTATATTTTAGCTTGTAAATGCCAATCCCTTCCGCCCGTCATCGCTTATGCTCCCAGAGGCGGATCAGTCCCCGTTCATTGGGTAGCACCAGTCCCCAGCTGCGGCTACACTCTTACGGCCACCCATCCAAATACACCTTCTGGATCCACTTTCAACATCGGAACTCACACCGTGAACTATGTGTACTCCACCGTGGCTGGTTTTATTCTCACCTGCGGGATTAACATTGATGTGCGAGGTAACTGGAATTGACTATCGAATTTTTTAACTTAAACAAGCTTTTAAATTTTGGGGTTTTAAGTCAACCTCGTTCCCATGACCCGTACCGCGCCAAACGGCGCCATGAACACAGAAGACAGTGGGAACGAGGTTGTTTCGAAGAAGTCTTTCTAGTTTATATAGATTACTAAACTAGATCCTCAGTAGATTATTACCGTATAGAACTTTCTCGAATTTTAAACTTGTGCAAACTATGTTCGGTTTTGAAAGTTGCATTAGGTTTGCATGCTGTACATTTCTGGAAAACCTAATCATCTCAACGTTTTTACCATATTTAAACTGTTCCTTTTGAAACTCGCGAGGGGTAAAACCGTATTTAAGCAAAACTGAAATTCCGTCTCTTTTTGTTTCAGAGTGTTTCTGTAAGAATACCAATGTTGATATATACGTGCATCCAGAAAAGAGAACACGAATCGTTAACTGGGAGGAGCCAAAACCGAACTGTCCTGGGTTGAGGATCGTGCGTACCAAAGTAGAGCCGGCCATGACGCCTGGGGCGAGCCTCGGCATTGGGAGACACTTGATAAAGTATTCGTACGTCATGAGCAACGGAGTGAGCCTGCAATGTTCAGCTTCTGTTATGATAAAAGGTATAAATACTTATTCCGGAACAGGGAGCTGCCGGGGCAGCTGACCCCTTGCCTTTTAGGAGCAGGGGCAAGGGGGGGACATGCGTTTTCATTTTAAGTGATCACATTCTAAATCTTAACCATCGAACTCAGTTCCACAACACCGAAATCTTCTTGTAAAGTGAAAACGCGCTGAAACGAAGTTTAACAGACAATGTTCCAGTATGTGCTTTACAGAGGTGCCCTTTAACGAAAATCTGTCCCCTCGCATCCGAATTTATGCTGTCCGACAACTTAGTCTGTAGTTTTACTACAGGAGGAAACCTAAACTAAACTAACTTTATTAATACTGGATAGTTTTATCAGTTCTAAACTGTTCTTCCTAGAGGTCCAGTAAGGATCATCTCTTATTGATCCAGTGTTACTACAGGAGGAAACCTAAACGAAACTAACTTTATTAATACTGGATAGCTCTATAAATTCTAAAATGTTCTTCCTAGAAGTCCAGTAAGGATCATCTCTTATTGGTCCAGTGCTACTACAGGAGGAAACCTAAACTAAACCAAATTTAAATTTACACTGAATAGCTTTATCAACTCTAAATTGTTCTTTCTAAAAGTGTGGCAAAAATCATATCTTATTGATCGGCCAGTGTTACTTGTTGAACTAAACATAGTTTATTGTAACGATGAGGTCAGTAACGATCATATCTTTCGGCGCTTTCCTTCATACGGAAAAACCAGCCAGTATGATCTCCATAAGTATATCGCTATTTACATCTATCTAGCTCGGAAAATGCAGTTTCGCCGCTATATTCTTACGAAATACTCTATTCAGTCAATTTGAAATTGGTTGCTCAGTAAAGGAAAAAGCGCCCTTACTGTCCAGATAGGCCCAAAACTATTCCGATATTTTTTACTGGACAGCTCTTTTCAAAAGTCATTTCTACTTTAACCCAATCATTCTATTTTCTACAGTCATTCCATGTCAAGGGCAAGACTACAATCCAGCTACGCAGTTGTGCTGTTGTGGTAAACTGCATATTCTCAAAGTAGGATTCAAATGTTGTGGAAGACGCCGGTATGACTCCAAGACGACGAAGTGTTGTCCAGTAGGCTTCAACATTGTTAAAAATAATGAAACATGCCCGGAAGCAAAGTAACTTCTCATTTCTCCCTGAAAACGGCAAATTTTATGTTAAACAATTTAGTATACAAATGATTAGCGAATAAGCAATACATGATTAAATGAAATGATTGATTAACTCAATATAAAGCAGAACTAAAACAACAAAATTTCTCCTTTCTTTCCGGCAGACCAAGTTTGCTAGTCAGGTCCTTGCTATATTTGAAAGTTCATTGAGTGTGTTGAGAAATTTTTGCTCCCCCCCCGGCCAACAAATCATCGACCCTTGGCCCCCCCAGTTTTTTGGGAGTTAAACACATAAAGGGCTCCAGCACTCACTGAGAGGTTTGAAAACGGCAGATGCTGGGATCGGAAAGCGTCCTTCAGTCCGGAAAATATTTCTTATTTTCTTATCAAACCAAAGTGGGGCCCGCAGTCCTCGAACCAGAAGGCACGATCCTGCTCAGTGCTGCTGGACCAAAAACAAGAGTGACAGATCATTGTAAAAAACATTGTCCATTATACCCAGAGCAAAATGTCTCAGGGTGACGACAATGGTCTCCCAACTGTCACGATGATGGTTCGAATGCTGTATGGGGAAGATATTTTTATCATGAACCAAATGAAAAGATTAAGGTAAGATAGAAAAACATAGATGTTGATGATCTAGTGGTTAGGGCAATAGTCTCGCAACGTGAGAGACCCTGAGATACTGAAAAACTTTCTTTATTATGTTAATTGGAAATTTGCAGACATGTAATTCGCGGGAACATGCACGTATCTTTAATTATCTGCGGTTGTGATGTATGCATGTGGTAATTCTTGCACTATATGCACTATGGCATGAAATCAACAAAATTCTAAATGCTCTTTATTCACTTCATTTCCAAACTGATTCAGCCTGTTTTAGTTTAAAGTAAATGCAGTGAGTGAAAAAGGACACTTTACGGTTGTTAAACATACTTAAACGCTATTAGAAAACGATAAAAAGTCAAAATCAATATAAAAAAACCCCGCGCAGTCGCAGTAAACGAATAATAATCCCACAATCACCACATTGAGCAATGGCATATATATTGAGCCTTCGCCTTTCGAGTTTGATTATGACTTTCATAAAAAGGATGAAGTAAATGAAATAACCATAGCTGTTCAGCACAGCATCTCGTAGTCTAGTGGTGAAGACAACGTTTTCCCGAGTAGTAAATCGATTGTTCGAATCCTACCCTAATCGTTTTTTATTATGACTTTCGTTGAAAAAATAAAGTAAATGAAATAGCCATAGCATTTAAGCACAGCATCTCGTAGACTAGTGGAGAAGACAATGGTTTCCCGAGTAGTAAATCGATTGTTCGAATCCTATCCTAATCGTTTTTTATTATGACTTTCGTTTAAAAAATAAAGTAAATGAAATAACCATAGCTCTTGAGCACAACCTCTCGTAGTCTAGTGGCGAAGGCAATGGTCTCCCGAGTAGTAAATCGATAGTTCGAATCCGACCGTAACCGTTTTTCATTAGTGAACTTCGTGAAAAGGATAAAGTAAATTAAATAACCACAGCTGTTCAGCACAAGATCTCGTAGTGTTGTGGTCAAGATGTTAGTCTGATGTGTCTACAGGCGAAGGTTCAATCTCGTTTTAGATGAAAATTTTCGTTATTAATGAAACATAGTAAAGCTATGGTGAATAATTTGGTGCAGGCTTCCAACAATCACCAGTTAGCCTTGTGGTAAAGTCATGGACTATCAAGTACAAGATCGTGGTATCAAGAACAGTATGGTACGTTTCTCATGGCGGTGGAAAGCAAAAGAAAAAAAAAAGAAAAAATGGTGGGTATGTTGCTCGGTGGAGGTTTGTACTCGGTTAATCTTTGCAAATCAAAGTTAATCTTTAGGGAAATCAGGGGATTTGTAGGGTGAATGAGGGGTATATGAGTACAAAAAGACTTAGTAATAAAAAAAAAAAGTAGTTGGGCGGCCTCGGCTGCCGGGGCAAGGAAAAGGGTATAGGTGAGGAGGCACCATATAAAATGTTTAAGTCTTTTTGTACTCATTTAAACCTCTTTACCCCTATTTATCCCTCTATTTACTCCTATCTATCCCTGCTTTTACCTATCCTCATATATCCCTGATTATCCCCTAACACGATTAAATGTTTGAAGAAAGCTTGCTTTGAAAGTCAGGAAAGCCGGGGGAAAGAGAACCCCCCTCAGTCTACTCCTCGCCCAAGGCGAGGGCATATTCGCCCTCTCGCACTACTCCTCTCACACTCACAAATTCTCACCTTATTACCTTTGTTGTTCTTTTTCGGTTTGTCCAGGGCTTGAACCATCGACTGTATACTTGGCAGATCACCGTCTTCACCACTACACCACCAGTTCTTGTGGTGTAAGCCTAGAGTTTTTTATTTTACTTAATCCTTTTTGGAAGGATCTTTGATGAAATAGAAGAAAAAAAAAATTCCCATCTGGGATTCGAACCTCCGCCTTTAAACTCGGAGAGCACCGCCTTTACCAGTAGACCGCACGATCTTGCGCAGAAATGCTATACACCTTTTTATATTAGTGAATACGTTATGGCTAGGATCTCAAAAGAAATAACAATTTAAACGAGTTCCGTTTCATGTTCATGATTTTCTCTCGTCTAAAACGCACACAACTGTATCTTATTCGTAGTTTGTAAGTTGTAACCTAATAAAAAATATCACATACAGTCCTTAAAGCCTTAATTTTCCATAAGTTAGTTATATGCGGCGCAAATGAAGCTAATGGTTACGGTGCGATTGTTTTGTATTTTTAATGAAGTGAAATCAAAGTAAAGTACAAGAATTAATAATGCATTTCAAAATAGGTTTGAAAGAAAAAAACTACAAGAATTAAGAATACCGGAATGCATATTAGGGCGGATTCATATTAGAAACTCATCTTAGACGGGAAAGTTGATAGTAAAAACCCGTCTGAATATGAATTGGACTATTGATGAATTTATACGTATGATGGTTCGGGTAATGAGTAATCATTACGGTAATAATTTTGTTTAGTTTCCCTTAGCCTTGTTCCGTCCTTGACCGTGCTTATATATATCAGAAACTCGTCTCATTTTTCCGTCTAAATATGAATTTAAGACGAGTTTCTCTTCCTGACGGGTTCCTTTCCAACTTACCCGTCTTTTTAGACGGGAAATTTCGGAAGAGAAACCCGTCTGTGATTCACATCAGACGAGTATCCCGTCTTCGATGAGTTTCCCCTCTAAGACGAGTTTCCCGTCTGTAATATGAATTCGGATAAAAGTGTATGTATAACGCGTATAGTCATGAGGCAACAAGCATGCGCCTCGTACTCTCTTCAGTAGATTACGGATTGAAGCCTTTCAAGCAAACGAAGCAAATGAAGCCTTTCTTCGAAGAACTTTCAAATGAAATAGTTATGAATCGTCGCCGTAATATTGTTGAGCTGCTGTTTGTTTGGTTGTTACCCGGTTAACTGCGTAAATTGTGCTTTTGAACTGATCTTTTTCTTAGCGTATTTTATATTGGACGAATCGGCTAGACCAGCTAGTATTTTGGCTCTTTATACAGCAAAGTCTTAAAATAAATAGTCAATGTCTGTTTAACTGGATATTTGCTTCATTTATTTGCGATTTCAGATGATATCTTCGAGAGTACGACTACGAGGTATCGGGAATCCCGTCTGGAAGAGAAACTCGTCTTAAATTCATATTTAGACGGAAAAATGAGACGAGTTTCTGATATATATAAGCACCGTCAAGGACGGAACAAAGCTAAGGGAAACTAAACAAAATTATTACCGTAATGATTACACATTACCCGACCCATCATACGTATAATTTATCCACAGCCCAATTCATATTCAGACGGGTTTTTACTATCAACTTTCCCGTCTAAGATGAGTTTCTAATATGAATCCGCCCTAATATGCATTCCGGTATTCTTAATTCTTGTAGTTTTTTTCTTTCAAACCTATTTTGAAATGCATTATTAATTCTTGTACTTTACTTTGATTTCACTTCATTAAAAATACAAAACAATCGCACCGTAACCATTAGCTTCATTTGCGCCGCATATAACTAACTTATGGAAAATTAAGGCTTTAAGGACTGTATGTGATATTTTAGCGACAACACAAGTGGCTAATATTAGGTTACAACTTACAAACTACGAATAAGATACAGTTGTGTGCGTTTTGACGAGAGAAAATCATGAACATGAAACGGAACTCATTTAAATTGTTATTTCATTTGAGATCCTAGCCATAACGTATTCACTAATATAAAAAGGTGTATAGCATTTCTGCGCAAGATCGTGCGGTCTACTGGTAAAGGCGGTGCTCTCCGAGTTTAAAGGCGGAGGTTCGAATCCCAGATGGGAATGTTTTTTTTCTTCTATTTCATCAAAGATCCTTCCAAAAAGGATTAAGTAAAATAAAAAACTCTAGGCTTACACCACAAGAACTGGTGGTGTAGTGGTGAAGACGGTGATCTGCCAAGTATACAGTCGATGGTTCAAGCCCTGGATTAACCGAAAACGAACAAGGTAATAAAGTGAGAATTTGTGAGTGTGAGAGGAGTAGTGCGAGAGGGCGAATATGCCCTCGCCTTGGGCGAGGAGTAGACTGAGGGGGGTTCTCTTTCCCCCGGCTTTCCTGACTTTCAAAGCAAGCTTTCTTCAAACATTTAATCGTGTTAGGGGATAATCAGGGATATATGAGGATAGGTAAAAGCAGGGATAGATAGGAGTAAATAGGGGGATAAATAGGGGTAAAGAGGTTTAAATGAGTACAAAAAGACTTAAACATTTTATATGGTGCCTCCTCACCTATACCCTTTTCCTTGCCCCGGCAGCCCAACTACTTTTTTTTTTTATTACTAAGTCTTTTTGTACTCATATACCCCTCATTCACCCCACATATCCCCTGATTTCCCTAAAGATTAACTTTGATTTGCAAAGATTAACCGAGTACAAACCTCCACCGAGCAACATACCCACCATTTTTTCTTTTTTTTTTTCTTTTACTTTCCACCGCCATGAGAAACGTACCATACTGTTCTTGATACCACGATCTTGTACTTGATAGTCCATGACTTTACCACAAGGCTAACTGGTGATTGTTGGAAGCCTACACCAAATTATTCACCATAACTTTACCATGTTTCATTAATAACGAAAATTTTCATCTAAAACGAGATTGAACCTTCGCCTGTGGACATATCAGACTAACATCTTGACCACAACACTACGAGATCTTGTGCTGAACAGCTGTGGTTATTTAATTTACTTTATCCTTTTCACGAAGTTCACTAATGAAAAACGGTTACGGTCGGATTCGAACCATCGATTTACTACTCGGGAGACCATTGCCTTCGCCACTAGACTACGAGAGGTTGTGCTCAAGAGCTATGGTTATTCCATTTACTTAATCCAACCTTTTCACGAAAGTCATAATCAAAAACGATTAGGGTAGGATTCAAACCATCGATTTAACACTCGGGAGACCATTGCCTTCGCCACTAGACTACGAGAGGTTGTGCTCAACAGCTATGGCTATTTCATTTAGTTTACCCTTTTCACGAAAGTCATAATCAAAAACGATTAGGGTAGGATTCGAACCATCGCTTTACCACTCGGGAGACCATTACCTTCGCCACTAGACTACAAGAGGTTGTGCTAAACAGCTATGGTTATTTCATTTACTTTATCTATTTCCTGGCAACCTGGAAGCAGACTGCAAGAAGACAACCTTTCCTCGAAATCCCACAAGAGAGAGAACCGATAATTTGAGGTGTTACGCAGTGGATGCGACTCCATAAACCGAAGGCTTGGTATATATGACATTGCCCAATGTTGTGATTGTGGGATTATTTTTCGTCCACTGCGACTGCGCAGGATTTCTATATGCTAAATTTGATTTTTTATCCTTTTTTAATAACGTTTAAGTATGTTTAATAACCGGAAAGTGTCCTTTTTCACCCACTGCATTTACTATAAGCTAAAACAGGTTGAATCAGTTAGGAAATGAAGTGAATAAAGAGTATTTGGAATTTTATTGATTTCATTCAATTGTGCACCTAATGCACGAATGACACAGGACACAAACGTGGATTATTCACGGATGTACGTGTAGAGCGCATGTCTGCAAATTTCTAGTTAGCATGAAAAAAGAAAGTTTTACAAGGATTTGAACCATAATCTCTGAAGTCGCGAGCCATTAACGATACCACTAGACAATCAGCGCTTGACGTGAAAGGTTATACATTTATTTACGGCCAGCTAAATCCTTTTTCAATGTAAGAATGAAAATCATTCTTCCCAGTATTCGAGCCACCGACTTAAAAGTTGCGGCGAGACCATTATCTTCGCCAACAGATCTCGAAATTCACAACGATGTTCTTCTATCCGCTTACCTAAATAGTTTCTTTGGGGTCACGATGTCGAAGGTGTAAGAGGTATCCCGAAACTCTGCCACGCAGTGATTATAGTCGAAACAACTACAAAGGCCGCAGACTTAGTATATATGACATTGTTCAATGTGGTGATTGTGGGGTTATGATTCGTTCAATGTGAGAGCGCAGCGTTTTTAAATAATAAAATTTGGCTTCTTATCGTTTTCCAATAGCGTTTAAGTATGTTGCAGAAACGTATAAAGTGTCCTTTTTCACTTACTGGATTTACTGTAAGCTCTAACCAAATGATTTAGCAGTGAATTAACGACAGTAACCAAATGATTTAGCAGTGAATTAACGACATTTAAACTTTTGTTGACTTCATGCAATTTTGCGGGAATGACCACAAGCACAAATCATATGCGCAGATAATTCAAGGCTAATTTCCACTCCAGAAAACGAGCAGCGGATCGGATCGGATTTTTTTCCGAGCCTGGTCCGATCCATGAAGTGATTTCGGATCGGATAAAAAAAAGTTAAAACTATTTGAACTTTTTTTATCCGGTCTCGGACGCTTTCGAATCAATATAAGCCAAAAATTTCAACAGACGGCGCCCACGCGGATTATCCGATCCGATCCGATGCTCGTTTTCTGGAGTGGAAATTAGCCTTAAGGATAGTACATGTACGTGCGCGTCCCATTTATGACAATTTCCAATCATCATGATAAAAAAATAGATTGAACTAACGGTACTCAGTTTGCGCGACCTTTGTGTATACCATCAACACTTGATTTTGAAAGAGCTATATTTAATTATTTTACCTAAATCCTCTTTTTAAGCGGGTGATAATGAAAAGGATTCCCAGGATTAAACCCATCGACTTAAAAGTTCTGAGACCATTGTCTTTACCCCAATAAAAACAGATCTTGAAATTAAAAGGGACGTTTTTCTATTTAACCAAAATCTTTTCTTTTGGGTGGTAATAAAACATTTCCCCCATGCAGGATTCGAACCATCAACTTGCCCGTGGCGAGATCACTGTCGTCTCCCATAGACCATTTGCTCTTGGGATAATTGACGGCATTTTTATAGTTAACTTAAACCTTTTTCACGTTTATAATGAAAACATTCCTGCCAGTGCCGGACCTCCATCCTTCCACTTAAGACATGCGATAAGACAAAAAGCCAGAGCGCTAGAGCAGAACTCAATGCAAGAAGAGCAATTTCTCTCGAAAATCGAAATCCCAAGAGAGAGAACTGATAAATTGATGTGGCACAGTGCATACGACTCAAAAAGCCAAAGGCTCAATATATATGACAATGCTCAATGTGGTGATTGTGGGATTATTATTCGTTCATTGCGACTGCGCGGGGTTTCTTTGTACTTAATTTGACTTTTTTTTTTCGTTTTCCAATAGCGTTCAAGTATGTTTAATAAACATAAAATGTCCTTTTTCCCTCACTGCATTTCCTATAAGCTAAGAAAGGTTGATTTAGTTAAGAAATGAAGTGAATAAAGAATATTTAAAATTTTGTAGATTTAATGCAATAGTGGACATAGTGGACGAATAACCACGTGCACACATCACAACCGTAGATAATTAAAGATAGTACGCGCACATGCAAGGCGCATGTCTGCAAATTTCTAATTAGAATAAAAATGAAAGTTTTTAGCATAAAGAAGAAAGTATTGAAAATATATTTTCCCAGATTCGAATCACTGACCTAAAAGAATGATCCATATCAAAATATTTGACATCATAACCAAAGAAAGGTGATATTGTTTAATGTTTGCATGTATATGAACACGAAACATGCTTGCAACTTTACATAAGACAAGCATTTGACCATCAAAACAGCGTGGTTATCCATATCAAAATATTTGACATCATAACTAAAGCAAGGTTATATGGTTTAATGTTTGTATATGAACACGAAACATGATTGCAACTTTACATAGGACAAGCATTTGACCATTAAAACAGCGTGGCTATCCATATCAAAATATTTGACATCATAACTAAAGCAAGGTTATATGGTTTAATGTTTGTATATGAGCACGAAACATGCTTGCAACTTTACATAGGACAAGCATTTGACCATTAAAACAGCGTGGTTATCCATATCAAAATATTTGACATCATAACTAAAGCAAAGTTATATGGTTTAATGTTTGTATATGAACACGAAACATGATTGCAACTTTACATAGGACAAGCATTTGACCATTAAAACAGCGTGGTTACCCATGTCAAAATATTTGACATCATAACCAAAGCATGGTTATATTGTTTAATGTTTGTATATGAGCACGAAACATGCTTGCAACTTTACATAGGGCAAGCATTTGACCATTAAAACAGCGTGGTTACCCATGTCAAAATATTTGACATCATAACCACAGCATGCATGGTTATATTGTTTAATGTTTGTATATGAACACGAAACATACTTGCAACTTTACATAGGACAAGCATTTGACCATTAAAACAGCGTGGTTATCCATATCAAAATATTTGACATCATAACCAAAGCAAGGTTATATGGTTTAATGTTTGTATATGAACACGAAACATACTTGCAACTATACATAGGACAAGCATTTGACCATTAAAACACCGTTGTTATCCAAATTGTTATTACTGTTATTAATTGTTGTTATTATATATAATAACAAAATATATAACATCACAACGAAAGCATGGTTATATAACTTATATTGTTTAAAGTTCAGTGACTTCAGTCTTTCATGATGGGTCCCGTGAAAATGCAAAATAATAAAGTGTCGAGTAAAATGCCGCGTTTTTGCAACCGGAGAACATGACATAATCAGCCTGTAGATATTGAAAAAAAAAGTCGATTATGACATCCCGTGCCCAGCTTACGACGGCTTCCGCTCACACACTCAGCTCACGGAGTGACGGAGACGGAGGAGATCAAATGACAAACAGACACTTGTTATATGCATGGATTTCATAGTCAACTCAGCGAAGATATTACGTGCGAAATTCCTGTTTGGAAAGGAACCGAAACCTCTCTTTTGAATTTGGATTCATGCTGTGTATTTAATTTATCTTTGAATTTGAACTTCTTTCTCGTTTTGCATATAAAATTTGCCGTCCATATGACAACAGGATAATATAGTGCACCACTTCCGCGTTGTGGAATGTTCAAGTAAAATCTCAACAGTGGGTTAATGCAGAGCAAAGACTGTATTGTGAAAAAGTTTAGCTTAAAAGGTAAGGTTTTCTCTAGAGAAATGAATCAAACTAACTTGACCTGGGATTGTCTTTTTAAAGATATCATTCTTTATAAATGCTTATTCTGCACGACTGCACACCCATTGCCATAATGCTATGCTATGGCAATAATCTATCAAATAACTCTTTATATCAGCGATACTTTAATCGGCAATTCAATATTGTGGGCGAACGCTAAATATATGTTCTCTCAGATCTGTATATACACGCAATAATGTTTGTAAATGATACGATTGCGTACTTTGAGCTTGATCAAAGTTGCGAAGCTATATGTTCACAGTAGGTATATTGTGTCTATAGGATATTGGCATTAACTTTGTATATCTTGCTCCCATCTGACTGCATGGATACTACCCGCCATGCACATAAGTTGTACTATAGTCTATACGCTAGTTTATATATTTGCTTTCTTGTGAACATACTTTAATGTTTAGTCAATTCCTGTTTTATTTCACCAGACCAAACAACTTTATGAATCTTATGCAATTCAGCATAGCTCTCGAGAACAAACAACAACTCACCAAGCGCCGAGTATAGGAATAAATACATTGTGATACACCGCGGTTGTCTTGCTGGTCCACCTAATCTTATACATCGTTAGCAATAGCTACAGTATGTCTATGTTGTTTAAATTTCCAGGAAATGCATGTTTGTACATTTGCTAAATATATTACTGACCAGTCTGACTGTCCGAGTTTGAATTTATATAGCCTTGGTATCTGGTTTAAATCGATATGTTTATATATAGTTTAAGTTTACGAACTAGCCTGTGGGGTTTCCTGGAATAAGGATATCCAGATATCACGGGTAGGTTCTTTGTTAAAGAACCTCGAACGAATTATGTACAGGTTTCAAGCCTTGCATCTGATGTCATTGACTTCCACCGCGACCACTGTTTCTGGTGGATAAGTCTGGTAGATAACGGGTTCAGTTGTATCAAGCCGGTTTAGCTAGAACGGTGGATAAGTCAAAGTGTCATTTGACACTCTTACATCTCTCTTAAATCAGTCAACTTGAAATATTATGCACTGAGTATGTAGTTATAAACAGTATCTTTGTTAAAAACATTTAGTTCGCTTGTTGAATAAAACGTTAGACTTGCTTTCTATTTTGAACTTATCCACCGTTTAAGCTGAACGGACTTGATACAACCGACCCCCGCGGTAAAGAAACAAGGAATTCAATCAGCAGAGATTTCAGAAGTTAACTTACAAATTTGTATTTTATTTTCAAAGTTTCTAAAAGTTTCAGGATTTGCGGCAATTGCAGAAACAAAACATTCCTACTCTCCGAGTTGACGAACTGCTTAACTCAAGCTATAAGGCGCTTTCCTTTAATGGTCAGTCAAAATGGTCAAATCGGTCATATTTTGAATCGAAATAGAGTTTTGTTATAACAATAAACCGTGGCCCAAATATGCAGATATAAATAACGATGCACTTAGATGAAAAGTTCTTGAAGCACTCTAAAATATTAGTAATCTGTTGAAAGATAACAAGACCGGTCTGGTCGTTTTTTTTCCGCATACGCGTCCGAAGATGTGACAATTTTAAAAATTCGTCTATGAGTCCTCTAGTAGGCATCCAGTTCTACATTCCGTGGCTGTGAGCCTCCCAACCAAATCTAATCGCTTTGTCCGGTGGAGCTTACATAATCTTGTGCATACAATAAGTTTGGCATGTCAGTACAGGTTATCCGCAAAGGCCCGTAAAAATTTTTTCCTCGACAATTTCTCTTTAAAGTTTCCCTGTCAAGTTGGTTGAATCCGGAAAGCTTTTCGTTTGTATAAGACAATCAAAAGAGGTTTTTGGCGTAGAACTCGGTCAATATAGCGAGAGCTATAGGCGAGAGATTTGTTCCGTCCAATATAATCTCGTGATATTTTCACTATCAATGTGACATTCTGAAAGACAGTTTTCTGCCCTTTAGTCGGAAAAGACAACATCTTTTCGGTTTGTTAATCATTCTTATTGCATCTGTCAGTGTTCGACGGTTTTAATCAACAGTTCTGCGCTGTGTTCAATCATGCTCTACGTACACTACACTAAATTTATCGGCACGGCTAAAATTGGTACACGTGCCCAGTTTTGTTAGTGTTCAGGCTGCCAATACAAAACCCGAGCGCGGATGAAATTGGTACAAGTAGCCATGCATTTTAGCCGTACCGATCATGAAATTAAGTGTAGTTAAAGTCGCGTACGGCCGGGCTTCAGTAACTTCAGTCTTTCAAGATGGGTCCCGTGAAATGCAAAATGAGAAAGTGTTCTTTGTCACGGAGACAGGCTGTGCATACGATGGCCCACACTTTCTCCTTCAGAAATATTAGAGCATGTACGTTTTCCGCCTATATAGTTTGTGGTCCACCCTAAGACCGCCTTCGAGGACACCTCACCTTATATATTTCATTTTTTCTTTTTGCAGTGATATTTTAGATATGCGCATTCTTTTGCTTCTGCTGTTTGGTTTTGAGGTCATCTCATTTGTACCAACCAGAGCACGTAAGTTAGATTGCGTTTAATATCTCATTAGGAGTACATTGGTACATTGGGGTACATTGATCCACAGTCGGTAGCTTGCATATGCAAAGGTGAACTGAGTGAGGTCGGGTAGGGAGCGTGTGATCCCTTATGATTTGCGGAAGCCATCGGTAAATATAAACGGAATTGACTCTTGTCTATTTTTAGCAAAAGTTAACAGGAATTTTTATGGCACATCTGCATGTTGATTCCAAAAATTGATTCATGTATGTATCGTGGTGTCAACAACAGACATATGTTTTACCCCAGTTCAATCGCCCCATTTTTAGTTCGAGAAACAAATGAGAAACAGATTCTCTTTAACCTATAGGTTTAGACAGTGATATTCGGTGTTTCATCGACCGTCTAATAGTTTTGCATATTTCAAAATTCAGGTGCATTTCTTTTTCAGAAAATGATAGACAATATGTTGTACGGGACGGCGATGAAGTTGAAATAAAATGCTCTCCAGGCAATATCAGTGGCAGCTTCATCAAATGGGACGTTCCCGATGTGCTAACGAATCTCACCATTTCTCGGAATTCGAGTTTAAATGTAAAAAATCCTAGAACGAGCTCGCTGCAAGGGTTGTTTAACGTCTCGTGTCTCGTGAGCGGCAGCGTTAACGGGAGCAATCAAACCAATGGAACAACAACTGAACGGATTTTGTATCAAGTTGTGTTGTACAAAGGTAAGTCAACTTCTCAATATATTTCCCGTACTGAAAAGTGAAAACGTAATGGATGATAGCTTTGCAGATTCACTTATCCCGGGAGGATGATACAACTAATAAAATATATAGAAATAATTTCTTTAATTTTTTGACACGCCGCGCCGCGATCCATTAATGCATGCATCACAACATTAAAAACACAGACAGACTACCAGAAGGCTTCTTGTCAAATAGACTAATATGTCCATAAATAAAATTTTCAGCCGAGAAATATGTCAGAGTTTCAAATGCAGAAAACAAAATCTGGTAAACGCGTGATATTAAGACGCGGCCTTGAAGTCCGGTCCGGTCTGTGCAAATCTTTGTCTCATGAATAGACCATGCAAGCAACATTCCAGGCTTTGCAACAAGCACTTGAAATATCCCTAGAAGCTTTTTTTAAGCATCGCGTGCTTAACTCTTGAACTTGGGTTTACAAGATGTTCGTCGGAACATATATATCTTACATATAATCAACTTGTCTGCTGGTTTTGTTTTTTGTAAAGGTTTACTTACGTCTTCGTGCTGTCCACCAGGGTTTTCACAATGCAAGGAAGTTTCTTTGCAATTGACAACCACAAGAGAGGGAGGGATTTGTTAACATAAGATATTTTATGCATTCTTTTCAAAAAGTTCTTTGTTTCTCTCAATCCCCTTTGTTTCATCGATATCCCCCTATGAGGACTGCGTTATGCAAATACATAAGTTGTGGAAACCCTGTTGTCTACAAAACCATCTCAATAGAGACTGTACTATCTCTTTCTTTTTGCAGCGCCAAAAATCACCACTGAAGCATTTGACGTAACATTAATTAGTATCAAAGAAGGCGATCCTCATCGCGATGTAATTTTTCCATGCAAGACTATAGGATACCCAAGACCATTTATCAATTGGGTTTTCGGTGAAGTTACCCTGAACTTCACTAGTGGTGGGATTTCTGGACCAATCATTTTTGACCACAATTTAAATCGCGTTACAACGATGTTTCAAGTGTTTAAAAATGGTACGTTGCGTATTTCTAATGCAAACTACAAGGAAAGCGTACCATATAACAATTTCACCTGCGTCGCCTCATCGTTCATTGGCGTTGACAGAGTATCACATGTGTTTTCAATCGGAACTGGTGAGTAAAACGTATAAGCATTGTATTATTATATCTAAAATTGTTCTGCTCCCCTCCTCACTCATCAAGAAAATAGTTTTTATGTACATATCATTAAGAAATATTGTCATAATTTAAAATTGAGACTATGTGGCATAGTGTGGAGGTTATGGGGAGAAGGGGTCGTGGTGAATTGTAATAAATTCAAACCAAGCGTGCGGTGGATGATGGAGAGCATTATTTCTTCCAATTTCCTCCTGCATGAAACGATAACATTCCCATTTCACTTCCACTGATCTATGTTTCCTAACAGTGGGGGCTACAATCCACTGAATGCTATTTCCACCTGATACCCCAGAGATTGGGTGGGGTGGATTTAGGGTTAGGGGAAACAAATGACAAGGCTTTATTTTAAATTCAAATTCCACCAATGCAATTGCGATTTTAGAGTGTAGTAATTTATTCTGCATAATCCTGGATCCGCTACTGCGTAAAGAGAACACAAAAGACGCAGGCATCGTCTTTGATCAGGCATGAAGTTCTTGGCGTATAAAGTTATTTTTCTTTTAAATTGCAGTCGAAATCTACCTATTCGAGATATTTCTAGTCAATGCAAGTCAATATGGCACCCAACGCAAGGACATTGTGAAAAAGGTAGGCTGGTCTCTGATAATTTGATGCATTTTTGTTACTTACATTTACCATATATTGCGAGGCTAAATAGTAAAGAACTAACTTACTTCGATTACACCAAATCTTGATTTCCAGTTGATCTTCACTGGAATCTATGCCTATGACATCGCATAAAGCCCTAGAATCGCCCAACGCCTGTATGTTCACCGCTTTTACCACAAATAATGGCAGGTTGACGTTACACCTATATATCAGTGCTTCCTTTACCCTTAGATTGAAAGTGTATTTGAAAATAGCCTGTCCCTTCGGTCGATAAATGTTACTCATGTGAATCTCACGTAAGTAAAAAAGTGGCATTTTGTGCAAGTAAATCTCCAAAATATCTTGATGTTGGAATTGATATATAAGATCGTTCTTTCTGATCGTTATATACAAGCATTTGAGATTGCTTCGACAAATCGTAGAGTGTAAAAATGTCTCTTCAAAGCGGTTCAAAATGGAGTTGTCGATTTCTAAATTTGAGCAAATTGTCTGTTAGATTGGTATGGGTTATATATGTACATATATTTGCCAATATTTGCAGTGTTCAGTAAAACACTCAAACTACTTTAAGTAACAGAAAATTAGTTTCAGGAAAGTTTAGTTTAGTCAGTTAGTATTTAAGTAAGATAAATCAAATCTGGCATTATCATTACACGCATGAATTAAACTTATAAATTTTATTACGAAATACTTTTTCTTCATTTAAACGTAAGTAAGAGAGAAATTCTTTACCAAAACCACTCTTTCCTACAAGTACAAAGTACTTAGCTAACAAAGAACTGTTTCGTACTGCACAAAAACTACTTTTCAAGTAATAATACAGAATTAGTTTACTTAAGTAAAGATAACGAAAGTAGTTATAGCTATAGTAGGAAATAATACATGGATTGCATATCTCTGGCTTTTAGGTCTGGGAAAGTTGATATTGTTCTGACTTGGCTTACAAAAACCCTCGAGGACAAGAAGTATCTTGAAAAAGAAGGCAATGATTATCTTCTCAAATCTCACGAATTGGCTAGTGATGTACGCAAGAGACTTGTGGATAATGGAGTCGCCATAGCTAAATTTATAATGGATGGTAGAGTAACCATTTTTATAACCATTTTTGAAGCCACGTTCATATCGCCTTTTATTTCATTATACGAAGGCTCTGAGTGTACATCCAAACGCGGGTTATGAAATTAATTTCACACTGTAAAAACAGATGTGTTAAAATGACCCATTTTTACAGGTCCTAACCAATTTGAACTGGTTATTTTAAATTTTTAACCAGTTAAAGAATTGGTTGGTCAAATGTAACCAATAAAATATTGGTCATTTCTACCGAAACTTAAAGAGTTTTGTTTTTTTATCGCTGTATATTGCATCTTATATTGCGTGAGGCAGGCTGCTAGATCGTGAGCAAGTGCACTTGTCATAAAAGCTCATAGAGAAAATCGTTCCTTGTACAGACGAACAAATAAAACTCGTCACGTGAAAACTTGCTTGTCTGCATGTAACCGGTTTTGTAGTACTGCCGAAACGACGAATCGTAGTATGAAAGATTAATTCTTTATTATTTGTTGATTGTCTTACAGCTAAACCAGGCCCAGCCATCGATTTAACCGTGAACGATGTATCAGAAACAACAGTGAGTTTTAGCTGGAAAAATCCAGAAAATTTTATAATCGATGAATACCAAATACAATTTACTGAAGGCGGATCTGAATGGAAGAATTCAGATAAGGTACGTCTCACAAAAGTATGCCGGTTTACAATTTGTTGCAAGCCATTGCAAACCATAGTCTTTTCGGTGAACATGTTGAGATTTGTTGTCAAGTCAGGGAAAGGATATTCAGTAATGTTTTCCATCAGAAGCGGTGGGGGGGAGGGGAGGTGACAACCCCTGAGTGACAAATTTGTCGGGTAAATCATAACAAAAAGAGGTAGATCAATTGATTTAAAAGCGATGTTTTACTTCACCAGAGCCTCTTCTCTGACCACCCCTCCCCTCCTCAACATTGATACCCAGGTTATGCCCTCGATACCAATTTACCTTTGCTAGTCAGGGCTTAAGCCTTCTCTTTAACACAGATCCCTGTCTTTTCACGCAGATTCCTGGTAGTAAAAAAAGCACAGTCCTTGATGGACTCGAAGAAGGAACAAAGTATCTGATTAGATTGCAATCCATAAATAAAAATGGAGTTGGTGATTATGAATCCAAGCCCGTCGAGGCTAACACAGGTACAGTATAAAAATAAACTTTTTTATAGAGAACCAAGGGCCATCTGTAATGAACAATTTCAATGTGATACTATAAAAGGAACATAAACCAAACTTTATTTATTTATACTGGATAGCTCTATCAGTTCTAAACTGCTCTCCCTAGAGGTCTAGTAAGGATCATCTCTTATTGATCCAGTGTTAATACAGGAGGAAACCTAAACTAAACTAACTTTATTTATACTGGATAGCTCTATCAGTTCTAAACTGTTCTTCCTAGAGGTCCAGTAACGATCATCTCTTATTGATCCAGTGTTAATACAGGAGGAAACCTAAACTAAACTAACTTTATTTATACTGGATAGCTCTATCAGTTCTAAACTGCTCTTCCTGGAGGTCTAGTAAGGATCATCTCTTATTGATCCAGTGTTAATACAGGAGGAAACCTAAACTAAACTAACTTTATTTATACTGGATAGCTCTATCAGTTTTAAACTGTTCTTCCTAGAGGTCCAGTAAGGATCATCTCTTATTGATCCAGTGTTACTACAGGAGGAAACCTAAACTAAACTAATTTTATTAACACCGGACATCAGTTTTTAACTGAGGTTCAGTAAGTCATGCGGACATCGCAACCCTCCGGATGTACGGAGGCATGAAAATTTTCGATTTTTCTTCCCAGATACCGTGCCAGTCACCATAATCGTTGTAGTTGTTGTTCTTGTCGTTTCTATCTATTTTTTTGCCATTTCATTTACGTTTAGAAAACGTTGATTTTAAGAATATCAGTTTATGGGGAACAAAAGCGCTTTCCTTTAAGCGACCAAAATTACCAAACAGCGGTCATATTTGGAATCGAAATAGAAAAACTGCTTTTCTCGTGCTAGACAGATGTGATACACTTGATACACTTGAACGATAGCTACACTTGAATGCAGAGTTTTTAGAAGTGCTCCATGTCAACGAATGGGTTTACTTCTCGTTTTTTCCGACGAACGATAAGATTTCTATAACTCAGTAAACTCCCACTTGTTCGCTTTCTCTCTAGATGGCAAGCGACTTTATGTGATACGAGACGGCGGTGATGTGGAAATAAAATGCTCGCCTAGCAGTTCTAATTTCAGCAACATCACCTGGGACGTTCCTGATGAGTTTCCAAACTTCAACGTTACTCGAAATTCAAGTTTGATCGTGACAAATCCTAGAACGAGTTCGCTGCAAGGGTTGTTTAACGTCTCGTGTCTTGCGAGCGGCAGAAATAACGGGAGCAATCAAACCAATGGAACAACAACAACTGAACGGATTTTGTATCAAATTGTGTTGTACAAAGGTAAGTCAACTTCTCAATATATTTCCCGTACTGAAAAGTGAAAACATATGGATGATAGCTTTGCAGATTCACGTATAATTTATTATATATATATATATATACTGTATATGCTTCATACATATGGAGAGCGTGTTGTCCCGGGAGGATGATACAACTAATAAAATATATAGCAATAGTTCCTTCAAAATTTCGAGGGTGACTTGAATCGAACATTCCTTGTGAGGTTTTTAAAAGGTAAATGCATTATTGGGAACAGAAAATTCACGTATAAAATGTTTAAATAATACCGATAAGACATGCATTCAGTGGGATTTTTGGCACTTCACTCGATGCATTTAAATTCTAGGGGTTTAAATTCTAGGCATGTAAATGCTAGTGCCTTCATTTCGAGTGGAATTATAAACACTTCAAATTCATGAGCCAGGAACAGTTGATGGAAAAGTGAGTCAACAATAGGTCAACCGGCAGGAATCGAACCTAGTGGCAAGAGCATTGCACCGACATCACAAAAACGTAGGTTCGATTCCTGCCGGAGGACCTATAGTTTCCCTCAACTGTTCCTAGCTTGAATTGGAAGTGTGAATATAATTCCACTCGAAATTAAGATCCTTTAATGCCGATAAGAGTGAGTTGCGCGATCGTTAAACGTGTGAATTAATGTAAAATATCTGTCTTGATTCTAGCTCGGATTTTCCAGGCGTAGACATTTGAATACAATTTATTTACTATATTTTGTTTACGGAAAGCAAAATTTGGTAAACCCGTGATATTAAGACGCGGCCTTGAAGTCCGGTCCGGTCTGTGCAAATCTTTGTCTCATGAATAGACCATGCAAGCAACATTCCAGGCTTTGCAACAGGCACTTGAAATATTCCTAAAAGCTTTTTTATTTGAGCATCGCGTGCTTAACTCTTGAACTTGGGTTTACAAGATGTTCGTCGGAACATATATATCTTACATATAATCAACTTGTCTGCTGGTGATGGTTTTTGTAAAGGTTTACTTACGTCTTCGTGCTGTCCACCAGGGTTTTCACAATGCAAGGAAGTTTCTTTGCAATTGACAACCACAAGAGAGGGAGGGATTTGTTAACATAAGATATTTTATGCATTCTTTTCAAAAAGTTCTTTGTTTCTCTCAATCCCCTTTGTTTCATCGATATCCCCCTATGAGGACTGCGTTATGCAAATACATAAGTTGTGGAAACCTTGTTGTCTACAAAACCATCTCTATAGAGACTGTACTATCTCTTTCTTTTTGCAGCGCCAAAAATCACCACTGAAGCATTTGACGTAACATTAATTAGTATCAAAGAAGGCGATCCTCATCGCGATGTAATTTTTCCATGCAAGACTATAGGATACCCAAGACCATTTATCAATTGGGTTTTCGGTGAAGTTACCCTGAACTTCACTAGTGGTGGGATTTCTGGACCAACCACTTTGATCCACAATTTTAATAAAGTTACAACGTTTTTTCGAGTGTTTAAAAATGGTACGTTGCGTATTAATAATGCAAACTACGAGAATAGCGTACCATATAACAATTTCACCTGCGTCGCCTCATCGTTCATTGGCGTTGACAGAGTATCACATGTGTTTTTAATTGGAACTGGTGAGTAAAACGTATAAGCATTTTATTATTATATCTAAAATTGTTCTGCTTCCCTCTTCACACACCAAGAAAATAGTTTTTATGTACATATCATTAAGAAATATTGTCATAATTTAAAATTGAGACTGTGTGGACTGGAGGGTCGTGATGAATTGTAATATATTTAGACCAAGCGCGCGGTGGATGATGGAGAGCATTATTTCTTCCAATTTCCTCCTGCATGAAACGATAACATTCCTATTTCACTTCCACTGATCTTATGTTTCCTAACAGTGGGGGTTACAATGCACTGAATGCTATTTCCACCTGATACCACAGAGACTATGTGCATGAGGGGGGGGGGGGATTGAGGGTTAGGCGAAACAAATGACAAGGCTTTATTTTAAATTCAAAGTATATATACTTAATGACAACGCTATTGGTTATGAATTTTTATATAATTTTTACATAAAAATCCACCAATGCAATTGCGATTTTAGAGTGTAGTAATTTATTCTGCATAATCCTGGATCCGCTACTGCGTAAAGAGAACACAAAAGACGCAGGCATCGTCTTTGATCAGGCATGAAGTTCTTGGCGTATAAAGTTATTTTTCTTTTAAATTGCAGTCGAAATCTACCTATTCGAGATATTTCTAGTCAATGCAAGTCAATATGGCACCCAACGCAAGGACATTGTGAAAAAGGTAAGCTGCTCCCTGATAATTTGATGCATTTTTGTTACTTAGATTTACCATATATTGCGAGGCTAAATAGTAAAGAACTAACTTACTTCGATTACACCAAATCTTGATTTCCAGTTGATCTTCACTTGAATCTATGCCTATGACGTCGCATAAAGCCCTAGAATCGCCCAACGCCTGTATGTTCACCGCTTTTACCACAAATAATGGTTGACGTTACACGTATATATCAGAGCTTCCTTTACCCTTAGATTGAAAGTGTATTTGAAAACAGCCTGTCCCTTCGGTCGATAAATGTTACTCATGTGAATCTCACGTAAGTAGCTAAAAGCTTGATATTTTGTGCAAGTAGATCTCCAAAATATCTTGATGTTGGAATTCATGAGATCGTGCTTTCTGATCGTTATATACAAGCATTTGAGATCGCTTCGATAAATCGTAGAGTGTAAAAATGTCCCTTCAAAGCGGTTCCAAATGGAGTCGTCGATTTCTAAATTTGAGCAAATTGTCAGTTAGATTGGTATGGATTATATATGTACGCATATTTGCCTATATTTGCAGTGTTCAGCGAGGCACTCAAACTACTTTAAGTAAGAGAAAATTAGTTTTAGGAAAGTTTAGTTCAGTCAGTAAGTATTCCTAAAAGAACGTAAGATAAATTAAATTTGGCATTATCATTACATGCATGAATTAAACTGATAAATTTTATTACGAAAAACTGATAAAATTATTACGAAATATTTCTTACTTCATTAAAACATAAAGCCCTGGTCAAACGGGAATGATAGTTGATGAGAGTTGATGAATTTGAAACAGTTCAAAGTCGATGAAAGTTGATAAGAGTGCACGAGAGTGTATGAGAGTTCGCGGTCAAACGCAAGCGAGAGTTGCAACTCTCATCAACTCTCATCAACTATCATTCTCGTTTGACCAGGGCTTAAGTAAAAAAGAGTCTACAAAGTCTACCAAAAACCTCTCTTTCCTACAAATACAAAGTATTTTGCGAAGAACAACTTCGTACTCCACAAAAACTACCTCGCGTTTCAAATAAATACAGATTTATTTACTTATAAGCAAAGTTAACGAAATATATTTACTTCGTTACTGCGCACTGCCAAACACTGTCTAAGTAGTTAGGTTTCTTATTATATAGTAGAAAATAATACATGCATACCTCTGGCTTTTAGGTCGGGGAGGGTTGATATTGTTCTGACTTGGCTTACAAAAACCCTCGAGGATAAGAAGTATCTAGAGAAAAAAGGCAATGATTATCTTCTCAAATCTCACGAATTGGCTAGTGATGTACGCAAGAGACTTGTGGATAATGGAGTCGCCATAGCTAAATTTATAATGGATGGTAGAGTAACTTTTTTTATAACCATTTTTGAAGCCACGTTCATATCACCTTTTAGTTCAATATACGAAGGCTCTAAGTGTACATCCAAACTTGGGTTATGAAATTAATTTCACACTGTAAAAACAGATGGGTTAAAATGACCCATTTTTACAGGTCCTAACCAATTTGAATTGATTATTCTAAATTTTTAACCAGTTAAAGAATTGGTTGGTCAAATGTAACCAATTAAATATTGGTCATTTCAACCGAAACTTAAAGAGTTTTATTTTTTTATCACTGTATATTGCATCTTATATTATATGAGCAAGTGCACTTGTCATAAAAGCTCATAGAGAAAATCGTTGCTTGTACAGACGAACAAATAAAACTCGTCACATGAAAACTTGCTTGTCTGCATGTAACCGGTTTTGTAGTACTGCCGAAACGACGAATGGTAGTATGAAAGAATTCTTTGTTATCTGTTGTTTGTCTTACAGCTAAACCAGGCCCAGCCACCGATTTAACCGTGAACGAGGAATTAGAAACAACAGTGAGTTTTAGCTGGAAAAATCCAGAAAATTTTATAATCGATGAATACCAAATACAATTTACTGAAGGCGGATCTGAATGGAAGAATTCAGATAAGGTACGTCTGACAAAAGTATACCGGTTTACAATTTGTTGCAAGCCATTGCAAACCATAGTCTTTTGGGTGAACATGTTGAGATTTGTTGTCAAGTCAGGGAAAGGATATTCAGTAATGTATTCCATCAGAAACGGGGGGGAGGTGACAACCCCTGAGTGACAAATTTGTCGGGCAAATCATAACAAAAAGAAGTAGATCAATTGAGCATAGAAGCGACGTTTTACTTCACCTGAGCCTCTTCTCTGCCCCAAAAGCCCCCCCCCCTTAACATTGATACCCAGGTAGCGTCCCGATACCATTTTACCTTCGCTAGTCAGGGCTTAAGCCTTCTCTTTAACACAGATCCCTGTCTTTTCACGCAGATTCCTGGTAGTAAAAAAAGCACTGTCCTTGATGGACTCGAAGAAGGAACAAAGTATCTAATTAGATTGCAATCCATAAATAAAAAAGGAGTTGGTGATTATGAATCCAAGCCCGTCGTCGCTACCACTAAAGGTACAGTAATAATAAACTTTTTTATAGAAAACCATGCACGGGTCATCTGTAATGAACAATGTCAATGTGGTACTATAAAAGGAAACCAAACTAAACTTTATTTATTTATACTAGATAGCTCTATCAGTTCTAAACTGTTCTTCCCGAAGGATCGGAAGTCCAGTAAGGATCTTCTCTTATTGATCCAATGGTACTACAGGAGAAAACCTGAACTAAACTAATTTTATTGACACCGGACAGCTCTATCAGTTTTAAACTGTTCTGTCTAGAGGTCCAGGGGCCGGTTGAACGAAGGCCTGATAGCGCTATCCACCAAATAGTGATTTTTTAATCGTTCTAAAAATGCTTGGGAAGCAACAAAATTTTAGCTTTGGAAGCAACAATTATTAAAGAAGATCCTCAATTTAGAAACACTAGGGTTTAATAAAACAAAGTTTCAGCCAACAACGGGCGATTTTAGAGCGATGGAAAAATCCACTATCCGGTTGATAGCGCTATCCGGCTTTCATACAACCGACCGCAGTAAGTCACGTGAACATCGTAACTCCCCCGATGTATGAAGGCATGAAAATTTTCGATTTTTCTTCCCAGATACCGTGCCAGTCACCATAATCGTTGTAGTTGTTGTTCTTGTCGTTGTGGTGGTGATCGCATTGATTGTAGCTTTTGTGTATTACCGTAAGAGATTAAAGGATGCTCCGATTGTGGAGATAATACCATTACAGAACGAGGTGTGTTGATAACATCATAATCATTATCGACAACACCATAGCATACTATACTAAACAATATCATGCCACATGGTACCACTTCACATACCACCACCACATTCCCAAATTATGTGCTATACCATAGCTCATATTTGTACAATTATATACCAAATACCAAAGACCATATTAAAGACCATATACAAAATTCCATACTCTATACAATGTACCATATCACATACCAAATACCATACCATACCATACCATATCATACCATACCATACCATACCATACCATACCATATCATACCATACCATACCATACCATACCATACCATACCATACCATACCATACCATACAATACAAACAACATACTATACCACGCAGTACCAGAACCAATACCACTACTATAGCAGTCATCCTGCACTCTTTACCATATCATACTGAACACTCGGGTACCTCGTATCCTAACAGCAACCAAATCTTTCCTTTATAGCCCTACATGTTTTCACTACCTGGAGTCCACACCACCAACATTTACGAACGCGACCATCGAACTTTTTGTCCTTACGGTGGGAGTGCTTTCCAGGGGGCCGCCGAGCCCAGTGAAAAGGAGTACTTCTCGTGGCGGGAAATTCCTCGTGAGTCGCTCGATATGAAAAATGAGCTGGGTCAAGGAGAATTTGGCATGGTGATGAAAGCCATATGGACCGACCAAGAGAACAATGCCCCACTCCCCGTGGCTGTTAAGACAATCAAGGGTGAGTAGTCTTGTTGGGGTAGTTTTCACGGGCACAACTTAAGTTAATGTTACATTCAAGTTAATTTTACTATCAAGAAAACCTTACTGACTAGCTGGAAAGATAAAGTTTTTTACATCTCTTAAACCATTTTTAAAACGTTGACAATCAAATTCAAAACGGCAATGTTGATGTGACCCTATTTCTTACTTGTATCTGGAGCTCTGAATCTCTGAAGCTCTAAACGTCTTTAGATGTCTAAATACGCACGAGTTTGGATTCATTCTCCGATAGATTAGATTAGAGATAATATTCCAGTAATATTGATCCGTTCGAACTATGGTTATATAATTTCAGACACTGCAACGGAGAATGACCGCAAAGAGCTCTTCAAAGAGTTAAGATTGATGTCGGAAATATCAGATCATCCGAATATTGTCAAAATGATTGGAGCTTGCTCAAAAGGAGGTATGTATTCAGACTAAAATAAGTATTCCTGTTTCACTGTATGAGACCGTTAAACTCCGTATCCGTTATCTTCATAGAGGTCCAGTGAACATTTTCGTTGATTCAATCCGTGTTACTACAGGAAAAAATCTTTACTATAATGCGTCTCTGCATAACTAGTTACCTCCATGTCATTCATATCAGACTTGACGATTTCCGGAGGGATAACAATAGGAAATGACTTGATAAGATTTTGATATTTTTATGGGGGTGGGGGGGGGAGTTTGTTTGAGGTGTTGCGGGTGTGAGTTATGGGGGGAGATGGAGAAGCATTCTTGAATCTCTGTATAGTTTTATCTCCCGATTTTTTCGGGCACCATTCATGATATTAAGAAATATGAATATTTGTTGTAGGAATACTATGTCTTATTCTTGGAGTAGCACATTCTTCTTCGCTTTTAGACGATACAGGTTGCTTACACTGGGGAGGGAGGGTGGCAAGGATCTTTTCGTGTGAGGCACAAAGCTTTCCGCCTTTCAATATGTATAATGGCATCTGTATTTTTAGGTCCTTTGTGGATTGTTGTTGAGTTGTGTGAACACGGAAACTTGCTGAGTTTCCTTCGTAAGAATCGAAAAGAAATCTTGGAAAGGCAAGGTGACTACATCTCGTCACTCGACCCTCTGCTTCGAGTGAGAATCGGCTACGACGTGTCGAAGGGAATGCGTTATTTGGAAGACAAAAAGGTAGTCTTATACGAAGTGCTTCTAGTGAAGTCATCAATCACGGCGTATTTTCTTTCACGATCTCCGCCTGTGTGAATTAAATCTTTTTTCATTTATAAGCATTAGGCTTATGATTTAGGAATATTAGTGTAATACTGTCATGTTACCAACGGGACAAGCTGAAAAATGATCGGTGGGAACCCTCGACCTTCGGTTTGCCAGTCCAACCTGCAGTAAAAACGGTGTGATTAAATGATATTTCGGAAATGAGTCTAGTTCCTTACGTATTTGAAATCAGCGTGTCTTAAAGTGATGCTATAATAATAACACAGAAACTACGACCACCCGACAATTTAAAAAAGAACAAAATTACTCTGTCTGAAGATGGCTTTGAAATAAAGTTGAAAAAATTTATACTTTCAACCCGTGTCTTGTTCGATTCAATTATTGATTCTCAAGATGTCCTGTCTTTTCGGAATTTGATTTTTACTGACTACTTTAATACTCACCCAGAGTATAGCACCATCACAATATAATATTCACCTCATATGCACATCGCCGTGATATTCGTTTAGTTTGTAATCGTAAGCAAGCATAATTATGTAACTGGAATCACTTTCAGATCGTGCACAGAGATTTGGCGGCAAGAAATGTTTTGTTGGGAAAGAATAAGGTCGCCAAAATCGCTGACTTTGGTTTATCACGTGATATCTACGATGAGGGAACTTACGAGAAAAAAACTGGGGTGAGTGTGCTGAAGATATTAAACTAGGGCCATACAGGAATATTTAGGGGTGTATCCAGGTTATATTCGACTTTCCGTTATATTTTTATTACCAAGGTATACTCGTATACCATATACTGGTATACTCGACCTTCTGGTATCAGTACCATATACTAGTACCATACTAGCACTATACACATCATCAGTACCATGTAACAGTACCATACACTGGTATACTCGACCTTCTGGTATCAGTACCATTTACAAGTACCATATTAGTACTATACATATCATCAGTATCATCTACCAATACCATACACTGGTAAACTCGACCTTCGCTATTTTTTATTGCCAAGGTCTGGTGTATATTTTTTACTGGTATATATTTTTTACTCCTTTCATCCAATCAGCATTCAGATATTTTAACATCGATCGTGATTATAAGGCTTGTAATTAAAGGAATTCAATAGTCAACGATTGAAATCAACGACTTTAGTACAGCATTGAATTTCTCGTGTCACGTTACTCGATCCTGGCCATGTTGTTTCACGGGGTTTGATTTTTTCTCTTCTCTCTATTCATCAGGGAAAGCTACCAATCAAGTGGATGGCCATCGAATCTTTAACAGACCAGACTTACGATTCAAAAAGCGATGTGTATGTTCTGAATTCCTGTGACTCCAAATACTAAATATTAATTCTATAAATTCCAATTATTTTATCAAAGTTTTAACTTATATTTGGATGGGAACGTTGACTCAATTTCACATTTTATTTTTTCCCAAAAGGTGGTCGTTTGGAATTCTCTTGTGGGAAATAGAAACCGCTGGTAAGTTTTCTTTTAAATTTGTATACATTCTATGCTATAAGTATAGGTAATAGTATGGTTTCGAGTGCAATTTGGAAAAAACATGCACGAGTGAGTTTTTCAAAGACTCAAAATAGCACGAGTCCGAAGGACGAGTGCTATTTTGGGTCTTTGAAAAACTCACGAGTGTATGCTTTTTTCCAAATTGCACGAGAAACCATACTATTACTTGTTAATAATATACATGAAAATGTTCGAGACAAACACACGAGTATTTCTTGTATTTCTTGTCCCTATGTACATTTTGTTGATCGATTTTTCCTTTATATTGAATATTTCTTTTAGCGACGTTATATTTCTTAAATATTTTGTTGTGAAACCATTGTTTTAACGTTAAAAAGTCGCGAAAATCCAAATCTCCGTTTTTGATTTCCGTCGCCATCTTGGTTGTTTTGTTTGGGGCAAGCATTATATTTTTCCCGCCAAAACGTAGCTCAAATTTGATTGGCTGATATATTTATGACAGCCAATCAGATTGGTCTGTTACAAATTTTTGCACTGTTGTTACAGATTTTTGCACTGTTGTTACAGATTTTTGCACTGTTGTTACAGATTTTTGCACTGCTGTTCGGGATTAATTGCACTGAAATCGACCAATCACAGTCGAGAAACATTTTCATGTATATTATTAATTGGTTTTCAAATCAGGTGAGAATGTGCCTCAAAGTTTTTAATCTCGTTTCTCCGTGATTTCATCGCGTAGGAAGGGCACCGTATCCGGGTATTCCTGGCAGAGATATTAGTCATCATCTTTTGAATGGTTTCCGGATGGATAAACCTGACGAAACACCTTTTGAAATGTAAGTTAGGTCTGTTAGGAACCAAGGGTAAACTATGATTTAGAAATAGACTATGATGGAGTCAAATAAGTATAGATGTGCAAAAAATACACACAAATTTGAATTCTAAAGTCACTTGCTTTGCTCCACCCTCCCCTTCAGGACCGTTCCTTGGGAGGGGGGGGGTGTATTCATATATTCATGTTCGTACAACTGTAGAAACAATAGCTAACGAATATATAAATATGCATCCCCTTCCCCATTAGCTTCGTGCGACGGCCCTGTTCCCCTCTCCCTCCGAGTTATCATTTCAGCTGTTTTTATCGTCCTTTGTGTGTCAGTTATGCTCATTCACCTGGAATGTTCTGTTTTAGCTTTGACATTATGAAGAAGTGTTGGGAAGCAAGTCCAAAACTCCGGCCACATTTTGCAGAGATCGAGACTAAGCTCGAAGCCTACCTTGAAGAAAGATCGGTACGAGAATAGCTTTGTAAACATAACCTGTTCCAAAATCAATTCATCTATTTCATGTTAATTCATAATTACAAATTGCGTTTTCTCCATGTAGATAATTGCGATTTCTTCATGCAATCATCAAAAATGCTACGTTTAACCTAGGCCTAACAGCAACTAAATCTAACAATTTTTTTTAAAATTTAACAGTGAAGGTGGATATAGATATATTCTTAACTGCAAGTTAAACGTTTTCGCATGTGATACAAAATAAAGCACACACGACTCGCTAATATTCTAAACCTATTTGTCAAAACTATAAGGCACTGTTGCACTATGCAACTTTCCTTGCAACTCTAATTTTGAGGGATGTTAATTTGTAAAGAGTGTTGTTCGAAATGCTAAGAAAACGTTAGCAGATCTTAAGAAATGTTTGTATTTGACAATTTTACATGCCTCAGGAGTAGAATTGCATTGCAAATTGCATATGTAACACCGCTAGGCAGAGCAAGCTATTTTAAATGCTCTTTCAAACTATGCTAGAATAAGCAAGTCTAGCATATGCAGTGGTTTGACAAATTAATTTTTTTCCAGGATTATTTACCAGTGCTAATTGAAGATGACACGGCCGAGGACGCCGAAGAGGCTTACTATAACTATATTGTTGGCAATGAAGAAGAGGAGGACTCGACCTTATGAAAAATCAATACACTGAGATTTGTTGGAATTTATCGACCTCGGATCTTTTAATAGGGACAATATGACGGTAATATTTTCAATGTTTTATATATATGTTCTGATTTGGACCTTCTGAAGGGGTCTCTAATATTTATAATTGCATCGTACATGTTGCATGTGACTTCTGGTAAAATATGCTCTAAAATATAAATATACACACATATGACATAATATTTTTTAACACGAATGTGAACGTGAATGATACAAGTATGAACAAGAAATTATTTAACGGAAACATTTTGTATACGTGTGCACGTTCTGTAACGAACGTTTATCATATTTCTAATTACGTGTCCAATACAAATTTAACTAAACCGCGTTGTTGCCATTGTCATTGACTCGTAATTCGTTAAATACAAAAGAGATTTTACGATTCGAGGAAGGAAATGTTAAATTGAGAAGCCAATTCAACAGTGGAAATTCATAGTAACAAAGTAAATATATAAATTCGAACTTCTTGAAACTTTAGACACTTGCCTTCATAGGTTTTATCTCAAACTATTTTGGCCATCCAGGAATCCAGGTCGATTATTTCTTACAGATAGGACGTACATTGAATTCTAGGCGTTAAATCCCTCGCCATTTCAAACGATGGAAATAATTTCCTAAGGCTAGGCTAGACTTAAACTTTAATATGCATGAAATGACTCAAATGAGTCGATAGCATCTCTATATTTCGGAAACAAATAGTTATAAAACTGAAGTAAACTTCGCCCGTTTTTCTGCCTGCATTGAGCAGGCAATTTATGGATTCTTACAGCTTAAGTAATGCTTAAAAAAATCAACCTTCAAAACATTAAAACAATACAAAATCTTCGAGACCAAACGACAAATGATTGGTGTTGTATTCTTCGAATATTTATGCAGCGAATATTGGCATTTTGCAGCCGACCCAAAGTACAAATTTACACTTTCAAAAACCCTTTTGAAGTTAAAGCAATGTTGTGGTAGCTTTTCGTAATCGGTTATAGCTTTGCAAAGCGATATATCAAGCTCATATATAGATGATATAATTATAATACGAGTAATCTTTTGATGACAGCCAATGCGGAATAAACAACGACACCTACTGGCTACTTGTTTAAAATACTTGGAGTTGGAAGCCCATCGTTCCTCTTTCATCGCTCATCCGTATCTGTATCATCGTTGTTCGTCGATTTGATTGTTCATAAATGAATAACTGCTTATTTTGTTTTTAAAATTGTAAAATTTTAAATTTTACAAATTTCGAAATTTGTTTGCAAAATGACAGTTTACTGACGTTCGCAATGATTTAAATACAAACTTTCCGCCTCGGCCAATCAGGACGTTGCTGATTACCAGTCTTTTCTCGTTTGACAACTTCGGATTCCGCTCAATGATTACGCTATAAAAAGCCCATAAGGCATGAATGACCAGTCGACGATTTAAAAATGTACAGTAAATAAAAAAACAAATTCCGAATAAACAGGAGATCTTGAGAGTCGAGATCAAGCAAGACACAAGTTAAGACTGTAAATTTTCCATGTCACTAGAGTCTATAGCCGGGTGTAATTCTAAATCTCCGATGCTCACGGTCAAGGAATAAAAAAATTAAACATGCGACGAAGCTAATTTATAATTTTTAAATGAATGTATTTATATTTGTGCTTCTATTTACCGTTTCTATTAATTCTACACTGGCAGTCAAAAAGAACTGCTTAAGCCTCAAATGTTGTTATTATCGCATGTAACAGCTAGGAATCGTGACTATTAATCTTTTAATATTATGTATATGCATTCAAAAAGAACTACTTTAACTCAGTCTTTATAAGAAAGTCTAAAATTACGATGAAACTACTTTTCATCTCGTTACTTTACCGTGCGGATGTAGCTATGTTATATACGCAAATGTTTATCTATCTGGTGATAGTCAAATAAACGTGATACAAGGCGTCCTTTGATGGCGGCAAAACTTCCGAAAGGCAAAACTCTACCGCATCCGACAATTTCTCGACAAAGCCACCCCATTGATCAAGCGCCGCGTTAATGTCGTGATACAAGTCCAAACCAGGGTCTTTAGCAACGGCGTAGATCCCAGCCTCAGTAGCATCTTCTATGGCGCCTTTAATCTGTTCGTCCAGTTCAGTCTGGTTTAAAGCCCACTCCTTCACCAACTCCTGCGCCTTTCGTTGAGCTGGTTTCTTTAACGAAGCTTTCACTCCGGCACGAAACTGGTAGGTCATCACAGCTTTGAAGAATACCTGTTTCGTGAGCTGCTTTTCCGAATATGCCTTTCCAATGGTTTGATATAGTCTTGCTATATCACCGGACCTCATTAAAGGAAGCTTTTTGAACTTGCTTCCGGCTGCTGTCCTTATTAGCTTTCCTCCGAAACCTGCCCACGGACCAGAGATGAAATCAACGGCGTTAACGCAAAGATTCTCAGCGATAAACCCTAAAATAGGTTGTTCCTGGAAGAGGTTTGCACCTTTTACCGTAGCTGTGTAGTCCAACTGTATAAAATCGCTAAAGTCCTCATCCAGCGTCGATCTAATGCGTGCTATTTTCTCCTTCGGTATGGAAAGCGTTTCGGAGTAGTCGTCTTTGCCTTCGAATCCACCATCGGCTTCCTGCAGGTGAAAGTCCACGCCGTGGGTGAAGAACGTGTTCATGGACAGCGAGTGTCCGAAGGTGATTGTTTGACCTTGTTTGATTTCTCGGGGTTCGTTCGATGCGCGGCAGAGACCAGATGATAAGTGAACGCTGATTTCGTCCGCGGGTTTGCCGAATAAAGATTCCCAGCCGAGGAAAACGTTGTCTGTCGGAGCCGAGAGTAGTGTCACGTTGTCTACCCTGACGTTCACTGAATCACCGTTGCCCAAAACGCACTGGTCGATCCAAATACCGAGGATAGTGACGCCAACTATCACCAAAACAGCCACCCCGACCACCGCAACAGCGATTGCAGCTTTTTTTGATGTCATCCTATACATTAATTTTTACACAGATAACGAAAATCAGAGATGATAACTTTATGACATATGTTCCTACATAAGTTAAAGTATAATCTATATATATATATATATATAATATATATATATATATATATATATATATATATATATATATATATATATATATATATATATACTATACGTTAACGATACGATAATATTCCTAAATCAGGTATGCTAAATCAGTTCTCGTGACCTTTGTAATGTAGGTTCTTAGGTCCTTATAATGTTGTGTGCTTTTGTCTAGTTTAGGCAGTAGTTGTTATGCCACATTTGATGAAAAATAAACATGAATATACAAAATTTGCAAAACCTGCCATGCAGGATCTTATTTCCAACATTTAACAATCATTCTTTGCATGCAGTTTGCTACGATGGCTCGTGTCTGTATTGTAGATAAAAATGTACTTACCTATAACGACTTTGATTGAGAGAATTTGAAAACTTCACTCAGAATTGCTTGTATCGCGCCGTTGACCCGGCGAGCTCCAACTGAAAAGTAAATTGTGTTTCGTGTGTGCATGCAACTGTATATTTATAGCTAACACATTTCACACCATTTGCATAATCTGGCGGAGAATGCTTTTCATTACAAAACATCGCAACGCTATAAAAGCCCATAATTGTTTAAAACACGTCCCATTTTGTTTAATAAATTAACTTCCCTCTTGTTTAATAATAAAATGTTATAGAAACGTTTTGTTCTTCAAACACGCAAAGAACTTCTGCCGCGGAAGCTATAAATCGCTATAATGTTTCATTCTTTTGGAATTATCATAGACTTAGACTAATAGGGTATTAGTTGTTCATTTGAATGGATGTCTTTAAAATATTTTTACAAGAGTACCTTTGTTAAGCTATCGTAGTAAATTTTAGAGCCAAAACTAGAGCGATAATTGGAGAGGGGGATTTCTTTTGAACACGCGTATTCGTACAAAAGAAACCCGCCGTTCTCTCTTCCAAAAACATGCCGTCTTATAGCAAACTCTGTGCTGTGGTATTCGAAATATAACAATATCCAATGCCTGCGTTCTCCCTTCGTATGTTGTCGGTGCTCTGATAATTACATCATTAAAATTCAAAGCTTATTCATTATACAGAACAATTCTAAACAATTAACTTCCTTACATTGTTTTTAACACGCAATGTCATAAAAAAATTCCCAACGCAGAACGCTTCTATTGACTTGTCTAGAGTCTAGACTAACTCTTATCTTTCTCTATCTCTATATCTCTTCGTGGCTTTGACATTCTCTTTCCATCCACTTCGGTTTGCTGCTAAAGCTCTGACAGTCGTCCATGATTTCCACCCAGCTACTCGTCTTTCGTCTTCACTCTTAATATCTTTACTGAAGGTCATTTGGCGAAATAACGGAAATTAGAAATAAGTCTATGTCTTATGTATATTCAAAAGATTTTTTTCATGAAGATTCCCTTTTTTTCTGTCCTAATGAATTTGGTTTATATTAACAAGTCTGTCTCGTTTGCAGTCAGACCGGAGGCGTAGGTAGCTAAGTTGTTTTTTTAGTTATATTTCCTGTTTTCGACAAAATGGCGGTTGTTGCCAAGGCTGCAATGTTGAGTGTTGTTGAATACGTCATTGTGTGTAGTTTTGTGTTTTTGTCTCTAGCATATGGCATTCCAGCATGCATACGTGCGTTAGTGCAGGCTTTTAAACCTAATTAAGATTTAGATATTTCTGCCCTAGATTCCCTATAATAGCCTATAGGCTAGGTGATTAAATAATTAACTGCGAACGTTGTCTCACAACATAAAACTTCCTTCGGTATTTAAAAATAAAACCATGCATGAAACATCTTTGTTTTGTAACACGCAAAAACTTCCTAAACACTGCACAATCGAATGTCTAATTCAATCAATATCTAAATTGTTTTAATTTGCAAATAGTTTTTGCGAGCTTTAAGCGCCAGGAATACTTCATGGAATTGAATGGAATTCGGTATAGCATGTTTCGTTCAACGTTAATTGTTTTCCCCTGCGAATTGCAATTGTCTGCGTGCATGCAGTGTTAAAACATAATTACAAAATTGCATGTAGTGTGTAGATTATCATTTCGGTTTTGAACAGAATCCCACGCAGTATCTATCAGAACATCCCACGATTTAAGAAAAAAAGGTTAAATATAAGATCAACTTGTCAGAATTAAACTTGCTTCTACACAATGTGGAAAATTTTTGAAATTTTTCAACATTTACTATAAAGGTATGAAGCTAAATACGAATACAAACTATAAATATAATCTGTTTCTTAGAGAGGTTTTGTCAAAAACGGTTGATTCCCCCTCATATTTTATTCAGTATATTTCACACACACAGTCTTGACTTCTGTATAGAACTCCAGAGATTCAAAATTTCCCTCGCGTCCAATCCCCGACGCCTTAATGCCACCAAAAGGCACATTGAGATCACGCAATAGCCAACAATTGCACCAAACAGTGCCAACCTAAGGATGGAAGAATGGAAGTGTTTTAATCGCAGTTTCGGCAATGGAATCAAAGTGTATTTACCATTTACCATAACCATCGAAAGAATGGTATGTCATGTTGTGTTACCATTTGTTAGGGGCTCTTTATATGAGCCCGGTTACCCGAGATTCAACGAAGCATGAGATGATTTTGAGGTATTGAAATGAGCAGATAACATGATCCTGGCAGTCGTATAATCGCCACAACAGTAGCATGTGCTTGTTTGGTGTCATAAAGATTTATTTCAATACCTCAAAGTCCCCTCGCGCTTCGTTGAATCTCGAGTATTAAACCGGGCTCATGTAAATAGCCCCTTAGTATTGGCTGACAACGAGCATACCTCCATTCTTTGTGCAACTCTGTGAACTCTACCAACGTTTTCAGACCAAATGGAAGCACACAAACCATATTTCACGTTGTTCGCTCGACCTATCACCTACAAGCACAGATGCAGAAACGTCACAACTGGAAGTAAAACGTATGTGAGAAATGGTCGAAAACGGGAAGATCCAAATACGAAAAATGTTTCGTAAACTACCTCCTCTTCATCGTCGAATGGAGTGATGCACACAACAGGACCTGTATCGTGAACGAGGTTAAGTTTTTCAGATTATATATACGTTTTTCATGTCATAAGGTAGAACTTGTATACCACTATATCGCAAACCCACATACAACAACACACCGAACTGGTCATACATAACAAACAATACAGTATATAATCAATATACCATACCATACCATACAATACCATACCACTATACCAAAACATACTCACCAAATATTTCCTCTTGCATGCACGTGCTGTCATCCTTTAAACTCGTTATTACAGTTGGCAACATGAAGTAACCCTAACAGAATATGAAATACGTTTGAATATACAACACATTCCCTGGAGATTCACTATACAGTTTACACCGTGATCAGACCGAGCCTTCCTATAATTGCATAACATTAAACATTACACTCTTGTTTTCTTTAGGTAATTCAGGCATTGGATCCTTTCCTTCGCCACATTCAATAACCCCTCCTTCATCTCTTGCTATCTTCACGTAATTCTTTACCTGATTTCACATCAAGCATGAAAAGTTTATATCAAGTAAGTTACATTAAAGTTTTTCTCACTGTGGCCTGTGGCCAAACCGTTTAGGTTATCTCGAGCGTACCTTTGCTAAATGTTCCTTGCTGATGAGAGCACCAACTTTAGTATCTTTGTCACTTGGCCGTCCAACTTTTAAGTCCCTATAGTAGAAAGTTGGTAAACTATTGTGGTTTATCATAAATAATATTAACTCCACAAACGTTTTCAACACTTTTCAAGTGCTACTTAAGCCTCAGCTACACAGGCTATTTTTGACGGCGAATTTCTTCTTCTTGTGTATGTTATTGAGTAAAATCAAGCAAATGGATTACTTTACTTCGTCAAGCTTATGCAACTGTGTATATAATCTCTTCAATAACATACGCCAAAAAGAAAAAATAGCCCGTGTAGCCGCGGCATCAAAATGAAATACAGAACAAACAAATCACAGCATCTCCCATTGTCCATAAATCTTGTTTCATGTGCTTACTTGGTTGCGCTAACAAATCTTTTCAGGAAGGCCTTATAAATAGATCGTTGCACAAAAATTCTACTCGTGCTTAGACAAACCTCTCCTTGGTTAGTAAAACCGGACCTAAAACGTCAAGAAAATTACTTAACATTCGCATAACTGAATTAGATCTTACATGAGTAACTTTTGGAACTTATTTGCTGTTATTGTTAATACAAATTATCCAAATGCTAAACATTGCTACCTCAGACAGCCGGGTACGCATTTCTCAAGATCACTGTCTTCAAATATTATCGCAGCGTTTTTGCCACCAAGCTGTTATATAACAAGAAAAGAAAAAAAGAAGAAAGTTGAAGAGAAATTTTTGCAAAGAAAACATCGAATTGGAATTAAAATCCTGGATGAATGTTGGCAAGTTTTTCTCATTGACGCAAACTTTTCTTTTTAATTTTCAGGTGCGTGAAAAATGCCGAGGTTTAGTGTGAATTTCGCAAAGAAGGCAAATTGGAAAATTAAAACAGGCTTAGCAGACCTCCAGGGAGAGTTTTTTAAAGTATGGTGCACTATTCTCAATGATGTATCGTCCAGTGGCAGTTGAACCGGTGAATGAGATGATGGGAACGTCTGGATGTTTAACCAGAGCAGCTCCACACTTTGGACCCACACCAAACACAATGTTCACCACCCCAGGAGGTAGACCTTTGGAAATAAACATAAAAAAGCAAGTTCAATTAAAACATCAAAGTTCCTAGTAGCAATTCTAGGTTTGAGCTACATTAATATAGCTGGTTTGAATATGGTGGAACCCTCTGTGGATTCATTCATCCAATATGTACATTGTCAATAAGTTCCTTACTGAATCATCAAAATGAGTTTAAATCTAGAGCAAGATAGTTTATTGTCTATAGCAAACCTGCTTCATTTAAGACACTTGCAAACATCCATGCTGTGACAGATGTCATCTCACTTGGCTTGCACACAACTGTGTTTCCTGCAGCAATTGCAGGAGCTATTTTGAATGTGAGAAGATACATTGGAAGATTCCAAGGGGAGATGAGACCGGCCACGCCCACTGGCTCGTGTGTTGTGTAATTAACTGCACCCTGACCTTTCTTTACAGTCGATCTGAAACATTTGCAAACATTGCATGATCTTATAAACTGTCTTGAGAGTTTTCTGTACATTAGTTCACATACTTCATATTCACTATTCTTATGACAATGTTTTCTTAGCTGTTGTAGTGTTCGAGTGGATTATGAACCATACCTGTTGACCTGGTTTTGAATTGCAATAGCAAAAGATCTCATATTTAGTAGAACTCTTGGAATATCCACAATCGTTGACAACCACACAGGCTTCCCTTGGTCCTTCGACTCCATCTTAGCAAACTCATCCAGACGTGATTCAATGATATCTGCTATTTTCATCATGATCCTTGCTCTCTCTTGTATTGAAGTTTTGGACCAGCTAAAGTGGAATCAAAGCGTGTTTTACCTACAGTATGCTGGTACTACATCACTAGTATGCGGTTGAAATAATTTTAATTGATATCTGATTTCCCAAATACATACAAAATAGTCCCCCTGTAGCCTATTATCTCACAGGTACAACATTCCTGTAATGAGATCACCAATAATTAATATGTACAGCACATGGGTTGTGCTATGGTGCAGAAATTAACTTGTTAACACATCTTAAAATGATATATATAGCACATCTAAATATATGAATAGAGACATGGTTTTCCCACAATGGAGACAATGGATTAATTGCATAATAAACCTGTAATAGCATATTACATCGTCGAATTACCCAACCGTACGATATACAGTAACGGTGTACACCTTTGTACAGGGTAAACCCATCTCAACAATGAGTCTAAGTTCATTTCTGGATGCCTTGAGGTTTGCAGAGTTTCTAGACGATGTCTCTAGTGGAAATGACATCTTGATTGATAGCATTTCATAGAAAAGAAGGAAGGGCACAAAACCGTACAATGTACAACAAGCAGGCCGGAATGCAGGGCCAGTCAACCTTACCTAGGAAAGGCTTTTTTTGCAGCCTGAACTGCGAGATCGATTTCCTCATTTCCACTATCAGGTACCCGGGCATGTGGTTTGCCCGTCGAGGGATCGAAGCTGTCTATGTGCTGAGCACAAGCCACGAATTTTCCGTCGATAAAATTCTCTAAGGTCAATAGATCCGCCATGTTATGTGATTTAGCTTGGGTGGGTGTGAAGTAGGTGAGGACATGCATGAGTACGTATTTTTTAAATTTCATAGTTTCAAACAATCATGATGCATTCTTTGTTTAGATACAGCTTAAACTTAAAGAGAACTGCAAAATCGTAGATGTATAACTGACATAGTTCTTTCTCTGTGTTCTATTTACAAAGTTTGTTACATTCTAATTTGAATATTTTAAAACAATTATTCCAGCCGCGCGCGATTCTTCAGGAATCTGGGCACCGATAAAAATTTCGCGCCAGTGGCGGGAAAATTGATATTTTTGAAAACAAAATGGCGCCCAATCAAGGAGTGGAAATATAGAAATGTTTTTAAAATTTGGGCCAATTTCAAAAGAATAGTCAATACGCTCAGTTTCGTTGCTAGAGAATGGATTATAACGCCTCGCATGAGTGTTACAAGGTGTTGAGTATTACAATCTGATGTATAACTTCCTAATGTGTGTTTTATTTGCTTGGAAATTGGAGAATTTAGCAATTTAAATTGAGCCGATTTTCAAGTTTTAAATGAGTACGCGAAATTTTGAGGTAGGTTTGACGTTTGTTGAAAGTCTTTTAATAGTGCTTATGGTTTTATATTTAGTTTTCCTGGGGATTAGGTAAAATAAAAGCAAATTCATGTGTTGGTTATAATATCTGGTGTGACTGTGTTAATTTATATCATAACTGTACCTAATTTTGTACAAATATATTATAGGTTTTGTATACACATCAGAAATTAAAGAAAGCGAAAACTTGGCAGGTAACATGAATGGTTGGATAATTATATAGCTTAAGTTTCCTTGGAAGATTTCACTCATAATATTTAATGTAATTTCTGGCTTTATTTGTTTTTATAAGGATGGGTGTCTCAAGGTATCTTGCAGGGGTACAAAGGTATGCAGTGGGGTTACCCTGAAAATCTTAAATTAAGCATAAAGAGCACAATGTACTAGTTAGACTATCATGCATTAGAGCTAGACTAAAATTGGTGGCCATTTGTATATTATTGTTCTGTACGTGTGTTAATTGTTATCAACTTCAGGCTGTCCTTTATGATGATCAAGATTGTTCCTTAGAGGTGTTTCATATTCATCCAAATAAGGTAGATGCAGTATTTCAAATTTTGAAAAAAAATTTTGGCCGTCCAATGTTATCTCATCTGGTTTAATCCTCTCCCAACCACTCGATCATTCCCCTTTCTTTTTCAATGATGCAATTCCCAGTATTTTGTTATATTAAGATATTTCCTGGAAGCGATGTAGAATGTGAACGTTACCTGATCAGCATCGTAGATGAAAAGATTGCTGATGATAAAGGTTCAAACTGTGGCACGGCCAGCCAAGACATTTCCTCCAAAAGGCACTTGGCATACCTCCCTTCAGCAAGAACTGATCATTCAGGGTCAACATGGCGGAAAAGAAAAAGAGATTTCAGAGTAAGATTTATTATTTCGCACAGCTCTTGTTAGGCTGTATTTAATTTAAACATGTTATGACTAGCCATGCAGAGTTCTCATGACCATATTAACTCTGATAAACAATTAAAGATTAGCATGAATATGTTAAAGCCGTAAGAAAGTTCTCCCCCCTGTCAAGAGTCAAGACTTCCCCCCTGTCAAGAGTTTCATAGAAGTATGTTACCGTAACTAAAATTTCATAAAGCTTTCAAAACAATATGAATCAGCTAAATAACTAATGCGAGTTTCTTGTCAGAATTTCATTCAAACAAGTACAATGTATGACCTTTTCATATACAATTAAACCCCACACTTGTTTGACGTGAAATTTTAGATTATCAAGCTTATGTTTTATTTACAATATCCAGGAAACATTGAGACCTAATCTCCCATCTCCAGATCAAGATTATGAACTTCCTGAAAATTTAAAACCTCGTTCCCCGCTGTGCTTCAAAAGACCTTCAACCAATGATGATTATGGCCTGTCAAAACCATCCACAATTTCAAGACTTTTACCAGCAAAAAGCGACAACCTACATTTAACTTCCACTGTCCTAGATGAAAACGATGCAGCAAGAATGAGTCTATTAGTCAGAACTTCCCGAGGGGAAACCAGTTTTCATCAACAGAGAAATGAAACTAGTTGTTTTCCACAGAGAAATTTTCAGGAGACAATGTCAGTTTTTGCTCAAGATATAGATTTGGAAAACACTCCTGGGGATTTCGAAGTGCTCGCTGCCCAAGTCAATGTTGATGAAGAAGATCTCATTTTGCAGAAGAGCAATCAAGTAACGATGCAAAACCCTTTTCCAGCTCCTAAGAGGAACAAATCGGAACTTTTGTCGTTATTTGGTGGAGCAAAGAACATGGTGATAGCCCGTGGCGAGAAACCAGGCCTCAGGTCCATTGAAGGAGACGAATTTCCACCCGAAAGTTATTCAACAGTAACCAAATGTAAGAGCGCTTCTGATGAGAGTATATCTCCTTCGACCAAAAGTCTTTTTTACCAGTCATTTGACATGTCTCTTGGTGATGAAGACGATTTTTTTGACAACTCTTTTCAATCATTATATAATCCTAAGTCAGAGAGTTTCATCCCTGGTGCCACATCAAAGCCGACTTCTTTATTTCCGCAGTCTAATGCATCTACAGGCAATGATAGTATTTGTGTGAAAAATTATAATTTTGACCTCGATGATGGACAGGCTGTGTTTAGCAGAAATTTTGACAGGAATTCGTCTCCGAGAACTAGCGATTTGGAAAACAAGAATCGAGGTTTACGCAAACCTGAAACAATCAAATCTGGTTTATGCTCCACGGGGGGTTACACAAGTTCCCCCAGTTCCGCATTTGACGAATGGTGTGTTCAGAATAACAACGATATTATGGATCTTCAAAATCATGACTTGGGGAATGATACTGCGCTATCAGATGATTTTGACGATGCTGAGATTTCTCTTTTCGACGGGTTTTCTGAGGGGCCACAGAGCTCTTTGTTTCCTTCAAATAATATGAGATTTCGAAAACAATGTTTTGGTAGTGAAAAGTTTGATCGTTCAAACGTAAGTAAGCTGTAACTTAAATTAATACCCGTTCAATGAATCAGCTGAACTCTTTTTAAGAGTTAAAAAATTACCAGGGCCTCCTGTCTTGTGAATCTATTATTAGTCGTGAACGAATTCTGGCATAGTGTACCCGCTTACAGTAATATTATCAATATTGTAGGCTGATGATCATTCAGACCAAAGCTCACTCAGAGAAAACGCTTTTGAGAAGGAAATAAACAATATTTCGGTTCAAAATCATTCACTCTCGAGAGTCTCAAGAAAGTACAATCATTTTACGCCACCTTTAATTTCATTATCCTCTGGTGATAAGAAGCATGTGTCATCAATCTCTACCTATCAAACAGATTTGAAAGCGCCAAGTTTCGACCGTGCTGTTCCTGAACCAAATTCTCGTCAAGTAAGTGTTGATCCTGGATCAATAAGAGATGATCCTTACTGGACCTTTTGGAGGAACAGTTTAGAACTGATAGAGCTATCCTGCATGACCAGTATATTGATTCCTAGTGCATACATTCTTATTCTATCATATTTAGCAATCTTTCTCTGGTGAACTCCACTTTCCCTCGAACATCGAAAGCTCAGACAGTGTCACGCCAACCCGTCAGATCACCATAACAACCAAATTTTCTTCAGCCATGGATTATAAATGTGTTTTGAAATCTGCTTTAAGAGGTGGGTATGTTCTAAGCCGTTTCAAGTGTCAAACAGACATGCAGTCGGGTTTTAAATCGGGTTTTACTCCCCCCCTCGGTCCTCCAGCCCCTGCTGACTACATCGTCCTTGTTTTCTCTAGAACACCTGAACATCATATTGTTTGGACTGGCTCAGAAGTATCATGGAATTCTAGGAAAAGCTGATATCGCTTCATCTGATGACACCGTGTCAGGTTGGGAACGGCTCTTACAAATTACAAGCTTTATTAATTTTGACAAGTAGAGATGATTTGAAACTGAACGAGGTCGTGGTGGTAATTGATGCTGGATTTTCTTTTTTTCAGATGAAAAAGAGAATGTCAAAGGACCTTCCTGTTCACATGGTATGTTCAGTATGTCCGTGGGTATTAGTGATCATCATAGTGCCGATTTTCCTGTGAGATTGAGAAGTAGCTATATTTCTACTTCATGTGATGACCATTATAAGTTTTACTTGTGCGTAAGGAAGAGTATATATTAAAAGTTAACCTTAATTAGCATGGGAGAGGTCGTTATGAAGGGGTCGTTATGATTGATCAATTTCAGGTCCAGGGAAGCTTCGTGCAGTCAAGAAGGACGGCCCAAATAAGGTATGTTTTTCAAGTATCGTTGCTAATTTACGGTGAAATGCAATGAATTATGCGCTTTTGATTGAAAAGGTCCAAACTTCCCCCAGAACTCTTCCTTTGGGGTTAGTTTTGACCCTTTTGACTTTACAGTTCAGTGATCTGTATAATATGTGCACCAGAATAACTTTGTGTTTTACCATTTTACCAATTAGGGTCGCCATTTCTATACTTGTCCTGCCTCGGGTTCAAATCAATGCAAGGTAACTCATTCACCTCTCACCTGGCTGGGATAAGCAAGACTGAACTGAAATTGGGCGGAAAGCTCTTGGCTAGACTGAATTGCAACTTTGTTTCTCAACTTTCTCTCCAGTTTTTCCTATGGGCTGATGAGAATCACGCGACTTCCACTAATGGAAACAAGAAAATTTCACTCACCTCAAGCGACAGCATAAGGACATTCTTCAAAAGCAAGGTGATACACAATAAAGCTCGACAACTTTTTGAAAGCTTTATGAAAGAGTTTGAATACGGCTATATTCTGATGTTTTCTACTAATTATGTTGAAGAGCTTGTTTTACAAATTTTTTTTTCTATTTTCAGGGTATTTATTTCTATCATAATTGCATTCTGGAAAGAAGGTCAAAACCCACAAAATATTATGGAAAGGTATATTTATTTTCAAAAGTATAATCTTCAATAGATTTTTCATTTAAGTGCTGTAGTAAGTTCGCCACATTTATGCTTTTAAGAGTAACGTTTGTTGAGTTGTTGCTGGAATTTTATATACTATAAACTAATGTTGTTCACTGTACTGATGTGTAGATATCTATTCATTCGATCTTTGCAGAAATACTCGAGAAAAGCTGCCGTTGTTAATGAAAAGAAGGCGATGTACATCACGCTAAAATATAGGGACAGTTCGTCTTTATATACTAAAGGTGAGTCGTATGTGCGGCCGTTTGAATGATGATAGCTTGAGTTTTGAGGTGGACTCAAGATCAGTAATTTAATGTTTTTAACGTGTTAATTTATAGTAAAAATATCAATTCTGGAAGTAAAATTTCATTGAATTTCTATGCAGATGATCTTTGGATCATTTCCAAAAACGTCAATTTTGATCCGAAAGCGACGTTCGTCGCAAAGAGCTCGTTTTATGGGCCATCTTCAAACGGTGATCTGGAAATTGAGCCTGTCAGGTCTGTATATGATCTGGACTGTGATGTATTAGTAGAACGTTGAACATTTTATGTTTCATATATTAACGGTTATGAGTTGTGACTGACTATGTAATGATCAGAAAACATTAAGTTTCATGAAAGTTTCTGGGGACGTTTTCGTAAGGAAGACGGTTTATGACTCACAGATCTATCTTGGTATTTTGATAACTTAGACTACCTTGATTTTTCTAGTGGTTATTCCACATCAAACTGGCGTTCCGGAGGTAAGTTCAGGGATTGTCTGTAGTAAAAAGAAGATTTCCTACGATCATATCTTCCAAATCAAGCTTTTCCTGATAAATTTCATTCATTCAGATACAGTTCATGCAATCTGGGCTTGTAATGCTGGAACGGAGTTATCATGCATACAAAATCTTGATGAACATGTGTCATTACAGCAGATGCCTCTTCTCCCATATATACTAAATGGGTAAGTCTAACCCTAAACCAAAGTACTCAATCTTGAATATACTACCATTGTCTTGCTTTACCTTATCTAAGATGTCTTCTACAGATCTCATCCTTCCTTCAACTCCCGTCGATCTGGTCCAGGCTTTTTTTCTGCGCCACTTTCTGGCAGAGTCGACAGAAACTCTCTGGGGATTCCCTGGCCAGTCATTGTGAGTACAAGCTTTAAACAACTCCTAAAATCAATCAGAGATTATCACACAAAGTGCTGTTGTTTTTTCCTCCCGATAAGCATCTACAAGAGCATGCATTTCAAAGTTAATCCCAAACAGATGAGAAAGTGTAAACGCGTTTTGAGCAGTTCATATTCAGGAGAATTGCTTGAACAAGTTACAAGCAATGGAAACAGGCATTCCACTGCTAAAATTAACAAATATACTGTTCATTTTTTACAGGAACAAGAAGTTAATGAAATCATCGCTCTGTACAAGCTAAACCCAGTGAATTTTTTAAAACATTTTTAGCATGTTCTAATATAACTGCCAGCCACAACGCTGGCTGTTTCCTAATGTTTGTTTTAAACTCAAAAGTGTGCTTTAACCTGTTCATAGTGGTTGATTTGGGGCAATCCGATTTCTCATCTTTTGTAGGATCAATCAACAGCCATTCGTTCTTGTGCGAAAATGTTTGTTTCCGAAAACGATAATGGCGGCAAGGAATGTCTTCCCATTACCCTGATACACGGTTATTAGTTGTTTATTTGTTTTCCCCACTCGAGTTAAAGCTTGAATGTCTAACCATCTCATTTCGAAACGACTTTCCTTAATGTCCATTTTGGCACTTTTATCGAAATATCGTCTTCTTTAAAGGTGTATTTGGAGCGGGAAAAAGTTTTCTTCTGGCTGTCGTTGTGTTGCTGATGGTAAAATTATTCGAGATGGCTGACGCTTCTGGGTAGGAGAGCATCGGCTTGACTGATAAAACAACTCTGTTTTTTAAAAACATCAGTAACATTCCTAAACCATGTCGACACATTTTCTACAATCCCTTCACAAGTATTTATCTTGCTTGCAATGCTGTTATTCTGTAGATCAAGTGGTCCTATCACTTGGAAAATTCTTATCTCCTCGACAACAAACGTGGCGGTTGATCGAATCCTTCTTGGGTGAGATTTAAATGTCATTCACTGAGAATGTTGGGTCTGCGCAGGGGGGTGCTGCTCTGTAGGAATATCTTTCACATATTTTTGAACCGAGCTTCCCCCCCCGGTTATAAATATAGCAAAGGCCGAAACACAAATTGTTTCTTAAATTCCTCAACACACGCTTAAAATGCCAACTTTTTTAGGCTTTTAGATCTCGGCTTTGATCAGTTTGTTCGTGTTGGTAGCGTGAGAAAGATCGCAAAGCCTGTGTTGCCATTCAGTATTCACAGCGTTGGAACAGAATCCCAGGAATTGAAGGAACTTCAAGGAATGTTGAAAACGGAATTGACGAGCTTAGAAAAAGCGTGAGCACGAATATTTTGGAAACTTGTTGAAATACACACTTCTTAGTGAACTCTTTGTAAACTGCCAATGATATTATTCCAATTCCTTAGGTTCGTTCGTAAGAGCATTGAGATGCATAAATTGGGAGAGAATAGAAAGGTATTTTCTGCTCAGATTTTTTGCTTTTTTTGTCCACATTTTTCCCATCTATCAAATTTTTGACAGTGATTTTGCATTGTTTTTCCTATATAATCTTGTACCATGTAGCGATTGGCTAACGTTCGTGTGGTTGGAGTCACGTGTGCAGCGTGCACTTTTGCATCGCTCGAAAGGCTGAAATTCCCGGTAGGCTAACGTAAAGTCATCTTTTCAGAGACAAAGATTGTGTAGTTAAGCCAAACAAAACTCGTATCGTTAGTTTTTCGATTATCAACTACATGGCTTCTAGATTTTGGCCAGAGATCATGCACCTTCCTGGCCCTGACGATGTTATGTTACTTTTTGTCTTTTTCCACGGAGGTGAAAACACTTTGTCTTGTAGGTTTTACTTCTGGATGAGTGCAGTCAAATGACCGAGCCAACGTCTTTGCTTCCAATAGCCAGGTAACTTCAAAACCCTCAGAGGTGATATCATATTGCGTAATAATCCGAAGTCGTTACACTAATTTGTGGCCAGAAATATCATTAATCAACTTCTCTCTTCTGTAAGATTTGGATGTAGGAAGCTCGTTCTCGTTGGCGATCCAAAGGTAAAGTAGCAGTTTTAAAGCGCTGATTTTTAAATCGCCAATTCGGCTGGAATATTGAATTAGGTTTCTCTGTTTTTTAGCAACTGAATCCAACAATCCAAGGCTCAGAACCATCACACGAATCTGGTTTGGAACAAACTCTTTTTGATAGGCTTATTAAAATGGTTGGTATTCCTTGATATCGATAGACAATCGGTAATTTATCCATATTCCTGTTTTCTGATGAAAAATTTAAACTGAAAATCTTTTGCAGGACATGAAACCAATCCTTTTACGTACCCAGGTATAGTAATGATGGCTTATAGCTGATGTAGGTAATAATGGTGATGAGTTATGTAGTATTTTGGTAATGGCGTTTGTTAACCGTCGTATATTTTCATTAACATTCCAGTATCGTTGTCATCCGTTGATCAGCTCGATATCAAACAGGTGCGGTGTTTATAGTCTCTAACTGTACTTTATATCTTGATATGTTACCTTCTCAGGACACGTGTATGCATGAAAATGTTGTGGTGTGATTCGTTTATTGTTTTGTTTTTGTTTTCAGATTATTCTATAACGACCAGTTGTTAGACGGTGTCAATGCCGAGGAACGGAAGCCTCTGGTTGTAAGTAACATTGGATACAACAGTATAGAGATTTTGCGTGTTCCTCTGATTCCTCTGATAAAAATTCTCTGGCAGTTGGAAATTGAGAATTCCCCGTTGTAGAGAAACTGAGGAATTCTCCGTTTTGAGTAAATTTAGGAATTCTCATGCAGATGTAGGGAATTTGAGGAATTTTTATTTATGTCAGAAAAATTTTCTGAAATTGATTCAATATTTCTAGGATTTCATCCCTACGCTGTGTTTCTACGATGTTGCGAATGGCAAAGAGGAGTGTTCCCAGGATGGAAGTTACTTCAATACTTCTGAAGTAATAATATATGCAACGCTTGTCTCTTGTTTGTCTTGTTGATTTGATCATGATTCATGCACTTCTCAGATCTATCATCTATGTATATTTCTCGACATAAAAGCAAGCCGAAATATAAACAATACACTTCCGGTTAGAATCAAGATTATGAGCTAAGAGACGTTTGCCCGTGTATCCAGAAAGGGCTAGTTATCAAAAAGATTCAGCAGCTGTCTGAAATATACAGGAAAACTTCTCGTTGTTTCGACCTACGTCAGGGTTATTACTAAGAAGGCCGTCGAAACGACGAGAAGATAAATTTTCTTGTGTATTTTGGTTAATTTTTGGACCTCATTAATTTTGATGTTTCAAGTAGCCGCCATGCCGTCTTCTAGTGATCTGTGAAAGCTTCCATCTGATTGTTCTGCCAGTTTAGTACTTGTAGTAGCAACAAATGTTTCAGAATATGTAACTATGCATATCGTAGGTAGTGTATAAGCGAGATATCTTGCATCGTACAAGCAAGTCATCTGATTCTCTCTTACTGAATAATATGCAAAATACCTCTCGAAATCTTTGATTTAGGCAAAATTTGTTGTCACTTTAATCAAATCACTTCTGGAATCGGAAATTGAGCCGAAACAAATAGGTAATCATTACTCTCATTGAAAATCCGTGTACAACAATTAACGGCACCTTGAATCGACTTAATTAATTTGAAACTTTGCATAACTTCAGGGGTTATTTCGCAGTACAAATCACAACTGACTGCCATCAACAATTCGTTGTCTGCAGACGGGTAAGTTAAGCATCTGGATAGACAAAGCATTTTGAGCATCAATAATAGCAATGAGCCGATGAATTACGATGATATATAAAAACCAGGCATTCGTATGATGTATGTTATTTAATTTATAAGCGACGTCTTCCCAATGCCATCTTAAACGATCTTCTATAACAGCTGAAATTATATAAATTTTGAATTTTGTTTTTTTTTATTATACATATACAGAGCGACATCTCAAAAAGAGTTGGCTGGCATACAGGTAAAATATCAGCACTTGCAAAACACAATGTTATTGCTTGGTTTGAATTTGCAAAACCTTAACGTCCAAACTCCATGCACTGAGTTTAGATATCGACTGTGGACGCGTTTCAAGGTGGTGAAAAAGATGTCATAATTCTCTCGTGTGTTAGGACAAAACACATAGGATTCATCGACTGTGAAAGGTAATTCAAGTGCTCCCTTCCTTTTGCATTTCCTCAATTCATCCTTTTCTTATATTTTTGCCTCTCTAAATAGACGAACGAACGTCGCTTTGACCAGAGCAAAAAGGTAGTTGCTATAAAAATGAATTCTTCGTAATTTTCGTACGCCTATGTGATGATGAAACAAATTAAAACCACAGCATTTCATTTCTCAAGACATCTTTGTATCGTTGGCCGTGGAAAAATGTTATCCTCCAATGCTCTGTGGAAGAAGATTCTCACGATTTGTCGAGGTTTGGTATATATTGTTAGGTTTTGGTTAAAAACAAGAGAAGCTCAATAGTTAAACTTCTGTTTTTTTTCAAAACCATTTCCTCATAGATTCCCCTTTGGGTTTACAATCGTCTGAATCCTACGTCAAGGAATGGAAAGAAAGACGCCCCAAGACTGATGGTACATTTACCAAATCTCTTCAATTATACCCGTGTTCTTTTTGTACGATAGCTATATATGGTCTATGTGATTAGAATTTTATCCTTTAAATTAAAGGTTCTTCCTCAGGGCCAAAGAAGAGACGGAATTCTAGGAAAGGTGGTGGGCCAGGTGGGATTAGGACCACGCCCAAATTATCCAACAGAACTCTCACTGGACAGACAGTCGATACTTGCAAGTCTGTTACAGCATCTGGTCAAACTAAAACGAAGAGACCAGCATCGATTGAGTTGAATGAAATATTTGAAAGCAATTCGAATGTGGCCTGTGGTGAAAATGATTGTGATGATATCGACTGGGGCCCTACAATAACAATCTCCGATAATGATCCGGTACCGGAAGCCTTTGATGACAATGACGATATAATCAACACTAATGAAGATGAATTTCTGAACTCAGATAACGACGTTAAGGAAATTGAAATTCTCAGTGATTCACGGCTTGACGTCGCTGATGATAACATCGGCGAATGCTGTGAAGGAAAGAAAGATTTGGGAAGGGAAGAAACCGCAGGGAAACAGGTTCATGATTTGGGGAAGAATTGTTGTTCTGAATACGTGTTTGACGATGATTTCTTGCTTGACAGTGAACTGTGCAATATGGAGTACTAGGAATCATGGATACGATATCTAACGGTTTTTCTGAGCGATCGAGGGTCTCGAAAAGAAAGCAGAAAGCCACTGACGTTTTTTATTTTGTTTCAAAATAGAATTCGGCGTTTCTATTGTATTGATTAGCATCAATGTGATTAAGAATGAGCGAGATTCACAGTCTTGCTTGCTGTGATGATGATCCATCATTTCGTCACAGGGAACAGTTAATTCTCTTTGTCCTTTTGACAGTATCTTCATTTAGGTCGAATAGATTGAGAGAAATTCAGTGTATTCCAACAGGAATCGCGTTTATATTATGTTGTATAAAAAGATGTTATATTAGATTATGTCAATGTTTTATAAAATGAAAAATTAACCTGTTAATCCGAATAATTGAAAATTCAACTTCAGAAATATGTACTATGGCTTCTCCTATATTTTTCCTAATCGTAATTGATCTTTTATACAATCTGGAGCAAAAGAAGAATTGGTCCCTAATATCTCAGGATTCTGTGGGTTCGCCCACCGGGAATATTGACAGGATGTTGTAGCAACGGTGAGACCTAATCCGAACCTTGTTTATACTTTATAGTCCTATGACTTCTAAACTGTTTTTCTCTGAAGCCTTTAAAATTTGGCATTTTTACACACACAATGGCCTTTTCTAATGTCATCTTGCTTAGGTCGAAAATTAGTCAAAAAAATGATATATTATGTCCCCCTACGCATGTATATTGATCTTCAAAAAGAGCAAAACGTAAGAAACGCCTACTTAATTATTTTTTAAGCACTTGTATAAACGATATCCTAATAAGCGACCTGTATTTTTTAATTAAATTTGACTTATTGAAACGTTAGCGATGACAGTCATGGCAGCTGCTCCCAAGATCACAATCGAACACAATGGAACGCGCTAGAATTTGTGGAGGCTGGATCATTTCCTTATATTTAATTTGATTGATCGTCATTTTAGACGCTGCTAAAAACATCTGACCAAAGACTCGTGATTCTCATTCTACTTCGTGAATACACTGACTCAAGGGCTTGTTTATTCCACATTGATCCATACTTGTTTGTCCCAGTTGTTGCCGGCACATTGAGTTTACTCCTTAATCAACGGTAAGTGGCTTTAATTTTGTTACAGAGTAAAATTACAGAACGCTGTGTCTTGAACATTGCATATAAATATAATAATCTATATACATTTTATAGAACGTTCGTTGATTTAAACCCTTTTGTGAAATTAAGGGTATATAGAAAGACTCTTGGAGTGTTATCGGGGATTTTTCAACAGAAAATGTCTGTTACAAGTTGAAATAAACAGTTCTGTACTGAAAGTAGACTATAAGCGTTACTTATAACAATAATAGCGGTAATCTGTTTCAAACCAGACTCATATAGAAACAGGATATCTTTGTAAAATATATTCATGATTTAGTATAGCGTATATTCTAGCAAGTTCAAAACGGCGAACTTGCATGCACAGAGTTTATACTTTAAACTTTGGTTGATAGGAAAGGCACTTTGAAGTTAAAGGCAAAATATAACGGCTATATTACCTATATAGTTATTCACAAAAGAACTAAAACATACAGTCATATCCCTTTTAGTCAATTTGTTCTGAAAAATAAACCTGTATAACCTCGTATATTTATTGTAATTTTTGTTTCCATTTTCCTCAGAATATTCTCAGAAGGATGTTTATTTTCAAATGTGCTCACGTTATTTTTGGCATGTTTTTCCTGGGCGTATCGGTTGGGGAGAACTGTGAAGGCTGGCTTCGTTACGGTAGATATGAAATATCTCAACTTATAGATCTGTTAGCGATATATAAGTTTTCTCTCAAATCTCGCTGAATATATTTATTATTTTGAAGTTGATCCATTTCCAAGATTGAAATGAATTTGTCAATAACATATATCTCCATTAGATTAATTCATAACTGTCAAATATGTATCTTGAAATCATTGCCATTGGCGTTGCATATCTTTCGGAGTTGCCTGAGTAAATAAGTTTAGGATGAATAACTCATGAATTAGGCATCGCGTTGCCCCATGCATGTCATATTAAAACTTCAAAAGTTAGATTATGATAACCGACCTACCTTTTTCTAGGTTATTTCTCTCATTTCACAAGTACACCATTCTCACCGTGCCCAGGAGCAAATTCTACCATCGTCAATCTTCATCAAATATCTTCTTTGCCAAGCGCTTCAAATCCGGTATTTCGCAGCTCGTTCCAGTTTCCTAGGGCGCCAATTATGAAGATGGATTGTCTCAATGAAGACCCAGTCACGTGGATGAAGCTGAAAGTAAGTCTTACGACGAAATGAATGAATTTGGATTATTCCATTCGAATTACTAAACCAACTTCATTCGCAACAGTTTTTTATTCATGCTGGATAGCTCTATCAGTTCTAAACTGTTCTTCCTAGAGGTCCAGTAAGGATCATCTCTTATTGATCCAATGTTACTACATGAGGAAACATAAACTAAACTAACTTTATTCATACTGGATAGCTCTATCAGTTCTAAACTGTTCTTCCTAGAGGCCTAGTAAGGATCATCTCTTATTGATCCAGTGTTACTACAGGAGGAAACTTAAACTAAACTAACTTTTTTATACGTGACCGCTCTTTATAATCCTAAAGGTCTTTTCACACGATCCAATTTTGTTGGATTCAACTCACTTCTGATGGATGTTTCATAGTCTGTTGTCTTGTAATGTATACGAGCAACAAATCCACTGAAGCCAATGCACTATTGCTTCATCAATAACCGACTATATTCCATACGTCAGAAGTGAATTGGATCGTGTGAATAGACCTTATATATCAATCTAATAATTCCTCCCTGTATTGTAGGAACCTGTCTTACTAAAACATTGCCAATTTTTTGAACGAGCTTTGAAGTGGAATCTTGAGTACCTTTCGAAGGAGTTAACAGATGAATACGCTGTGTCTCTATCAGATTCCAGGAAATTTCTGTACTATGACAGTACGGTTGACTATTCGAATTACGAGAAATCAGGATGGAAGCCGCCGTACAGAATTCAATATAACAGCTTTGAGGAGTTCTTGGAAATGGCCTCTGAGCTTTCACAAGCGGACAATGGAACGCATGCGTATTTCCAGGTAGGTTTACTGGCGAAAGCAGGAGCGATGCAGAGCGATTCCTGTTGATCTCACCGATGTATGTCTTGATTTATGTCATATTCAAATCGATTTTATAGGCCACACGTAGTCTAAAAATATTGCATTACATCAACAGCAATTACAACAGGAAGAGATTGTCTTCAGAACTGAATATTATCGCATCAATAAGTACTATAATTTTATTGGCTTTAATAAAGAACAGCTTTATGCAGTAATAAACATTGTGCTATAGTTTATTTGGGTCTTTTTACATCTTGTTTATTCTTCTACAATGCTAGACTCTGCTCCTAAACGAGGAACAAAATACATCAGTTCAAAGCGATCTGAATAATTTCGACTATAGCTGGCTTCTTCACGTTGCATTTGAGCTGGGTTGGAGCACGAATGTTCTTAACATGTTGTTTGTTGGTATGCCCGACGTAGTAACACCGTTACATTACGATATCATGGAGAACGTCTTTATACAGGTATTTATTTGCTACCCAGGTATTTGCTACCCAGGTATTTACTACCCAGGTATTTACTACCCAGGTATTTGCTACCTTGTGGAAAAGGTTTTAAAGGGACCATTGATCTCCACGTCTCTCGACACCAGATTAGTTAGCTACATGCAGCAGTTGTGTATTTGATATATATTTATACCATTTCGCCTTTAAACTTGGTAATTTAACTAATTTTAATATGCTCTTTCTGGATATATACTTTTCTTCTCCATAACAATGAGCTTGTCTAACCATACAAATTATCAATTGTCGATGAAAACTGCTACGCCTGGAAATTCATCTTTTTCCCCTGTTTTTCAACTGAAACCAGTTTTCTAAGCAGCCATCTTTTTTCAGCTACAAGGCAGAAAACGGTTCATTCTGTTCAGTCCGGATCAATACACGAATCTTTACCCTCATCCGATTGGCCATCCCCACGATCGTCAATCCCAGGTGGATTTAGACACGCCAGATTACGAAAGATTTCCCAAGTTTCGCAATGTTCAATCCATCGAGGCAATCCTGGAACCTGGAGACGTGTTGTATGTTCCCACGAACTGGTGGCATCATGTCGAGTCGAATAAGAACGAGTATGTGTTAGCCACTGAGATGAATATAACTGGAACGCTGCCTTTCCGATGTAGATTCATTGTTTGAAAGGAAACTAAAAAAATCTCAAGTCACCTAGTTCTTATATACAGCCTTGCAGAAAGTTAAGAAAGCCAGGCAATTCTGATTTCTGACCGAGAATGAATTAGCATTCACACCAGTCTACGCTTTACCGAGAATCAATTGGCATTCATATTGTTTTGTGTTCATATTTATAGCTTCACTGTGTCTCTGAATTTCTGGTTCGAGGATCATCTATCAGAGAGGATCACCTCAAAGATTGCAGCCAGCGCTGCATCCGGTACCCAGTCAACACTGACACCAACAGAAAATATGGCTTTCAGAAGACACATCGAGACCATCGTTTATAACATGACGAGGAGCCCAGAGAAGGTAGACATATTGCAAGTAATTGTTTTCACTGAGTATAAGGAAGTTGGACAAGACAATTTTCGTTTGTCCCTCCATTGTTTTGACAGGTGAAAATTCACCCTAGACGTCTTTGTCCTACTTGAGCCGATCTCTTCCCTTCCATGCCAGCATGAACTCTATAATATTCCGATTGCCCTTTTAGGTGAAAGAAATACTCGAAGATATTTTACATGGCAGATTTGGGAGTTAACATTACCGTATCCTATGATATTATATTCTCTTTTCCTCTCCCATTCGTCCTCATTCTGTACCTAATAATCTCCGCAACATTCCTAATACCTCCCTTGCCACCACTATCCCCTCATACCACCTCTATGATAGCATCTTTCCCATACCTTACTCCTACACTATCCTTACAACCCCCTCCCCTCAAACCAATATGTGCAAAACTGCATCCATCGTAACTGTCTCCCGGAAAGCCTAATAACTTTTCACCGTCTCTAATTTACCATCACGGCTACAAAATGAAGTAGTTACCAAAATATGGTTAGGAATAACATTTGGGAAATTTGACCAAAGGGTGTTTAATAAAAAGTTGAAACCTTTTGGTATATTAAGGTTCATTTCACTTATCTATCCAAGCAACGTTTATGGTATTACCCCTCTGGGATTTTCATTGTACGCGTGTTTTCAAGGCAGCCAATCACAGCCGTTTCTTTACATCAGCCTAGCCAATCAGATCTCATGCGAATTTGACAGCAAAGCATGGCATGCATTGCATTTGTGCATGGCAAAAGTTCGAGGAAGAAGGCAAAGGAAATTGTAATACAATAATACAATTGTACATTTTATTAATAAAATGGCTTGTTTGAACATCGATTTACATGCTACTTATCGACATGGGGTGTGCAGTTTACGTTTGGTGAGTAATTTAATGCCTTTACCGTTTAAATTGCATTCGAGTAAACAAGTTGCTTGCCTCGTGTTAATAATTTGTGAAAGTTTATTCCGTTATATTCTCGCTTTTGTATTTATATTTGATCAATAATTTTTTGCTGTCTATTTGATGTTGCTTTGATGTGCCCGTTCTCAAATAATTATCGGTCCGATGCATAGTAGAAACGTATTTAAAGTAGGTTCTTTTCAGCTGTTAGCTACGTTTAGTACAGAGCTTTGACAATAGTGTAGTTCGTGCTGATGGATGTTGACGCGTCTGCTATGTGCAAGTATATTTGCCGACACTTCTGCAGTTTATAACACAAGACAAACTATTCTTTTCTTGCAAATGTATGTCTTGATGTATGGTTGACTCCAGTCATAGATTTCAGTATTAGTTATTACATGTATTGCCAAGGCATTTAATAGTAGGCATTAGTAGCCATTACGGTCCTGTTTGTAGACAGGACACACGCATGGAGGGAGGTTTTTTGTCATTTGAAACGTTCAATTTCACCTAAACGCTCGCCTCTCGTGTAAACAGAGCCTTGCTTAAGACATATTTAAAACAAACTACGCGAAGTCTCGCAAAAGTTGATTTACTAGTCGTATAAGATTGACAGCAAATATATGGCGTGTTTTTAAATCCACCTAAACAACAAGTACTTCGCAGTACATCATGTTACTTAAGGGATTACCAACTAGCAGTTTCTCACGGTAGGACACCGCAGTCGAAACACATTTGAATTCTCCCTCCCCGCTATTTGAAAACACTTCACGTATGTCATCGACTTTGAAAGGAACTCTGTCATTCTCCTGCTTGCTAAGTTTCACTTGCAGCACAGCACCTGGACACGGTTTGGTATAGTTCGAAGCGAACTCGGTTACTCCATAGTTGCTTAATCCAATCCAAAGATCTCCATTATCATCAAAATTGATATTATCTGGCGCCAGCCCCAAATGAACACGCTACAGAGAGAATGGAAATCAACTTCCTGTCACAAACTGCTTGTTTACATTTCAAACTTCTATACTTTTAAAAATACGACGCGCTCTCTTACGACGCACGTCTAAATATCTAAAATTTGTTAGGTTCGCTATGCTTTAAATAATTGGACACATGCGAAATTTGCACCAGAGTACCCTTATATTGTTAAAAGCTGAACAAGCCTCACAGACGCAATTTACTTTTTGAGGATGTTGTTCCTGGTCGCATGGATCCAGAGTCATGCGCAGCTCTTGTGTTTTCAACATATTTTCGTCCCATGAGTCCTCGATCCTCTGGCGAGGAAACGGAGCCTCTGGGATGATCCAAACTGGAAGCAACAAATCCTGGTTAATACGAACTGCGCATGTGTAATAAGCATTTGATACTTTTCGAAACAAGCTTGCGAACATTGAACGTGATATTTGTGATGTTTTGTTTTTAAAACGTTGTTAGTCATAATAAGTCATTGCCATTGGATGTTCCATACGGCGTCAACGACCAATCAGAATTATTTCGAGTATCCCAGATGTTTCGTTCCCTCGCAAGGGGATCGCGGGCTCAGGGAACCAGATAATGTTTTCAAGAGAGGACAAATAAAGGTAAACAAGCGATAAATGAGATTCTGGTATTGTGCCTACCTGCAGCTCTATCAAATCATTCTCGTCTGTACGTTTAAAAACAACAACCTCGGCTTCAAAGGAAAGCGCCACAAAAACGTATCTATAAAATATCAATAATCAAAAAATACTAGACATCATGGGTAGATAGTTGCTTTGGAGAGCAATTTTAAGGTAATCTTTCAAATTCTGCTGAAAGCCTGATTAGGAGATTGGCGGGAAATTTCCCGCCCCAAATAACAGAGTTCGATGATTTAAGCTCACCTTCCACTTGCATCTATATTGATTCCGTTCGGAAAAATAAAGCGATCTGCAACAAACGTGGCTCCTGTGCCGTCGTGGAAAACAACATTTCCCAACTTAAGCGGATATAGTGCTTCCACGTATCCCAACCAAACATTGCCCTCAAAGTAACGATCGTTTGTTGTATAAAAACTGTCTGGCCCTAGGCAACAGAGAGGGAAAACGGCTCGTTCGGTGAATGATCAGTGAATTTATATTACTGATTCATCTAGGTGACCCAGGATATGTGTGTCCAGTTTCGTATATTGCAGTCAGTGACGCTCGCTCGCAAGCTTGAGCTTACAACACCTACATACACTCAAGCATGCGTGTTGGCGCCACTGACTGCAATATATGAAACTGGAGAAACATACCCCTGGGCAACCTAGGATCATATCCACACATACCTACAGCCACGACGTCATTCGGAGAATATATCTTTTCATCAACAACGGTTTTCCTATGTTTCAGCACCATGTTCTCTTGGTCAAACTGGAAAACCTCAATACTATGTTTCCCCAAGGCATGGTTTACAACGAAGAGGCTGATTTCTTCAGTTTTTGGATCAACGTACAAGTCAATTCCGTGAGGAATGAGTGTCGAGTCGTCAAAGTTCTCGTAGGATAAAGGGGTTGGTTTCTCGTCAGGTTTGTTGAGATCAAAAGCATAGAGCATCCCTTTACTCTGCATCATTTTCGGGTCAAAATGATCAGGGTTTTTTAAGTCTTTATATCCCTGAAAAATTTGAACAGTGAACTACTTACTGGTGTTCCGTTATTTGTTGCTTTTGGGCGAATTTTTGATCCAATGGACACAATTGTCCTTCTTCAACCCTACGACTGCTTATTAGTGCAACATTCATGTTCTGGGTTATATGGTCTGTTTTTTATTCATAATCGAATTCCGATTATGCTTGATGCCTCCAATCAGAATGCACTACCCAAGTTTGGGTTGTGGGACATAAAATATTGCACTAATTGTCTGTTTTTTATTCATAATCGAATTCCGATTATGCTTGATGGCAGCCAATCAGAACGCACTACCCAAGTTTGGGTAGTGGGACATAAAATCTTGCACTAATTACGTCTGCGCGCAGATTACCCCATTTGCAGGATTTTTTAATTTCACCTATTGGGAAAAAGTTCTTGTCAGGGGTGAAGGGTGAAGAAGAAGAGGGGTGAATGATTAAAAATTTGTGAAAGGCTGCATGTGAACCAGCGTTGAGAGTTGACAAATTCACTAAAAAGTCCTGTTTATCATAGCAGCGAGGTTGATTTGACTAACACAACTCTCACTGGTCTATTGCGCTCGTGATTGGCTAATCTTATTGACTTCTCGCATTTGATTGGTTCATGTTCCGTGAAACGTAACGCGGGTAGTGGAAGTAAAATTGAAGTACGACAAACTTACTGATGAAATAACAGCGAGTCCATTTGGTAGCACATCAATATCTTCTGAACCATTAACTGCGAAATGAATAAACTTCAAGGCTCAATTCCGAGATGAAAATCGACCATTCTCTTATATGGAAAGCAAATTCTGCGTGTTGCAGCCATTCAACCCCCCCCTTTTTTTATTCAGATCAATTATCGAATTCTTCAAAAACTAAGAGAAAAAAAGGAGGGCGTTGCAAATAGCTACGACGCAACCAGCTCTGAACGTGCTTTAAACAGTTACCAAGCCAGGCTTAGCCAGCCAGCATATTTAAATTCAAATAAGATTAATTATTACCATGAATTATCTTGCACGGCCCAGGATTGTGGTTGAACACTGGTACACCAAATCCCATCATACGCCTGAAAATTAAAATAAATCTATAGGATTTTTTAAAGGCAATCGTTGGGATTATTGGCTTTATCAGCCGTTGCACATCGAGTGAAGTGGGGGAGGTGGGGGTATAGAGGTGGAGGGTGGAGAGGGGCGTAAGCAACTGTAATAGACCTTTCTTATAGTGAAGTCAAATGCGGACAGTATGATGCTACATGAAATTTGATTGGCTGTACAAAACTATCGAGCCAATCAAACTTCGTGTAACATCAGACTTTCCGCGTTTGACGTCATTATGAAAAAGGTGGCCCTGATTCCTCGGCGCTTTTTCTTGGCATAACGCGGGAAATTTCGCCTGTTTCTTTTGAATTGCGACCACTTGAACGAATTACTTATTACTCTATTGCTCACAATTCAAAAGAAGCTGGCGAAATATTTCACGTTTGGCTTGAAAATTTCGCCCGTGCAATGAAGGCTTTAGCTCCTGTTCACACGATTTAATTTTAGTCGGATCCATTTCACTTCTGAACGATGGAATGCAGTTTGTTATTGATACAACAGTACTGCATTGGCTTTAGTTAATTTACTGCCCCATATACATTACAAATCAACACACTATAAAACATCCTTCAGAAAGTGAGTCTGAAATGAGCCATAACGTACAGTATATTGTCAGCTTTGGCTGAAAAGCGAATGACAAAATTTGATTCGCAAGACATGATGAAAGCAAAGAGCTGTATAATTATCGCATGGTTGACTTTCCAGCAAGTCCCATTGATGATTGATGATGTGCCGTCTTTGGACTTTGTAACCATTATGACCGCGAGGCTTGCAGCATAAATTCTTCAAGTTATATTCTTCATATGTAAACAGTCGACGAAATTCGTTTTAGCATGGTTAATAGTGTCATAGTGATAAGAACTATGGAATTGTCCTGGCAAGGCGGCAAATCGCTGACTGTTGCTGACTGACATTGAAATTGCTACATATATTGTATGGATTGTATTAAACAATGTGTGTGTTGATATTTCCCCACCATTCAAACGGGAATGCATGGGTAGGTAATATTAGTAAGATTCATTGGCACGCTTCCAGCGTCCTTCAGATAAAAATTTCCATATCCAAGGATCAGAATGTGGACTAAAAATCGCCTATACACCACAACAACTCGTATGTCAACTTAGGGTGTCTCACAGACTTGACTTACAGTTTACTATTTAGGACAATAACACGCACCAACAACCAAGCGAAGAATCCAATCAGCAAAGCTTGTTTTATATACCCCATATTCCACGTTCTTTAAAATTAACACGATCAGCAAAGCCAGAATATACAGTACCACAGAGTCCACCTTTGAACTTAGAAGGCTAGGAGGTATATTATTATTATTATTGTAAAAACCGGTTGTCATCAATGTCCGTAATTAAATACTCATTTATAAGCCATAAAAGACTTAATATTCCAACCAATCAGCGTCTTTGCTGGAGTTTCGGCGTCTATAAAAACTGCTAATGAGGGCCCATTGCGGATTGGAAAAAATATTTTGAGCTTTAGTGAATATGTTTAGAAGCTATAGTGAAATATATTATATAGTAATCTTGGAAAAACGTGGTCTTGTCCTGGTGGAAATTTTTGAGAGGGTTTAAATCTTGGATCAGTAACAAATGTGAGGTATCTGGGCACTTTGGGCAAGAGCAACAACGCATTTTTCCCGGAGTTACGAATATCTTGTCGAGACATTTTTTTCTTGCGCAAACATTCCCCGCTTCTTCCACGCCTTCATTGTTTTTCATGCAATGACGTGTCGGTTCGTGTAGGTAGTCTACAAGTAAGGGTAGAGCACTCATGCAGCATCAAAGTAGCCAGTCCTCGGCTCTAAGTTTACTGATTAGAATAATATATTTTGTAATAAAAGCATTCCCATCGTACGTTGCGATATTATGACGGAAGGGAATTCCCCACACCATTCTGATATATTTCAATGCGCTATACGGCTTATACGTATGGTTTGGAGCTCTTTGCTTTGGATAATTCCTTATTTGCTTGTACAGATTGTGTAAAAAATCGTATTGATCGTGCGGGTAAGTGCACACTCCGATATATGCATTTTAACTCCAGTAAATTCGGGCAAGCAATGCAAATTTTGACCTATTGTCTCACGACTCATTGATCCCCTTGATTGTTATGAAATTTCTTTGCCCAGTGTTTATCATAAAATCGTTTTATAATCGTTTTTAAAATCGATTCTGTTTGCATATGCATTTAGTGATAAGAGCTTTAAAGCTTTTCTTTACATTCGTAAGTGATGTTTTGTCTTAAGACGTCTTCAGACTAAGTGGAATTGAATGTGGAATAAAAACAATTTCCAATAACATATATTTCATTGGATATCAAGCATCTGAAGACAGAAATTTAATGTCTCTTTCAAGAAGCATGGCAAAAGCCAAAACTACTGAATACTAGCAACTGCGCTAGTAGTTTGCACAGGATTGAAGATTTAATATAACTATATAAGCGCGAATTCCAAAGGCAAAGTGTAAGACAAAGCGAATGTATCATACCGTTTATTTACATTCTTGAACGATTTAACTTCTATACTTTTTAAAGTACGATGTGCTTCTGAATTTCGCGATCGAACATTTAGGTTCGCAAGGCATCTAAATGCGAATATGAACTGTATTGTTTATGTTCAGAAGCTCTATATTGAAGACTGGCACGTGCGCCGGAGTTAACGCCAGAACAGGCGTCTTGTTTCTCTTAATAAAATATGCTCAAATTTTTGGCAAGGTGTTTAGCAAGATTTGTTTTCAATAAGATAAATTAGTAGAGTAATTGGAAAAATAGGAACGTATTGGGTTAAAACAAATGTGAAATTAAAAGGTTGGATAAGATAAAGAAATATGTAGAAGTCTTTATTCATGAAAATCTGGTTTGTATAGCTAGGTCAATAATAGGTGGCTCCTAGCTTGCCAATCAGTATTCAAAGTTACAAATATAGGGGGAGGGGGCAAAAGGAGCAAATTCCCCTGGGGGCTGGGTCCCCCTAAAATACTGCAGGATTATAATTGAAATATTGTTGAAGATATAAGTACATAGACCTAGTTCTAAAAAATATATAAGTTTTGGCCTTTGGGGTTTTATACTTGAAATTAATGCATTATATAGTTAATATTGTGTATAGTTAAAATCAAAGCAAAGGGTATAGTATCTGCTTCACCCTAAATATCACTGAATTTATTAAGAATTGGTGGTGACCTCAAACCTTTCCTAAAGAAGCTTTATCACCCAAAAGGAATTTGCGAATGCTATATACCTAGGTTTCAGGCCCTATTTTATCATCACAGTGGTACAAAATTGCATTAACCATAAAATTTAACTGATAGCATTTCAAAATAAACTCTAAAGAAACACAAACAAGCAATGATATTAGAAGATACAATAATATTTTTCTACATTTGTACAATTGTACTGAATATTGAAGGCTGCAGTGAGTAGTTCGAAGACGAAGATTCCAAATGTTCTATGTTGGACTTTAGTTTACACCACTGTTGACTAATTTCATGTAGCTATTCTATTTATTGTTAGTATAAATGCATGCCTAAAATGTGCTTTAACAGTTATCCTCAAGCAATATTAGGTATAGTTTTCAAGAATGCACAACATTTATCTCATACTGTCTCTTGTTTTTTCAACTAGCAGCTCTACAACAACTTATATCCTATGAAAATCTAGCGTGAAGATTTTTACGCGTTATTTCACTGCTTTTAACCGTATTAATATCTTGCTCCCATACTGTACATATAATTGGAACTGAATCAAAATAAGTGATGAAGATTGTTTTTGTTACTTAATAGATTTTCCTCTGTTTTTCAAAGTCAAAGAGCGTTGCCAGCAGGAGCTCACAAACATGATATGAATGGAAATATTTGTAAACTAATCCAGTCCTGAATTCAAAGTTCGCAGCAACGTAATTATAAAACGTTTGACTGACGATGTAGCGACAACAATGCCACTGGAATGGATCACGTCATTCATTCATATCCTCTAAACGGCAGAGTCAGAGAGAAGATAAAAAAGGACGTTGCTATTGCAGTCTGTGCTTTGTCAAATAGCAATGGCGGAACAGTGGAAATACGTGTTGAAGAAACGGAAGGTAACTTGGTTTCCACCACGACACTCGCCTCCTTGACTCGAACGCTAGAACAGTCATTAATATCCCGGTTTGGAGCTCATATAACCAACTCAGTTGACTTTGATGAGGTCAAACATGAAAAAAATATTTTAATCACAGTCACTAAAGGCCCATTACTCGTCGCATTTAAATGCAATCTTTATCGTCCCACTCGAAAACAAGTTGAGCTCATTCGCAATATCCCGGATTCGCTGGAATTAATAAACACAAGATGTGTTGAACCAGTCGAACTTGGCTCGCACCAGAAGACATTCCTTAAAGGTCAAGACTGTGGTTTCGTAGAAAATGAGGTTATTCAATTCAAGCTCCTGAAATCAGATTCATCAAAGCGCGTCACACTCGCAGATCGTATGATTGGTAAAAGTAACAAATTCAGTTGTTACGTATCAGCGTTCGCTAACCACAGAGGTGGTCACATTTACTATGGTATTAATGACGATGGCATTATCCATGGAGAGAAAACAGAAAAAAATTCTGAAATTCTGAAGAAAGTTGAAAAAGCCATCCAGAAGATGATCTGGCCTGACGTGATTGGTCAACCAAAACGAGGAGAGCACTGGGAAATTTTCTTTCAACCAGTGCTGGGCGAGAAGTCCAACCTTATCCCATCAACGTTTGTGATCGTGATCTTTATCGCTCGTTGTTGTGGTGGAGTGTTCACAGAGGAACCAGAAAGCTATGAAATGGTGGAGGGAAAAGTTAAAAGAATGTCGTTCACAACAATGAATGAGGAACTACAACAATCTATTGGTCTATACAAGAGAAAGCCAGTAATTCCTTCCGCAATTAAACGTATTTCATTAAGCCCAGCAGCAGAAAAACGTTGCATTGAGGTTAATGAAGTTTTAACCGAGGACATAAATAACGTGAAATGGAAATCTTTTGCACAATCGGCCAAGCGTTTTGAACATCAAAAATATCCGGGGAAACTTGAAGTAAAGTTAATGGTATTTTTGAGGAAGTTGATGGCAACATATCGACAAGGCAACGAAGCGTCTAACTTGTTTACTGAATACCGAGGATGTTTCTCGCGAGCAGGGGAACCTTTTGAAAGTTTTTTTCGATTCTCGGAAAAAGTAGTGGCGCGCGTGTCTGGCAAAGCTGCGAGTGAATCTCGGGATATCTCAACTGACGCTTTAGCCATCGCGGAAATGATGGAGCACGGGCTTCTTACTGCTGCTGCTCTTTTGATTGCGGCTTTGGTGTATGATAGTCGAAACGACAAAGGACCTTCGCCGGTGGAACTCTGTCTCATGGCAATGGAACACCTGAAGTATGTTGAAGAAGCTACAGTGGCACGACCAGACATGATTCATACTGCACATATCTTGTTAGCAGCATATTATCTGGGATATAATATGTCAGGAAAGATGATCAAAGAACACATCGATAAAGAGAGCCTTCAAAAAGCCAAAACAAGTATCATGACAGTAAATGAATCAGATTGTGATGGAAATCGACTTATGCCATACAGGGAAATTTGGTTAACATTGGCACAAGCAATACTTTACAAAAGGCGTGCACAACTCCAACCTGAAAAGCAAACGAAATTCCTCAGCGATGCGTTTAAGTTGGCAAAGAAAGCTGAGAATCTCGCTAAAGATTCTGGTCTGAAGGAAATGGTTTGCTGGGCTCAGACTGCAATTGCTTCTTGTACTGAGGCATTATTACGTACAAATTTTCTGAAAACATAATCACCGACGATAGAGTTACTCTACTACTGAAAGAGTTAAAACAAAGTATAATGGCCCTAAAGTATATATCATAGGCGCCTCAAATTTTATACAATCAATTTTATTCATATAATAATCGTTTCATTGCTGGCCAAAGCTGGTAGATGTTTGGCCCGTTTCAGACGTCGAACTTTTCATGTGCCGAATCAAATGCAAATGAACTTAAACAAACACTTTAGCTCATTTAGCTCATTAACATAAGCTAGGTTCAGCCTGGGCTCAGCACATAAAAAGTTCGACGGCCGAAACGGGCCTTACTGTATTTGTAGATCCAATCTAGCACAACGTTCTTGTAGTTCTAAGGTTGCATGGCAACTCTCAACAATATGTGATTTAAATATAAGTATGCAATAATGAAAACTTTATTAATCAATTTTTAGGTTATATGCATGCAATTGTAAATCTTAAGATACTGAATACCGGCTACTTCAATCAATGAATGACTATATATACTTATGATAATACACACAATATCCAACAGTAAGTATACACTGTAAAAACAGATGGGTAAAAATACCCATGCCTTTTTACAGGTCGTAAACAATTTGAATTGGTTATTTTAAACATTTAAAGAATTGCTTGGTCAGATGTGGCCAATAAATGAGAATGTAAATGAGAATATTGTGAGATTTTTTATATATCAGTAAATTTAATAGATTATTTCATTTTAAGTTATTATTTTTATTTCGGCGTTTTGCATGTTTCATTTCGATGCTGACGTATGCATTGGTTTGGATATTTAAATTTGGTATATAGTATTAACTCGTATTTTTAAATGGTTGAAATCTGAAAGGTCACTTTCATCCATTATTTTGGGTTAAAATTGCCAATTTAAATGGGTTGTCTCAGATGCATCCAAACAAACCCTTTTTGTTTTTTTGACCCAAAAAGTATGGTTTAAAACAACTATTGCTAATGGGTCATCAATGGGTCATTTTGACCCATTTTATTATTTGATTAAAACGAGCCATTTTTAAGCGGGTTGTGTCAGACGTATTTAAACGACCCGTTTTTTGGGTCATTTTGACCCAGCTTTTACAGTGTATAAAATTTAGGTGAAAACTACAGAAGTTCAGGATTGGGCGGCTCTTTATTCCGGTACCAAAATATGCAGTATGTTGTTCAAATTGCGATCGTCATCATTCATTTGATCGGGCCAAAATTCATGGTGGTTTTTTCAAGGCCAAGTTCTTTAAGCATTTCTACGGATGTAAAACATTCTTAATAATGGAAAGTTGGAAACTTAATTGAATAGTATCGGAGTACACCGACAGGAGCAACCGCACATTTCTAGAACAAAAATCGATTAGTGTGAAACGTCTTTTTTCCCTGGTCTGGGGATATTTTGTCGGGACATTTTTTCTTGCGCGAAACATCCCCGCCCCTTTCCCGCCTTCCAGCGCGTTTTTCGTGTGATGACGTGTCTGTAGTCTACACTACAAACGATCCCCCAGCGTCATTTTTCAGCAAACTAAAGTAGCCAGTCCTCCAATTCTGGATTAACTGATTAGCAAAATGCATCTTTAGCTGTTGAACAGCGATAAAAAGTCCACACGATTCCAGTCGTACGTGATATTGTTACAATATTGGATTAAACCAGAATGACGTCGTTTTCTCGATTGGGGGATCGCAGGGAATTCCCCTTAGCTTGTCTAATTTTAATAAATATTGTTTCCTAATATATGATTGTTTACAAGTTCTTGCGCTATATTGCGTTGAAATAATTCCTTAGATGTTATCAGGTTGCGTCGAAAGCAGTATATTTATCGTGTGGGTAAGTACACGCACCGATCATATATGCATTTTAACTTTAATTCAGTAAAAAAGGGCAATATTCGAATGTCGTAATGTGAGTCATGCATAATTTAGTCTGGGCATCACGGGTTCGATTGTTTCGAAATTCTAGCAAATCCTTGCATTTTTTACCATAAAACTTGATTCTATTTGCACATATTTAGTGATAAGAGCTTTAAAGCTTTTTCTTTGCATTCGTAAGTGATTGTTTTGTCTTAAATAAGATATCTTCAGACTAAGGGGATTTGACGAAAGCTATTAAACAACAACATGTATCTTATTGTCATTAAGTACCGCCCTAATTGTTAAATGGACATTTGAATATGGGATGTTAAAATCTAAATTTTCAAAACTCAATAGTGCTTGTGTCTAGCAACTGCAATATAGCAGAAGAGATGCTCAAAGTTGTTGCAGTGTCACAGCTGTGATTCATGAGTTGGTATTCCCAATAATATAGTCAGTTTTTCCTTATATACAGGAGATATATAAAAGGATATGTATAAAAGCAAATATATATATAATTATATATATATATATATATATATATATATATATATATTTAGGGTAAAGCAGATGCCACTTTATTTTTTCCAAATATTAAACATATACTGCATTACTTCAACTTATAACCCCCAGACTTATCATCATTTTTTTGGAACTATGTCTGTGTATCTTCAAACAATAGTTCAATTCTATTCCTGCAAACTTGGATTTTATGGCTAACTTGAAAAATAGGAATGTATGGGGTTAGGTAAAACAAATGTGAAAGGAAAAGGTGGGATAAAGGCTTTTATAGATCAATAATAGTGCCTCCTTGCCAATCAGCATTCAGAGCTTACAAACTTGGGGGAGCAAAAAGAGCAAATTGCCCTGGGCCCCTGGTTTGAAGGGACCTCCAAGTTAGCAGGAAAATAATTGAACTATTGTTTGAAGATACACAGACATAGTTAAAAATAGTGATAAGTCTGGGGTTTATAAGTTGAAGTAATGCAGTATAGGTTTAATATTTGGAAATAATAAAGAAGTGGCATCTGCTTTACCCTAAATTTCAAAATTTACTTGGGTAAGTGTCACCCAAACCCTTCCTAAAGAAACTGACCTTGCATTCTAACTTGCATTTCAATGGTACAAAATTACAGGAACGAAGTGAACTTATAATATGTACTAATCTATTACTGACAAGTTCTTTTCATTGTTTTCTATTATTTTACAATTTGAATATTGTAACCGTTTCTTAAAAAATTGTGTATAGAACCACTATTAATAGAATATACATGGTTTGGAAACTAAATAAATATACAATACTATAAAAGTAAGAGTTACACCTCATTAACTATGTTATTGTCCAGGTTTATGCAAAAAAATGGTTCCTTTCTCGTCACGTGTATATTGTATTTTAGCCAAACGTACCAATGGCATTCGTCTTGCTAAGCTCCTCAACCTTGACTTGAAAAATATGTTAATTATAAGATTGCTGTTGGTTTATCTGTGCAAAATACAATAGACATGTGATGAGGAAGGAACAATTTTTTTTTTAATAAATCTACCTCAACATAGTTAATGAGTTGTATTGTAGTTTTATGTGGTCTCCAAACCATGTATATTCTATTAACTGTGATAGAACCCATCCTTGTAAATAAGTTTAATTGCTCTGACGATGTTGTGAGCAATTTAACTAAACGTTAGCTAATAAATTTTACATTTTGTTATGTCTTGTTTGAAACCAGGGTTGGTAGATTTTATGAATAAATAAGCCAAATATATTAACATAACATTTGTTTTCTTTGTTTAAAACAAAGGAATCAAAGGGCCGCCAATAACAATGTTTGGCTTATTTATTCAGTAACTTACCAACCCTGTTTGAAACTCATTTGCTTTAATTTTTATTTTGAATTTAAGCTTTCCGCCTGGTTTTTCAATCGCCACGGTTTTAAAATTAACAAATCTCTGTAAAAAATAGTTCGCTTTGGGCAGCGATTTCCTGTTTCTAGCGTATGTTATTGTGTTAATCATGTGCATAGTCAGTTGTACAACCTTGACGAATGAAAGTAATCTATATTCGGTTGAATATATTTTAAGGCCCGTTTATACTTGCAATTTTTCCTGTGATTTTATGTGCGATTATCCTCTTTCGATAGATATGAACGAGTGAATTAGTGACGAATGCTGTGATGTATGCAAGCTCCTATTTGAACATCCGTAACCAATAGACCTTTCCCCTTTTAGCTTTTAAGCGCGCAATGCGTGACGATAGTTGATTATCAAGTAACTTTGATTTGCGATATCGCTCTGCTTAGAAACGATTTTGTTTGTAAGAAAACCTTGGCGATTCTTTTTGTGTCTTTTTTAAACTAAATCGCTCCTGAACATGGCTACATCATATGAAAATATAGCGTGAAAATAGAAATATTTTCATATTTAACCCTACTCTGTCATACAAGAATTCTATCGGTGACGGAGTTTGTTTTTGTTGTTTAGATTTTCCTCGGTTTTCCAAAGTCAAAGAGCATTGCCGGCAGAGGGTATAACGAGCGTAATATGAACGGAGATATTTGCACATAAACTAATCCAGACCTGAATTCAGCTTGTGTGATTTCAGACCTGAATTCAGTTTGCAGCTTGTGCAATGAATTTATAAAGCGTTTCATTGGCGATGTAGCGACAACAATGCAACCGGAATGGATACCGTCTTTCTTTCATTCTTTGTAAAAAAAAAATCGAATAAAAAAGACAAAGATCTAGAGAGGATAAAAATAGACGTTGCTATTGCAGTCTGTGCTTTGTCAAATAGCAATGGCGGAACAGTGCGACTTCGTGTTGAGGAAACGGAAGGTAACTTGGTTTCCACCACGACACTCGACTCCTTGACTCGAACGCTAGAGCAGTCATTAATGTCCCGGTTCGGAGCTCATATAACCAACTCAGTTGACTTTGATGAGGTCAAACATGAAAAAATTATATTAATTAGAGTCGTTAAAGGCCTATTACTCGTCGCATTTAAATGCAATCTTTACCGTCCCACTTGAAAACAGGTTGAGGTCATTGGCAATATCCCAGACGCCTTAAAAATAATAAACAAACGTTGTGTTGACCAACCCGTCGAACTTGGCTCACACCAGAAGACATTTCATAAAGGTCAAGACTGTGGTTTCGGAGAAAATGAGGTCATTCAATTCAAGCTCCTGAAATCAGATTCATCAAAGCATGTCACACTCGCAGATCGTATGACTGGTAAAAGTAACAAATTCATCTGTTACGTATCAGCGTTCGCTAACCACAGGGGTGGTCACATTTACTATGGCATTGATGATGATGGCATTATCCATGGAGAGAAAACAGAAAAAAACTCTGAAATTTTGAAGAAAGTCGAAAAAGCCATCCAGAAGATGATCTGGCCTGACGTGATTAGTCAACCAAAACGAGGAGAACACTGGGAAATTTTCTTTCAACCAGTGCTGGACGAGAAGTCCAACCTTATCCCATCAACTTTTGTGATCGTGATCTTTATCGCTCCTTGTTTTGAGGGAGTGTTCACAGAGGAACCAGAAAGTTATGAAATGGTGAAGGGAAACGTTAAAAGAATGTCGTTCACAACTTGGAAGGAGAAACTACAGCCTGTTGGTCTGAACAAGAGAAAACAAGAAATTCCTTCCACGACCGAATGTGTTTCATTAAGTCCTGCGTCCAAAAGAGATTACCTTGAACCTCAAGAAGTTTCTTCCGCAATCAAACGTATTTCACTAGGTCCAACGGCAAAGAAACGTTGCATTAAGGTTAATGAAGCTTTAACCAATGCCATAAATAACGCAAATTGGGAAGATTTTGGAATATTGGTCAGGCATTTTGAACAAAGATATTCTGGCAAACTTGAAGTGAAGTTGATGGTATTTTTGAGGAAGTTGATGGCAACTTATCGACAAGGCAACGAAGCGTCTAACTTGTTTAGTGAATACCGAGGATGTTTCTCGCGAGCAGGGGAACCTTTTGAAAGTTTTTTTCGATTCTGGGAAAAGGTAGTGGCGCGCGTGTCTGGCAAAGCTACGAGTGAATCTCGGGATATCTCAACTGACGCTTTAGCCATCGCGGAAATGATGGAGCACGGCCTTCTTACTGCTGCTGCTCTTTTGATTGCGGCTTTAGTGTATGATAGTCGAAACGACAAAGGACCTTCGCCGATGGAACTCTGTCTCATGGCAATTGAACACCTGGAGTATGTTGAAGAAGCTACAGTGGCACGACCAGACATGATTCATGCTGCACATATCATATTAGCTACATATCATCTGGGATATAATATGTCAGGAAAGATGATCAAAGAAGACATCGATGAAGAGAGCCTTCAAAAAGCCAAAACAAGTATCATGACAGTAAATAAATCAGATTGTGATGGGAATCGACTTATGCCATACGGGGAAATTTGGTTAACATTGGCACAAGCAATACTTTACAAAAGACATGCACAACTCCGACCTGAAAAGCAAACGAAATTCCTCACCGATGCGTTTCAGTTGGCAAAGAAAGCTGAGAATCTCGCCAAAGATTCTGGTCTCGTGGAAATGGTTTGTTGGGCTCAGACTGCAATTGCTTCTTGTACTGAGTCATTATTACGTACAAATTCAGTGCTGAAAACATAATCACCGACGATAGAGTTACTCTTCTATTGAAAGAGTTAAAACAAAGTATAATGGCCCTAAAGTATATATCATAGGCGCCTCAAATTTTATACAATCAATTTTATTCATATAATAATCGTTTCATTGCTGGCCAAAGCTGGTAGATGTTTGGCCCGTTTGAGACGTCGAACTTTTCATGTGCCGAATCAAATGCAACTGAACTTAAACAAACACTTTAGCTCATTTAGCTCATTAACATAAGCTAGGTTCAGCCTGGGCTCAGCACATAAAAAGTTCGACGGCCGAAACGGGCCTTACTGTATTTGTAGATCCAATCTAGCACAACGTTCTTGTAGTTCTAAGGTTGCATGGCAACTCTCAACAATATGTGATTTAAATATAAGTATGCAATAATGAAAACTTTATTAATCAATTTTTAGGTTATATGCATGCAATTGTAAATCTTAAGATACTGAATACCGGCTACTTCAATCAATGAATGACTATATGTACTTATGATAATACACACAATATCCAACAGTAAGTATACACTGTAAAAACAGATGGGTAAAAATACCCATGCCTTTTTACAGGTCGTAAACAATTTGAATTGGTTATTTTAAACATTTAAAGAATTGCTTGGTCAGATGTGGCCAATAAATGAGAATGTAAATGAGAATATTGTGAGATTTTTTATATATCAGTAAATTTAATAGATTATTTCATTTTAAGTTATTATTTTTATTTCGGCGTTTTGCATGTTTCATTTCGATGCTGACGTATGCATTGGTTTGGATATTTAAATTTGGTATATAGTATTAACTCGTATTTTTAAATGGTTGAAATCTGAAAGGTCACTTTCATCCATTATTTTGGGTTAAAGTTGCCAATTTAAATGGGTTGTCTCAGATGCATCCAAACAAACCCTTTTTGTTTTTTTTACCCAAAAAGTATGGTTTAAAACAACTATTGCTAATGGGTCATCAATGGGTCATTTTGACCCATTTTATTATTTGATTAAAACGAGCCGTTTTTAAGCGGGTTGTGTGAGACATATTTAAACGACCCGTTTTTTGACCCAGCTTTTACAGTGTATAAAATTTAGGTGAAAACTACAGAAGTTCAGGATTGGGCGGCTCTTTATTCCGGTACCAAAATATGTAGTATGTTGTTCAAATTGCGATCGTCGTCATGCATTTGATCAGGCCGTAATTCATGGTGGTTTCTTCAAAGCAAAGATCTTTAAGCATTTCTACGGATGTAAAACATTCTTAATAATGGAAACTTAATTGAATAGTATCGGAGTACACCGACAGGAGCACCGCACATTTCTAGAACAAAAAATCGATTTGTGTGAAACGTCTTTTTGCCTGGTCTGCGGATATTTTGTCGAGACATTTTTTTCTTGCGCGAAACATCCCCGCCCCTTTCCAGCCTTCCAGCGCGTTTTTCGTGTGATGACGTGTCTGTAGTCTACACTACAAACGATCTCCCAGCGTCATTTTTCAGCAAACTAAAGTAGCCAGTCCTCCGATTCTGGATTAACTGATTAGGAAAATGTATCTTGAGCTGTTGAACAGCAATACAGAGTTCACACGATTCCAGTCGTACGCGATATTGTTACAATATTGGATTAAACCAGAATGACGTCGTTTTCTCGATTGGGACGCAGGGAATTCCCCTTAGCTTGTCTTTTAATAAATATTGTTCCCTAATATATGATTGTTTACAAGTTCTTGCGCTATATTGCGTTGAAATAATTCCTTAGATGTTATCGGGTTGTGTCGAAAGCAGTATATTTATCGTGTGGGTAAGTACACGCACCGATCATATATATGCATTTTAACTTAAATTCAGTAAAAAGGGGCAATTTTCGAATATCGTAATGTGAGTCATGCATAATTTAGTCTGGGCCTCACGGGTTCGATTGTTACGAAATCCTAGCAAATCCTTGCATTTTTTACCATAAAACTTGATTCTATTTGCACATATTTAGTGATAAGAGCTTTAAAGCTTTTTCTTTGCATTCCTAAGTGATTGTTTTGTCTTAAATAAGATATCTTGAGACTAAGGGGATTTGACGAAAGCTATTAAACAACAACATATATCTTATTGTCATTAAGTACCGCCCTAATTGTTGAATGGACATTTAAATATGGGATGTTAAAATCTAAATTTTCAAAACTCAACGGTGCTTGTGTCTAGCAACTGCAATATAGCAGAAGAGATGCTCAAAGTTGCTGTGATTCATGAGTTGGTATTCTTCCCAATAATATAGTCAGTTTTTCCTTATATGCAGGAGATATATAAAAGGATATATATAAAAGCAAATTTATATATATATATATATATATATATATATATATATATATATATATATATATATATATATATATATATATATATATATATAGTTTCATTTCAAATTTTGAAATTTAGGGTAAAGCAGATGCCACTTTATTATTTCCAAATATTAAACATTTTCTGCATTACTTCAACTTATAACCCCCAGACTTATCATCATTTTTTTGGAACTATGTCTGTGTATCTTCAAACAATAGTTCAATTCTATTCCTGCAAACTTAGAGGTTCTTTCAAACCAGGCCCAGGGCAATTTGCTCTTTTTGCTCCCCCAAGTTTGTAAGCTCTGAATGCTTATTGGCAAGGATGCACTATTATTGATCTATAAAAGCCTTTATCCCACCTTTTCCTTTCACCATACATTCCTATTTTTCCAGTTAGCTATAAAATAGGAATGGGTCCCTGGTATGAAGGGACCTCCAAGTTTGCAGGAAAATAATTGAACTATTGTTTGAAGATACACAGACATAGTTCCAAAAAATGATGATAAGTCTGGGGGTTATAAGTTAAAGTAATGCAGTATATTTTTAATATTTGGAAATAATAAAGAAATGGCATCTGCTTTACCCTAAATTTCAAAATTTACTTGGGTAAGTGTCCCCCAAACCCTTCCTAAAGAAACTGACCTTGCATTCTCACTTGCATTTCAATGGTACAAAATTAATTACAGGAACAAACTAAACTTATAATATGTACTAATATATTACTGACAAGTTGTTTTCATTCTTTTCTATTATTTTACTATTTGAATATAGTTATAACCGTTTAATTTACTATTTGAATATAGTTATAACCGTAAAAAATTGTGTATATATAGAACCCATCTTTGTAAATATAAGTTTTAATTGCATGCTGCCCTGAAGATGTTGTGAGCAATTCAACTAAACGTAAGCCAATAAATTTTACATTTTGAAACTCATTTGCTTTAAATTTTATTTTTAAATTATGCCTTTCGCCTAGTGTTTCGCCTAGTCAGTGTCTCAATCGTCGATCGTTGGCGGATTCGTCAATAAAACACTGCATATTATATAATAAATGCAGCTATTATGTTCATCGTTAATATTCCATGGTAATTTAAATGCTTCACTATAAAATGTACTTTGTCAGTTACCTTCAATATTAGACCTAGTTTTCAACAATGCACAACATTTATCTCACTCTACTGTGTCTTGTTTTTTCAACTGACAGCTCTATAACAATTTAGCTATATACTACATCCTATGAAAATATTTTTCATATATAAAACCTACTCTCATTTCCATTTTTTACCGGAGTTATTTCACTACTTTTAAACTTAATTGGAATCTTGTTCACTGACTTATAAGAATTCTATCAGTGACGGAGATTTTTTTGTTATTTAGATTTTCAAAGAGCATTGCGAGCAGAGTGTATCACAAGCATGATATGAACGAGATACTTGCACATAAACTAATCCAGTCCTGAATTCAAAGTTTGCAGCTTTTGCAACGTAATTAAAAAAACGTTTGAGTGACGATGTAGCGACAACAATGTCACCGGAATGGATAACGTCATTCATTCATTCTCTCTAAAAGAAACATCGGATAAAAAAGGCAAAGAGAAGATAAAAAAGGACGTTGCTATTTCAGTCTGTGCATTCTCAAATAGCAATGGCGGGAATGTGGAAATACGTGTTGAAGAAACGGAAGGAAACTTGGTCTCCACCGCAGCACTCGACTCCTTGACCCGAATGCTAGAACAGTCTTTAATATCCCGGTTCGGAGTTGATATAACCAAATCAGTCGACTTTAAAGAGGAGAAACATGAAAAAATTATTTTAATTAAAGTCAGGAAAGTTCCCTCACTCGTCACATATAAATGCAATCTTTACCGCCCCCTTCAAAAACAAGTTGAGCTCATTGGCAACGTCCAAATCGCGTTAAAAATAATGAGCAGAAGATTTGTTGATCAACCCGTCCAACTTGGCTCACACCACAAAACATTCCATAAAGGTCAAGACTGTGGTTTCGTAGAAGATGTCGTCATTCAATTCAAGCTCGTAATGGCAGCTCCATCAAAGCGCGTCACACTCGCAGATCGTATGACTGGTAAAAGTAACAAATTCAGTTGTTACGTATCAGCGTTCGCTAACCACAGGGGTGGTCACATTTACTATGGTATCGATGATGATGGCATTGTTCAGGGAGAGGAAACAGAAAAAAATTCCGAAGTTCTAAACAAAGTTGAAAAAGCCATCCAGAAAATGATCTGGCCTGACGTGATTGGCCAACCAAAACGAGGAGAACACTGGGAAATTTTCTTTCAACCAGTGCTGGACGAGAAGTCCAACCCTATCCCATCAACGTTTGTGATCGTGATCTTTATCGCTCCTTGTTTTGGTGGAGTGTTCACAGAGGAACCAGAAAGCTATGAAATGGTGGAGGGGAAAGTTGAAAGAATGCCGTTTATAACATTAAAGGAGAAACTACAGCCTGCTGGTCAAAAGAAGAGAAAGCAAAAAGTTCCTTCCGCAATCAAACGTATTTCATTAAGTTCTGCGTCAAAAAAGCGTTGCCTCAAGGTTCTTGAAGTTTTAACCGATGCCATTAATAATGGAGAAATGGAGTCTTTCGAGAGTCGCGCCAGTCAACTTGAACGGAGTTATCCGAACGATCTCGGCGTACAATTAGTTGTATTGGCGAGGAGAGTAATGGCATGTTATCGACGAGGAAATATTTGCGAAGCGTCTGTCTTGGTTAATGAAAAGCAAGAGTTGTTTATCCGAGCAGGAGAACCTTTTTCATCCGTTTTTGTGTTGTTGAAAGCAGCATTAGAGTGTGTGTCTGGTGAATCGAGTGAACCCAGAGATATCCTAACCCATGCTTTAACCATGGCAGAACGCATAGAACCCGGAATTTTTACTACTGCTGGTATGTTAGTTGCGGCATCAACTTATGATATTCCAAAAGTCGACGAAGGATTATCACCGGACGAATTTTGTATCACTGCACTGGAGCACCTGGAGTATGTTGAAGGTGCCCCCGTGACACAGGCGGACATGTACCATCTTGCACACATCACGTTGGCCACATATCTGCTGGGATTTAATTTGTCAGGAAAAATGATCAAAAAAGACATCGATAAAGAGAGCTTCGAAAAAGCAAAAAAAAGTGTCATGGAAGTAAATCAATCAGTATGTGACGGAAATCCATTAACCGAATACAGAGAGATTTGGTTCAAGTTGGCTCAATCAATGCTTTCCATCAGACGCGCGCAATTCGAAACTGAAAAGCAAAACAAATACATCAAGGATGCATTTAGATACGCAAAGAAAGCGTATGATCAAGCGAAAGATTATCGACTCAAAGAAACAGCTTCCTGGGTTCAGAATACAATTGCTTCTTTTATCGAAGCGTTAGTTCTTGCAAAGTTGACCGTAATGAAAAACATAAAAGTATTTAAAGTACGGCAAAAAGTGTGAGAACCACAGCAAAAAACGATAATTAACGGTCCACTAAACCTTTCAATCACCAAAATTAATGGAACATATGTACAGGCAAAAACTCACCAGGCACAAACATTTAGTAATAGAAACTTCTATTTACGAAATTTCTCCGTTTACCATGGGGCATGTGTCTGGAAGTATTTACGTAATCAACTTATATACAATGGCAAAAATTAAGGGTTAAATAGTATACCGCGAAACGGGTGACGAAAAAAAAGATTCAGAAAATTTATTATAGAAAAAAAAGATAAATACCCTAGTTTTTGCATAAGCACCGCTGAATCCCAAAAGGTCAAGATTAAATTTTGATATATAAACTTTGGCATAGCCAGCATCGATAATTGGGGGGGGGGGCATATTCATATATTCATGTTAATAGACTGTAAAGACAATTGATTTGAAAATACATTAATCCTGCGTATCACGAATATATATGAATATCCCCCCCTCTATATATATAACACGAGCATTTTCGTTGACTTCTAGAAATTGTAGAAATTTATTCTTCATTCAACTGACATTCTTTTAGCCTATTGTAAATAAATCGCAGCCGAAAGAATTGCAAATGTAAACGGACCTCGTCAGAAAGGGAAGTGCTGCAAGTCCCAGCACAGCAGCAGTAAATACTTAATGTTATTACATGTGTACATAGTCATTATAATACAACATTTATAGTACGCGCGTGCCGATTGGTTAAGAGCAGTAACTATTGCCTCATATAGTTACTGCTGAAGGAGCCAATCAGAATGCTCAAAGGTCATTTTTCAATACTGAAATTATACTAAAACTGTATAGAAACACGGAAAATGTTTTCTATTTCTTAAATATTTGACAGTTTTGTAACATTGTTTTGAAGTTTAAGTATTTCATATAGTCGCTAAGTCACTTCGGAAACGTGAGCAAAATAACGGTTTTGAGGGACGGAGACTGAAGGGGTTGAGACTGAGAGACAGAGTTGGTTTAGATTTTTAAGAGATTTACAGTTTTATACAGATATTTGTATCTATATATCCAGTTTGACATTTCCTTTAAACAAAGTTAATTCGAACCAGTTTGTGGCACGTTATATATGTATAAAGTTTCTTAAACACGTTCATAATGATTCATTGTAATTTAATAGCACACTGTTGATTAAGTTGCCGTCAGATCCTATATACTGCAGGACGAAAATGCCTAAACTCGCGGTACGCTGTAAATACAATCTTTTCAATAAAATGAATCGATGCATGGACTACAGTCTCTTAAGTTTCTTTGTACGTGTGAACTAGTGCATGCGTGCGAGATCAAAGGAAAGGTTCTGCAAATGGAAGCTATACTCAGCGCGAAGTAGTTGTAGAGCAGTTCAAGTCTGACAGGACCGAGGCCAGATGATAAGGAAAGCTTACTTAGGGTGGTGTTTCTAGAGAAGAAGTCTTAATAAAAGACTTGTCAAGTTCGTTTAATCTCTATTATTCAAGTCTGAATACTGACCCACAGCTGTCATGCACGACATGCAATTTATTCACGAGTAGGCTACAAATATACAATATACAATTTCTTTCCGCTGTTCAGGAATTTCTCCGCGTCTCTGCCCATGCTAAAAACAATCCATCTTCGTCTTTGGTTTAAGAAATCAACTAACTGCACCTTCGTAATATCAGTATGCAAAGTCAGACTATGTTGCTTTAGTATACGCGCGATACTTGTAAAACCGGGCCATCGCTAATACTCCGCTTAACTCTTTTATGCCGAGGTTAACATTGCTACTGTAGAATTCGCCTATTTAAATTCCCCACAGTGTCTTAATTGAACGTAGCGTGGGAACGTAGCCTAGCGACGCGTAGCGTCTTTTCCCCGACACTGGGGCAAATTTCGTATAGGGAAAACCCCTCCAAGTTAGAATATGCATATATAATCAGTTTGATGCTCGATGTTCTTTTAATAGTTTGTTTTTTAAAATTTAATTCTCTCAATAAAAACCTCATCCATCATGTGGTAAGTACCCGTACTAATAATAGTCATTTGTTCATATGTTCGTCTATGTATATATGTGTATATATGTTTAATGTTCTGTTCGGATATTTTCTGGCGACTGCCGACATTTTTTCTTGCGCGAAAAATATCCAGTGTTTTTTATGCAATGACGTGTTGGTTCATGTCGCAACACGGTAGTCTACTGTTTATACGTAAAATTAGAACACCCAGCATCATTTTTCAGCAACTTAAAGTAGCCAATCTTCGGCTCTAAGTTAACTGATTAGCAAAATACATCTTGTGCGGTTAAAAATAATGCAAAATCACGAACGATTACGGATTACCGTCGTAAGCGCAATATTATGACGTCTTTTCTCGTTGGGGAATCCCCGCTTCCCAGCTTATGTTCATATTCATATTTTTACGCAATATATATACGAGTGTTTGTTTTGATGTTTTGTGCTTAGCCTTTGGATAATTCCTTATTTGCGTATACAGATTATGTTAAAAGTATTAATATATTGATATTGAAGTCGTGATGTGGGTAAGTGCATTCACTAATAAATGCATTTTAACTTTAGTATATATTCGGTTATGCAATATTCGACAGGGGTTTGTTTGTTGTACGTTAAAAACTTGATTCTGTTTATAAACATTTAGTGATAAAAGCTTTCAAGTTTTTTCTTTGCTTCGTATAAGCGATACTTTGTCTTAAAACATCTTCAGATTAAGCGGAATTGAATGTGGAATGAAAACAATTTAACAATAACATATTTCATTGTTTCAAGGTTATGACCTAATTGCTGAATGCATGAGCATTTAAGTATTGGATGTCAAGCATCAAAGACTAAGGGCAAAGAATTTAATGTGTCTTTTGAGAAGCATGGAAGAAGCCAAACTGCTGAATACTAGCAAACAAATGTGATAGTGAAAGGTGGGATAAAAAATATTAATCTATATAAAAAGTATTAAATATATAACAATTTAAATTTTTTTATAATGAAAATCTGAAATCATGATGCAAACTGAACAATCTATGTTTTCATGCATCATATTCAGTGACTGACATTGAAGTATAGGCTTCTATAGGTCAATAACATGTGGCTCCTTGCCAATCTGGCAAACAGCATTTGCAGAGCTTACAAATGAGGGAAGCAAAAGGAACAAATTAATTGCCCTGGGGCCTTGGTTTGCAGGGACTCCAAAATACTACAGGGATAGAAGTAGACTATATTATTGTTAAAGATGCATATATGGACCAAGTTCCAAAATACGTTTTGGGGTTCTATATATAGTTGAAGTAATGCAATATAGCTATATTTATTTAGTATTTTGGAAATAGTAAAGAAATAATTTTCTGCTTTATACCCTATTAGTGTCAAAATGCTCTTGGGGAAGTGTGCCTTCAAACCGTTCCTAAATAAGCTTTATCCCCCAATAAATATTTTGCCAATACTATACCTAGCTAGGTTTCAGGCCTTGTTTTATCGCATTACAATTGGTACAAAATTATATTAACTTGTATACTTGTATATACATTTGTAGATATTTGTAGTTATTTAGATATTTTATTGTATTAACTTAACCGCGTATTGAAGCGAAGATATGCATGCACCATTTAGTTATTACCATCACATATGTGAGAAATAATAGGTTTTAAAATTAACAATATATCAGTGAAAAATAGTTCGTGTTGCGTAATTAAATCTGGCCTCCAGTCCGTGTCCGGAAGTCCGCGCCTGCCTTATATTTGCTTCTTTAATTGTTTGAATTATGAGCGGACATTATCCGCTATTATTCCATCAGCAATGGCTGCAATGCGATTAAGTCAGACGCGATACCCGGCGAATACGCAAGATATCCACTTGTTTATATCCATGAACCACAACGCATTTCTATCCCCGAAGTTGTCGCTTATTTTTCGCGACAGAGCCAAAGGGGGAAATCCCAAAAAATTTAGGGATTCCCCGAGGGATTCAAGTAGAGGCGATATTGTAATTTAGCACGTTTTTATTTCTCAAAAAATTCTCTCAAAAAGCATATAAATATCCTGTGGGTATAAGTACACAAATTAGCCTGTATATATTAAATTTCTTTTTGCTTTACAAATTGAGTAAATTCATGCATGCAGACAAAATATTTAGACCTTTAGTGCATATACACGTATATATATTGGTATTTCTTAGCCCGTAAATGTGTGGGCTGCGGACCCTTTCATATTTCTCGCGCAAAGCAGGGAAAATTACTCATAGCCAACACACGAGACGAAATAAACCGTGTAAGAAATGCGTGGCTGGGGCCAGTTGTTCGAAAGGCGTTTAGCTTAAACGGTGGATAAGCCAAAGTTTAAAAATACTCTCATACATCTTGTGAATGACTGAACCTGCATCTTATGCATTCAATGTGTACTTCCATTGACAATTAAACTATTTGCATCGAAATATTACAGCTCAGTTGTTCAATAAATAAATAATTTGGTTTTCTATTTTTGACTTATCCACCGTTTAAGCTAAACGCCTTTCGAACAACCAGCCCCTGAAAAGCAGCTTTACGAATAAATGCTAAAATGCAATCTTTGCAGGGGGCTGTTCATATGAGACGGCTCAGCCCGGTTTAGTCAGGCTAGCTCGGCAGTGCTGTAATCTTGCTTTACATGTTATTTTACTATATTTGTAAAATTGCATATGGAACCGGGTCAGCCTAGGTCTGGCGAAATCCCGCCTGAACGAATCCCGCCTTTATACTCTCGTTCTATAGGGCGTGTACGCTTCCTTAGAGTATATCTAAAATGCTATATCCATTATCAACTGCTATATTAATTTTATATATTAATCTCGGAAATACTTGCAATGGTGCATCCGCGGCAACTTGCTTTTTCTTATTCTATTGGTGTTAGTCTACAGTTAATCCATTATCCGATATCCGTTACACATGTTGTTCCCTTCACTAGTTGTCTCCAGATGATGAACACAGGACTGCATGGTTGCAGAGACAAGTTGCTAGCCTGCAACTCGATAACAACCAGTGCAGAAGCAGAGCTTACTAACAATTTCACACCCCAAGCCAAATTTTTCTGATAGAGTTATTTTTTAGGGCGAAAGTCTTCTAAACTTCATCAGTAGTTATACGCTGTTTGTTTTTGTTATTTAGATTTCTCTGGCGTTTTTCAAAGAGTATATTAAAATGAACGAGGTAAAGTTACATAAGTTCGTCCAGACGTTTATTGCAACTTAGTTGTAAAACGTTTTGGCGACAGCAATGCCAAAGATATTTTATGACCATGGCGCTTATTCACATCACAATCTCGGGAAAAATATCGGATAAAACATACAAAGACCATGATTTATATAAAAAGCAGAAGAAACAAGAAATTGTTAATGCAATCTGTGCCTTGTTGAATAGCAATGGCGGAAAAGTGGAAATACGTGGTGAAGAAACGGAAGGAAACTTGCTCTCCACCACGATACTCCACTCCTTGACTCGAATGTTTGAACAGTCATTAGTGTCTCGATTTGGAGCTCAGATAAACGAGTCTTTTATAAATTTCGAATACAAACATGAGAAAATAATAGCAATAAGTGTCACTAAAGCTGACTTCCTTGTAACTTTTAAATACAATCTTTACTTCACGACTAAAACACAAGTTGAGATCATTGACAATGTCCGGAACGCGTTAAAAATTATCAACGAAAGATTTGTTGATCAACCCGTCCAACTTGGCTCACACCAGAAAACATTTCACAAAAATCGAAACTGTTCCTTCAGAGAAAATGAGATCATTCAATTTAAGCTCGTGAAATCAGATTCATCAAAGCGCGTCACACTCGCAGATCGTATGGCTGGTAAAAGTAACAAATTCAGTTGTTACGTATCAGCGTTCGCTAACCACAGGGGTGGTCACATTTACTATGGTATTGATGATGATGGCGTTGTTCAGGGAGAGAACACAGAAAACATTTCCGAAATTGAAAAGAAAGTTGAAAAAGCCATCCAGAAGATGATATGGCCTGACGTGATTGGTCAACCAAAACGAGGAAAACACTGGGAAATTTTCTTTGAACCAGTGCTGGATGAGAAGTCCAACCTTATCCCATCAACGTTTGTGATCGTGATCTTTATCGCTCCTTGTTGTGGTGGAGTGTTCACAGAGGAACCAGAAAGCTATGAAATGGTGCAGGGAAAAGTTGAAAGAATGTCGTTCAAAACTTGGAAGGAGAAACTACAACCTGTTGGTCTGAACAAGAGAAAACAAGAAGTTCCTCCCACAGTTAAACGTATTTCACTAAGTCCTGCGGCAACAAAACGCTGCATTAATATTAATGAAGTTTTAACCGAGGCCATTAATAAGGGAGATTGGAAATCTTTTGCGAGATCAGCCGATCATTTAGAACAAAAATATTCTAAAAACCCTGAAGTAAAGTTAGTAGTGTATTTGAGAAAATTGATGGGAACTTATCGACAAGGCGGCGATCCGTCTAGCTTGATTACTGAATACCGAGGACGTCTCTCGCGAGCGGGGGAACCTTTTGAAAGTTTTTTTCGTTTCTCGGAGAATGTAGTGGCGCATGTGTCTGGCAAAGCTGCAATCGAATCACAAGATATCTCAACGGACGCTTTAGCAATCGCGGAAATCATGGAACACGGGTTTCTTACTGCTGCCGATTTTTTAATTGTGGCATTAATTTATGATGGTCAAAACGACAAAGGACCGTCGCCTGTGGAACTTTGTTTAATGGCGCGGGATCACCTGGATTATGTCGAAGGCGCTCATGTGGCACGACCAGACATGATTCATGCTGTTCACATCATATTAGCAGCATATCAACTCGGATATAATATGCAAGGAAAGGTAATCAAAAAGGTCATCGAGAAAGAGAGCTTTGAAGAAGCCAAAAAAAGTATAATGGCAGTAAATCAAGCAGTATGTAACGGAAATCCATTACTGCCATACAGAGAGATCTGGTTCAAATTGGTACAGTCAATGCTTTTCATAAGACATGCGCAATTCCAACCTGATAATCGAACTAAATTCCTCAAAGATGCATTTCAGTTCGCAAAGAAAGCCAAGGATCTCGCCAAAGATTCTGGTCTCAAGGAAATGGTTTGCTGGGCTCGGACCGCAATTGCTTCTTGTACTGAGGCATTAGTACTTGCGAAGTTGACGAGAAAAAAAAATATTAAGGTATATAAGGTTCTGCATGTAAATATTGCATAGAGAAACATTTTACTGTGTGCATGTAGGATAAACCTCAATTATTTTCGTTTCATTGTCTTTACAAAACGTTACGTGGTTTTGAGAGTCCACATCCCCAACACCTAGAGAGAATAACTTCTTATTAACCTCGCTCGGTCTTTATTGAGAAATATCGGACCGAGGATTTTTTCAACAGACCGTGCTCGAAGAGCGCGGTTTGTACAAAAAGATTGAGGTCCAATATTTCTCGCTAAAGACCGAGCAAGCAAGGTTGATAAAAAGTTTATTATATGGCATAAGGCATACATGTATTTGCACTTGAAACAAACAAGAAATGCATGCATTTGTATTAGTAGCCTGGTACGCATTTGATAAAAACAAAAACAAAATATTGAATTATTTAGTTTACCTAAACTGTCTGGAGACGTCTTATTAATTTCAAAATCAATTAAATTTTCTCTTGAGCATTTATTATGCCTTTTTCATTCAGAATTTCTCCGTTTTTCATCTCGTAATGGATCGCCGGTGACGCCGGTCCATTACCGGAAAGTGCCGGTCCATTACGGGAAAGTCATGGACCGCTGAAAATTCTTCTCAGCCATATAATAATATATATTAATTTTGTATTACTAAAAGAACCGAAACAAGTATAATGTCCGTAAGTCTATCAGTAATTCTATCAGTATCATATAGATGGTTTACCCAAAGTTTGTGGTCTTTTTAGATCAATCCAAAGTTTGTGGTCTTTTTAGATCAATCTAAAACCAATTTTATACATAATAATCCTTTCATTGCCGGCCGAAGCTGGTGCATGTTACCGTATTTGTTGGTTCAATCTTGCATATTTGAATTTGCAGTTCCAACAGCTTTTAAAATATATCAGTCCAAAGATTGGTCACTTTCGACAATATGATTTAAATATATGTATATGTTATCACATGTTTGGTGAGGTGATATTAGTTTTCCCGATCGAGGCCTGAGAGCGAGGTTGGGAGTATTCTTTCTAGCTGTAGCAAAAATTATTATTAATGGGCGTGTTTAGTTATAGCAATATAAGTTGAAGGAAAAAGGCCCTAAACAACTAAAACAAAAAGTTGGTTTACAGGCGCATGAATGGCTTCTATATAATTATAAGTCGCTTATTATGATGCCTAAAATTATAGATAATCAGGCAAACCTTCGAATACTGGATAGAATTTTAGGGGTTAGTATTTTAGGGGTGTTGTAATTTAATAGCATACTATTGATCAGTTGCATGGTGTCATGATCATAATGTAACAGGACGATGTCTATCTAAACTCACGCTGTAGATGACATTTTTAAATTAAATAAATCCATAGAAAATACAGTTACTTAAGTCTCTTTGTGTGCGTGAATCAGTGTTAAGTTTCTTTGTGTGAGAGATCAAGAGAAAGATTCTGCAAAGCTAATCAGTAATACGAATTAAGTCGGAGAACATATTTTATTATTATTATTATTATTATTATTATTATTATTATATTTCAGTCGTACGCGCAATATTTTCCAATACCAGCCATTACCAATATTGAATTTGTTTTTGAGATCAAGTTTGCATTGCTACTGAAGAATTCGCCTCATTTATTTTCCCTGTAGGATCTATAGAACGTATTCTGTGTGATAGGTTGGTTTTTCTCCCCGACTGGGGCGAGTCTCGTATAGGGAAAACCCCTAATTGCTAATATAAGTAAAAATGTGCAGCGCGGGCAGAAATCCGGAAAATTTGTCCCCGTCTGCCGTCTGGTGCCTTCAAAACATCGTTAGATGTGAAAAATTCTTGCAACAGAACGTGTACATCACATGGTAAGTACACACATCGACAAGTAAATCTCATTTTCATAAATTAAGTGAAATTTCGGCAGAATTTTAAGTAGAGGATCGTCAGATTTAAGTGGGTAGAATTTCATGTCATGTGAGTTTTGAACCATATATTTCAGATGCAATTATTTTATTTTATTAATAACTGTTTTAATCTAAAGGCTTTTCATAATGCTGTAGTATGTTATGCACGATTCTCCTGCATGTCAGTTAATTTAATATATATAATGCGAATAATATGGCAACAATATTGTACACATATTTTACCTGAACGTACTAGCTGTTGTATCAAAGCGTATTCAAGTTATTCATGCAGCGAGGCGAGGACACGGTCGATAACGCAATAACAGGAATTATGTAACATATGGCCCGACGTATTAAGAATAAATATTTATGTGGGCAGTAGGGGCCAAAGCGATTATTAATTCTTACAGAATCAGCATGAAATTAAACTAGCTGACACAGTTGATTGTTTTTGTTATTTAGATTTCTCCACGTTCTGCAAAGAGTGTTGTCAGCAGATGATATCGTAAGTTATACTATTTTCGTGTATTCAGCGGTAGATCACAAATGTAAAACTTCTAATATTTGGCCGACGAGATGGCGACAACACTCAATTATATTATTCGTATAATGTTCTCCGTAGAAGAAATTTCGAAAGATAAAAAATACAAAGAAAAAATGAAACAGGAAGTTGCAGTTGCAATCTGTGCCTTGTTAAATAGCAATGGCGGAAAAGTGGAAATACGCGGTAAAGAAACGAAAGGAAACTTAGTCTCCACCACGATACTCGACTCCTTGACTCGAACGCTCGAACAATCGTTGACCTCTCGGTTTGGAGCTTGGATATCCGAGTTAGTTGCTATGAATTTCGAAGACAAAAATGTGAAAATGATATCAATTAGAGTTAGTAAAGCTCACTTTCTCGCCACAATTAATTCTAATCTCTACCGACCTATTCAAAAACAAGTTGCGCTCATTCACAATGTCCTGAAAGCGTTAGAAATAATGAACAGAAGATTTGTTGACCAGCCCGTCCAACTTGGCTCGCACCATAAAACATTTCTCAAGGGTCAAGACTGTGATCTTAGAGAAAATGAGGTCATTCAATTCAAGCTCCTGAAATCAGATTCATCAAAGCGTGTCACACTCGCAGATCGTATGATTGGTAAAAGTAACAAACTCAGTTGTTACGTATCAGCGTTCGCTAACCACAGGGGTGGTCACATTTACTATGGTATTGATGATGATGGCATTGTCCAAGGCGAGGAAACAAAATATATTTTTGAAATTGAGAAGAAAGTTGAAAAAGCCATTCAGAAGATGATCTGGCCTGACGTGATTGGTCAACCAAAACGAGGAGAACACTGGGAAATTTTGTTTGAATCAGTGCTGGACGAGGACTCCAACCTTATCCCATCAACGTTTGTGATCGTGATCTTTATCGCTCCTTGTTGTGGTGGAGTGTTCACAGAGGAACCAGAAAGCTATGAAATGGTGGAGGGAAATGCTGAAAGAATGTCGTTCAAAACTTGGAAGGAGAAACTACAGCCTGTTCGTCTGAACAAGAGAAAACAAGAAGCTCCCTCCACAATGAAACGTGTTTCTTTAAGTCCTGCGGCAAAAAAACGTTGCATTGAGGTTAATGAAGTTTTAACCGAGGCCATTAATAATGCGAAATGGGAATCTTTTGAGAAATGGGCCAGTCAATTTGAACAGAAATATCCTGACAATCTTGAGGTAAAGTTAATAGTGTCGTCCAAAGAAGTAAGGGCAAATTATCGACAAGGTGAAATTACAAATGCGTCTGTCTTGCTCACCAAATTCCAGGAATGCTTTCCCCAAGCAGAGCAACCCTTGGTTTTTGAAGTGCTTTTTTTGTCTTTGAAAGCAGCAATGGCGCGTGTGTCTGGGAAAACTGATGAATCTCGAGATATCTCAACTGACGCTTTAACGATAGCGGAAAACATTGAAGCAGGACCTTTTACTGCTGCTGTCTATTTAGTCGCTGCGTCAATTTTTGATGGTAGTCAAAACGACGCAGGATTGTCACCAGACATATTTTGCATCAAGGCACTGGAACACTTGGAGTATGTTAAAGATGCTCCACTGACACGGGCAGACAAGTACCATAATGCTCACATCACGTTAGCAGCATATCATCTGGGATATAATTTATCAGGAAAGATGATCAAAAAAGACATCGATAAACAGAGCTTTGAAAAAGCTAAAGTAAGTATAATGGCAGTAAATCAATCAGTATGTGAGGGAAATCCACTAACGGAATACAGGGAGATTTCGTTCACATTGGTTCAATCAATGCTTTACATCAGACACTCGCAACTCCAACCTGAAAAGGAAACGAAATTACTCTATGATGCACTTCATTACGCTAAGAAAGCTGAGAATATCGCCAATAATTATCATCTCGTGGGAATGGTTGGCTGGGCTGAATTTTTCAGTCGACAACTCTCACTAGTACTGAATAAACACTGATCCGTCTGATCGTTGGTACTAAAGGTAGTATAAAGCTTAGCACAATTTTTTAAAACAATAGAAAACGATAATATAGTGTTAGACTGTACCGGAATGCATGAAAGAAAATAACATGGTCAATCATTGTAACAGTGATAATTATCACTGATTATTAACTCAAGAATATCGACTCAAAGAAACAGCTTGCTGGGCTCAGAATACAATTGCTTCTGTTATCGAAGCGTTAGTACTTGCGAAGTTGACGAGAATAAAAAACGTAAAGGTATTTTAAGTACAGCAAAAAGTGTGAGAACCACAGCAAAAAAAGATACGTTACGGTCCATTAAGCTTTTTAAAAAGATAGTCAATGTAACAGAGACAATCACCAAAATCAAAGGAACATATGTACAGGCAAAAACTCACTAGGCACAAACATTTAATAGAAACTTCTATTTACGAAATTTCTCAGTTTACCATGGGGCATGTGTCGGAAGAATTTACGTAATAAACTTACAATGGCAAATATCAAGGGGGACGTATACCACGCGCGGGACGGTGACGCAAAAAAGATTCAGACTTAGCCTAGTTAGAATACCATAAATACCCTAGTTCTTGCTTAAACACTGCTGAATCCCTAAAGGTCTAGCTTAAATTTTGATATATAACACGAGCATTTTCGTTGACTAAAATGAGCCCATTAAACACTGGTGTGATAGAAATTATTCTTCATTCAGCCTGATGACTTTCTAGCCGATTGTAAATAAATCACAGCCGAAAGAATTGCAAGTATAAACGGGCCTCGCGAGTCTCAGCAATTACTGTGAATTCTATATGTTAAAATTATGTTAATAAATGTATAAAGTGTCTTAAACACGTTCATAATGATTCATTGTAATTTAATAGCACACTGGTTGCCGTCAGATCTTAGCTGCAGGACGAAGATGCCTAAACTCGCGGTACGCTGTAATACAATCTTTTCAATGTATTAAATCCGATAGAATCAGTCTCCACGTTTCTTTGTGCGTGTGAAGCAGTGTATGCGAGATTAAAAGAAAGGTTCTGCAAATAGAAGTTAATCAGCGCGAAGCCGATTAGGAAATGGTCTATAAGTAGGGGTCATAATTCCATGTCTAGAATCCACTTTTGGTCCTAAACCTGACCCTAACTCTTACCAAACTACTTCTACTAAAAGATTAGAATCAAGGTTTATATTCGTCTGTTCTTAACATGGAACTATTTATTACCTAATAGAGCAAGCAGTTCATATCCGATAGGAAGGAGGCTGAAAAATGAGAAGTGTTTATTAGAAAGGGCGTTTACTAGAAAAAAAGTCTTGATAAAGTACTGTTTAAGTCCCATTATTTATAACTCCCCAGTCCGATTACCGACCAACAGTTGTCAGGCACGGCAATTTATTGACGGGTTCCAGCCAACGAGCAGAATCGTCTGGCGAAGATGCAATGAGTCCATTTTTTTCTGCGCATTAGAATCTTAAACATATTTCCGAATTAATGAGCGATGTCTGATCGGGACAAACTGCAATTACACAGAAGTAAATCATTGTTAAATTCTCCTACCTCTTCAATAACTGGCGATATTAATTGCTCTTCTGTCCGCTGTGTAGGAATTTCTCCGCGTCTCTGCCCATGCTAAAAACAATCCATCTTCGTCTTTGCCTTTAGTTTTAAGAAGTTAACTAACTGCATTTCAGTAATATGCAAAGTTAGGGACATATTGCAGTCATACGCGCGATGTTTTTAAAACTGTGCCACCGCTAATACTCCATTTACTGAATTATGCCGAGGTTGACATTGCTACTGTTGGATTCGCTAACTGACTTAATTTCGCCGCAGTGTCTTTATTGAACGTAGCGTGGCATCGTTTCCCCGACACTGGGGGGAGAATCTCGTATAGGGAAAACCCCATTGATGTAAACATGTGCTGTGTAATCAACGATAAATTCGTCTTGTGCTCTTACCGGTTGTAAAAGTCTAGTCGTTTTTATGTACAGATTTTTCTCAACAAACATATACAACGTATGGTAAGTACACACATCACATAAATCCAGTTAATTTCAGCAGAATTTTGAGTAAAACATTTTTACTTTGCTGGGTAAAATTACATAATACATATCATTTATTATCAAGTAATATTTTAATATATATTTCGAATACAATTATTTTATGGGCCATTCCTCTATTTTGTCTGAAGAGATGTCTTTTGCTAAGACAAAATATAACTTCAGGAAATATTCGGACTAAATTGTGTTAATATCACATGCAATATGTTCGACCATGGCGGCATGGCCATGTTTAAGATATGAATACGATTTCTGCCCGGCCACGTCTCCGAACGAAGTATCCGTACATACCGGCGTGGCATACCTGCATCAACGCGTATTTGTTTAAGCATGCACTAAGGCGAAAGACGCCGTACATATCAGAAATGTAGTATAAGATTTACCACGAGCAATAACAAATTCAGATATCGTAACAACGGATTGTCTACTTGTTTCAAAATTGCTCAAATTTATGTGTAAATAAATAATAAATGTAAACAAAGTCAAAGCGTTTCTTTACATTACGGACTGTACCCCTCATCTAAGGCAACCCATGTCAACAGTTAACAGCCAAGCCGAAGGCTTTAATAAAACTTCGGCAAAGCCAAAGGCGATCCCGAAGCGATCTTGCTGACAGAGTCAACGATAAAATTCTATCAGTTATCATGATTGTTTTTGTTATTTAGATTTTCAAAGAACAAGCATGTAGTGGATGATATATACACATAAATTACATTACTTTTGTGTATTCAAAGTGTCGATTACAACTGTAGAACGTTTTTTAAAAGTTGCCTCACGACATGGGGACAGCAATGCTAACGAATCGTTATGTCGATGATATTATTCATATAATATTCTCGGTAGAAAAAATATCGAAGGATAAAAAATACAAAGAGCAGAAAAAAATGGAAATTGTTAATACAATCTGCGCCTTGTTCAATAGCAATGGCGGAAGAGTGGAACTTCGTGGTGAAGAAACGGAAGGTAACTTGTTCTCCCATACGATATCCGACTTCTTGATTCGAACGCTAGAACAGTCTTTACAATCCAGATTTGGAGTTCAGGAAACCAAGTCCAAGATGCTAATTAAATTGGGGGATAAGAATGAGAAAATTATAGAAATAAGAGTCAGTAAAGCCCCCTCGCTCGTCACTATTCAATACAATCTTTACCTCTCTACTAATGCACAAGTTGCGCTTATTGGCAATGTCCCAAACACGTTAAAAACAATGAACAGATTTTTTGTTGATGAACCCGTCCAACTTGACTCACACCAGAAAACATTTCGTAAGGATCAAGACTGTGATCTTGGAGAAAATGAGGTCATTCAATTCAAGCTCCTGAAATCAGATTCATCTAAGCGCGTCACACTCGCAGATCGTATGATTAGTAAAAGTAACAAATTCAGTTGTTACGTATCAGCGTTCGCTAACCACAGGGGTGGTCACATTTACTATGGTATTGATGATGATGGCGTTGTCCAGGGAGAGAAAACTGAAAACATTTCCGAAATTAAGAAGAAAGTTGAAAAAGCCATCCAGAAGATGATCTGGCCTGACGTAATTGGTCAGCCAAAACGAGGAGAACAGTGGGAAATTTTCTTTGAACCAGTGCTGGACGAGAAGTCCAACCCTATCCCATCAACATTTGTGATCGCGATCTTTATCGCTCCTTGTTTTGGTGGAGTGTTCACAGAGGAACCAGAAAGCTATGAAATGCTGCAGGGAAAAGTTGAAAGAATGTCGTTCGAAACTTGGAAGGCAAAACTACAGCCTGGTGGTCTAAACAAGAGAAAGCCAGTAATTCCTTTGACAATTAAACGTATTTCATTAAGTCCGGCAGCAGAAAAACGTTGCATTGAGGTTAATGAAGCTTTAACCGAAGACATAAATAACGTGAGATGGAAATCTTTTGCACAATCGGCCAAGCGCTTTGAACATCAAAAATATCCTGGGAAACTTGAAGTAAAGTTAATGGTATTTTTGAGGAAGTTGATGGCAACTTATCGACAAGGCAAAGAAGCGTCTAACTTGTTTAGTGAATACCGAGGATATTTCTCGCGAGCAGGGGAACCTTTTGAAAGTCTTTTTCGTTTTTTGGAAAATGTAGTGGCGCGTGTGTCTGACAAAGCTGCAACTGAATCTCGGGATATCTCAACTGACGCTTTAGCCATCGCGGAAATGATGGAACACGGGCTTCTTACTGCTGCTGCTCTTTTAATTGCGGCTTTTGTGTATGATAGTCAATACGATAAAGGACCTTCGCCGGTGGAACTTTGTCTCATGGCACTGGAACACCTGGAGTATGTTAAAGACGCTACAGTGGCACGACCAGACATGATTCATACTGCACATATCTTGTTAGCAGCATATCATCTGGGATATAATATGTCAGGAAAGATGATCAAAGAAGACGTCGATAAAGAGAGTCTTCAAAAAGCCAAAATAAGTATCATGACAGTAAATGAATCAGATTGTGATGGGAATCGACTTATGCCATATAGGGAAATTTGGTTAACATTGGCACAGGCGAAACTTTACAAAAGGCGTGCACAACTCCAGCCTGAAAAGCAAACGAAATTCCTCAGCGATGCGTTTCAGTTGGCAAAGAAAGCTGAAAAACTCGCTAGAAATTCTGGTCTCGTGGAAATGGTTTGCTGGGCTCAGACTGCAATTGCTTCTTGTACTGAGGCATTATTACGTACGACTTTACTGAAAACATAATCACCGACGATAGAGTTACTCTACTATTGAAAGAGTTAAAACAAAGTATAATGGCCCTAAAGTATATATCATAGGCGCCTCAAATTTTATACAATCAATTTTATACATATAATAATCGTTTCATAACTTTCATTGCTAGCTAAAGCTGGTAGGTGTTTGGTCCGTTTCAGACGTCGAACTTTTCATCTGCCGAATCAAATGCAAATGAACTTAAACAAAGACTTTAGCTCATTTAGCTCATTAACATTAGCTAGGTTCAGCCTGGGTTGAGCACATAAAAAGTTCGACGGCCGAAACGGGCTTTACTGTATTTGTTGATCCAATCTAGCACAACGTTCTTTTAGTTCTAAGGTTGCATGGCAACTCTCAACAATATATGATTTAAATATATGCAATAATGAAAACTTTATCAATCAATTTTTAGGTTATATGCATGCAATTGTAAATCTTAAGAAACTGAATTCCGGCTACTTCAATCAATAAAATGACTATACAGGGTGTATAAAAAAAAAGTAGACAATTTTGAAATGTTTAGAAAACTATAAATTTATCAAAATATCTCATAGATTTGTGCTAGTATGGGTACTTTGGCATCTTCAGGTCATTCTAACACTAAAAACAAACAGAAAAATTAACCTCGAAAAATGGAAGAGCGGTTTGTGGAAGCATCATTTTGAATGGCTTGTGCAAACATGAATGAAAGGTTTAAAATCCAATTTGAATTCAAGGGCTGAACGTTTGGGTATTTGTTTACAAAGAATCGAAATTTCAGAAATTTTGATGAAAATTAAGTCAGCCGCGCAACTGCGTAAACGTGGGCTTTTTTCCTTTTAACTCGCAGCTTGAGTAACTTTTTTCATGCACGAATGATTTCATGCATGAGTGATTGCTCAGGTGATTAAACTAACAATGGTGTTGTGAAAAAAGTTACTCAAGCTGCGAGTTAAACGGAAAAAGCTCACTTTTACGCAGTTGCGCGGCTGACTTAATTTTCATCAAAATTTCTGAAATTTCGATTCTTTGTAAACAAATACCCAAACGTTCAGCCCTTGAATTCAAATTGGATTTTAAACCTCTCATTCATGTTTGCACAAGCCATTCAAAATGATGCTTCCACAAACCGCTCTTCTATTTTTCGAGGTTAATTTTTCTGTTTGTTTTTAGTGTTAGAATGACCTGAAGATGCCAAAGTACCCATACTAGCACAAATCTATGAGATATTTTGATAAATTTATAGTTTTCTAAACATTTCAAAATTGTCTACTTTTTTTTTATACACCCTGTATATACTTATGATAATACACACAATATATGCAATAATGAAAACTTTATATTAATCCATTTTTAGGTTATATGCAATTGTAAATCTTAAGATATCGAATACCGGCTACTTCAACCAATGAATGACTATAATTATATTATTATTATAATACACACAATATCCAACATTACACTGTAAAAACAAATCGGTAAAAATACCCATTTTTACAGGTCGTAACAACGCAATTTGAATTGGTTATTTTAAACAATTAAAGAATTGCTTGGTCAGATGTGGCCAATAAATGAGAATGCAATTGAGAATATTTTCTTGCTTGAAATAATGGTGTGTATTCACATTCAGTAGGGTATATATGTATATTAATTTAGTATTGTATATTAATGTAGATTATTTCATTTTAAGTTATTGTTTTTATTCAAGGGTTTTGCATATTGCTTTTCGATGCTGACATATGCATTGGTTTGGATATTTAAATTTGGTATAGTATTAACTCGTATTTTTAAATGGTTGAAATCTGAAAGGTCATTTTCATCCATTATTTTGGGTTAAAATTGCCAATTTAAATGGGTTGTCTCAGATGCATCCAAACAAACCCTTTTTGGGTTTTTTTACCCAAAAAGTGTGGGTTAAAACAACTATTGCTAATGGTCATTAATGAGTCATTTTGACCCATTTTATTATTTGATTAAAACGACCATTTTAAGCGGGTTGTGTCAGACGTATTTAAACGACCCGTTTTTTTGGGACATTTTGACCCATCTTTTTTTACAGTGTATAAAATTTAGGTGAAAACGACAGAAGTTCAGGATTGGGCAACTCTATTCCGGCAACAAAATATCAGTGTGACCAGACGTGGTATAATTTTAATTACTTTTGGTAATTTTTCGGATGATTGTAGTAATTAGAAATTTGTAGTAATTACTACAGTAATTTTTCTTAAAATTACAGAAAGTTTTATTTACTTTCCAAAGCATTCTTACAAGGTTGAAAAAATCCGTATCAGGTGGATAGGCCTATACAGTTTTCGTACAAGTGGCCCCTGTTTGTCTTGTGTCCTAAGGTCATTTCCACAGCAAAACAATAATTTATACGTTTCTGTTAGGATAAAGTACGGATATTTTGGAAAAAGATTTGGAATTACCAATCATATGCGTGAAGGCTATTTCAGATTCAGATGCAATCTCGTTCCCCGAGCCCGCGATTCCTCTGGCGAGAAAACGAAGGCTCTGGGATAATCTAAACCGGAAGCCAGAAATCCTGGCTTCCGATTTGTAACGGTTTTTTGTATTTCAAAATTAAAACGGCGTTAACAACCAATCAGAATCATTTCTGGTTTGGATTATCCCAGAGCCTTCGTTTCCTCGCCAGAGGAATCGCGGGCTCGGGGAACGAGATTGATTCAGATATGGCAGAGCACCTCGTCACCAGGCCTCCAACTTATACGCGGTCGGCACTAGGTCATAGACAACATATGCACATATCTGAAACTGCTATGTATAACGGTCAGCGATGTTGCACTTGCTCAATACTTAATATAAATGTGGTCTTATTATACTTAAAAATTAAAATACTTTGTAAACGCTTTCAATTCATACAACTCAGGACGATACAAATTGACTGTATTGACTGACTCACAATTTAATAATGAGTATTACAAAATGAATTGCCCAAGTCAATCACAGAGATAGATTTCTCAAGCAACCTTTCCTTGTATAATATCATAGTTTGTTAGTTTTAATGTTATGGATGAAGAGCCTTGTAATGTGGATATGCCATAATAAAATCTTTATTATTATTATTATTACGTTAAAATTCATTATTATGGAAGTAAAGTTTCAGCAATATTTACAAATCTTATTTCTTTTCATATATGTAATTGTAGTATATTATTTTTACTTTATAACTGACTGGTGTCACAGGAATTTTGCCGTCACAAGAGATTCCCCCCCCCCTCTAATAAATTTTGAATTTTTGATCTAATAACAAAACGACTGCAAGTTGAAGAGTATTGGAAAATGTGAGCCTTGAATGGGTATAACATGTTGTATATACACACTATTACACTAAGACATACTATTTAATTCATATTTTGAATTTGATCAATTCCATTATGTTTGTCAATACAATGATAATGTGTTAACAGAGAACAAAAATCGCAAAGGGAAGGTGAAGTTTCTGAAAGGGGGCCAATTTCCTAAGAATTTTATGTCCCCCCCCTCCCTGGAAGGGTGATATTACTAGGGGGGGGGCAAAATTACTGGGACACCCATACAATAAATACATTACTTTAAACACCCACCAACTGAACCTTATATATATTTCTAGCGTCACATCTTTGTAGCTTAGCTAAACCTCATCAGATTGGAGGAATAAGGTTTATATATATATATATATATATATATATGTATATATATATATATATATATATATATATATATATATATATATATATATATATATATATATATATATATACATAGGCGAAAATGTTCTCCGTGTTTACCATACTTACCCTTGACGGGCATATTCAAACCAAATTTGTCCCTTTCCCTCACCAGCTCGCTCATTACGAGTGCCTAGGCCTTGGGACCCTAGGAGGCGGTTTAAAAGGAGAAAGGAACACCTACGTATTTTTAACTATACTTATTTCCTGCATTGTAAGAATGTTCATGACGACGATGAGATGAGTTGTGTGGCACTTGGACATTTGATATGTTAAGAATGTACATTCGCACTGATAAATACGTAAAATCGATCTCTCACATTCAGCTGATTAACGCTTTGGATGGACGTATGGCTTGGGTTATGAGTGTGTTCCTTTCTCCTTTTAAACCGCCTCCTAGGGTCCCAAGGCCTAGGCACTCGTAATGAGTGAGCTGGTGAGGGAAAGGGACAAATTTACATTCTTAGGTTTGAATATGCCTGTCAAGGCATATATATATATATATATATAGATATATATATATATATATATATATATATATATATATATATATATATATATATATATATATATATATATACATATATACACACCTGTTTGCAAAAACGTTGGCCGCAGATAGATATATAGATAGATACTCGAAATCTAATTAGAATTGCATATGTTGTGTAATATGATTGAAATCCCATGCAAATGTAATCATATGCAATTCTAATTAGGCTTCGAGTATCTATCTATCTATCTATCTATCTGTTGAAACTTGAAGGAAATTTTCACCAACTAAGTCACAGAATGATCCACCAACTATGTCACAGAATGATTTATCAATATCCTTTGCAGGGTATAATATTTTGTTTTCCTCCGAGCCAATTTTGTGTTAGTTACTCCGAAAGTGTTTAATTTGGAACCAAAAAACATTTTTCCAGAGTTTCTTGCTGAAATAACTGCAGGAAAGCACTTATATTCATCTATTCAATGAGCACCATATACATTTGTTAAAACTTATAATACCATTAAGTACTGTGTTAAATTTAATTAGAAATGTCTAACCCCTTTGTTAAAAAAACATTGATATTTTGTCATAAAATAATTAATTTTATTTAGGGGGAAATTTGGCAACATGATGCTGGAAAATGTGTTTGTGAGAGTCTCAAGACAACTAAGTGTCCACTATGTAGAGTTGAAGATCAGATGAGTGACAACAAAGTCAAATGCCAGAGCTTCCATGTCAAGTGTTTAAATCAGGGATTGCATACTACTGGACAAGCAAAAGAATGTACCTTCTTCTGCCCTCCTCAACATGTACATTAAGTAAATTGCCTACTCCATGATAAGACAGGGTTGTATGTATGTAGCCTAAAATTTAAATACTCTCTACCAGGCAAGTTGG